AAATTGTGCATTTGGAATTGTAAAGCATTTTAAATGGAATCTTTCAGAATTCCACAGCTGGCTGGTGAGTGACAGCCTGATATAGCCTGGGGCAGGGAGAGAGATGACATCGTTTGTATTAAAGTTAAAATGATCTCTTTGTGAACAGATACTTAAGAACATTTTAGTAAACAGAGGCAATAAAATAAAAATCGATTAAATGGGATGAATTAAGGTTTGTGCACTAATTAAGAAACCTGATCTACAAACAGATTAAACTGGAGTACTTGAACTTAAACCAATTGAATAATGCCAGGCAGCTTAGATAACTTAAATTAGCCTGTTTAGTACTCTGCCTAAACTGATTTGTGGACAGAAGCCAAAGTCACTCATATGTTTTTGCTCATATGCTTATTTGGGGTACTATTCAGAGTATATTGGGAGGCAAGACACATGAGGCCATTGTCCAATCAAGCCTACATCTTTAAGCTTTATCATACACCTATTTCCCTGTCTTCTAAGAGGGGTGAACTGAATACCCCTTGCCCACTGCTATATGGACGTAGCTGGGGAAAGTATCTGAATAACTGGGAGATGTCAAATATCAGGATGAGTGGAGCTATACCATATTTTGGATGAACTGTTTGTGTAAGGGAAAGAGATAATGGTAGTATATTTTATTGTTATAAATTTTGTTGTTATAAAAATATTTTAGATTACAAATTGTGTTTTTCAGTGAATGGTCACAGCTCTATAGTATTTCATTATTTAATTAATTACACACATCACAAGTTAGTAATAGGCCTATTTCTGCTCTAATAAATAAATGAATAGTTGGTGGACACCTTGGAGGATAAGAACCAACAAACTTTTTTTTAGTAGAAACAAATAATTCTTTCTAATAAATACATATATGCAGAAGACCTATTTGCTCTGATTTGTCATGGGCTACTTTTGTGAAGTAAAACCCATGAACCATGATTTGGAGAAGACTGCACCCCGAATTCAATGAAAACTTTTTTATCCCCCTTAATCCCTTGATAATTTTTTGTGCTTCTCTTGTAGAAAAGCAATTTTGCTAATCACCTTTGTGCCGATGCCTGCATTCCTGACAATAGCGTGAACAACTTCCATCAAAGTCTTTGATGTGGGAAAGAGAGAGAGAGACACACACACATATAATCTGAAAACAATTCCATTCCTTGCCACTCAATGGAGAGCACTCTGCTTTAATAGAGAGCTGATTCTGTGGAAGTTTCTAATCCTTTCTGCCAAAGAAGAGAGAAAGAGACACAGCCAGGTAGCCCACCTTATTCAGGAGTTAAAATAACATGGTTTTGCTCTCAGAGAAAATCAAAACAACTCAAGATCAAAACCAGATTTCGCCAACCCTAACAGGACAGCCTCTCTACTCAGATAACTCTTGATCTAAGTGTGTAACAAGTAACTGGCTTTAATCCCTCAAAGTGATGGCGTTACAGATAAGTACCTTGCTAGTATCAGAGGTGTCTTGAATTTCAGAAATACACAAAAGTGTTAGCTAGAAAGAAAAACAAAACAGAAAAATCTCATCCGCATGACCTGTGTCTTTTGCTGAAAAGGTACAAAGCTCCAGCAGCATAAAGAGGAAGCCTTTGAAAAAAGGGAGTGCAAATAAAAACAGCAGTCAGGTAATGAACAGGTAGTTCTTACGCCTGTTGCCTTTTGGTTATGTTAGAAGCTTTGTGAACCACTTTGTGTACAGCACTACACACATGTACATTACATGTGATGCAAAACATAATTAAAAAAAAGCTGCTGTATGAGCCTTTTGCATACAGTGCGCTCATAAATGTGGAGAAACTTATTTCCGGGAACTGCAATCTATGTATGCTTATATTAACACAGTACAGGCATTATATTTTGCATGGAAGAGATGACAAAAAGGAATATCCCCCACACCCAAGTATCAAAGGTTGTGTTAATTGGAACACAAATGGAATCACACAAACGGAGGCTTTGCTTCTTACCCTAATCTGAATTGAGAAAGACAACCCAGCTACACACTAAGAAAAAGCTGGTCTGCTGCACATACTGTATTCTCATATTTGCTGTCAGTTTCTATGCTTTCCTTTAAGCACCAATCTTTGCAGTGTGAAATATATGAAAACGCATTACCCTTCCACAGTGGGGCTTGTTATGACCACAAATCTCCTTGCAATGTAATGAAAGCCATCAAACCAGATAGATTATTATATTCAGAGAAGGACAGATGACAGGGGGTTGGTTTGAGGGAGAGGCAGTGAGAGAGGGTAGTGAGACAATGCATCAAGAGACACATTGCCACAACTCCAGAAACTTTAGGAAATGAGGAAGCAAAATTGTGGGGAAGAGGCAGAGAGCCAGACTGCAGAAAGTATGTTTCCAGATTCCTTAGATGCAGCTTGTGACATCAGCAACCATAATAGTGCATGGAAGGGAAGGTATGTTAAAGCTTGAATTCCAATTTTGGCAACGATTTTCCTTATGTTGATGAAACTGTTAAATCAATGTGTATGAACCAATTTGTTTCTGAGTATTGTTATAGACTATCAAAATTAGTATGTTCAACAAAGTATATAAAACAACTTGAGTATCTCCCTCCTCATGGCTACAAGATTTACATCAGCTGAACAGATTTACATTTCCTTGGACATGCCTAACATCCTTTCTGCTATTATATGATTAACTTTGTATACAAACCTTTCTCGGACAGGTGACTGTTAATTTACTCCATGAGTATCATACAGATATTGTATTATGATTAATTTATATACTGCTTATATGCCAAATTGGTTTACTGTAGGTTGTGCAGGAGTTTACAAGAAGATAACAGCATTTCTCACCAACTTTCCTCTCAGTGATCTCAAGAAATTCTCTCTCACACTTTCTGAATTTGTGGCTGCTACAGAACAGGTTTGTTGATGTTCTTACCTGTGAAGATCTTATAATAACTGGAGTGGTAAATTACTTCTCATGCAAATGTATCTCCACCTGGTATTTGAATCTTTAATTACTCTGCTTCCATATACATATCCAAGTTAGCTGAGTGTTCATTAATGACCTAGGACCAAATTCAATGGATTCAAGTTACAAGAAAGGAGATTCAAACTAAACATCAGGAAGAACTTTTTGATAGTAAAAGCTCTTGGACAGTGGAACAGACTCCCACGAGTGGTGGAGAACTCCTTCCTTGGAGGTTTTTAAGCAGAAGCTGGATGGCCATTTTTCATGTGTTGCAATTCCTGCATTGCAGGGGGTTGGACTAGATGGGTCTTGGGATCCCTTCCAACTCTACAATTCTATGATTTTATGCTGATGGCATTCTCCAGTTTTCTTAGCTCAATTTGATGTAATCTTTAATAACTCTTATTCTTTCATATCACACTTTTCCAGAATTTATTATAAATATAACAATTTATTTCAAATTCAGAGGTGAAAGAAGAGGTTTAACTTGGTCCTTAGTCCTAGGAGACAGTGCAACTATGGAAAGTGTTGAATCAAATGGTATGTTACTTAACTAGTTGCTCTACTTGATGTGAAGACTGAAAACCACACTTGTCTGTCTTAAGTTTGTTTTCAACTCTGCTTTATTGAAGAAACATTGTCTGCAAGTTGTATTGCATTTAAGTCTACAATCATCATCAGGTCCAAAAGGATATTTAATACAGACATTGCCATATACTACTGGAAACGTTGCAGCATATGGTTTAGCATCAGCTATTTTATTCCATTCAAAAACTGTAACAAAGACTGTATCCCAACCTTTTCTTCTCACATTCTGAACATCTTGTGCATCTTTGATGATCATCTGACACATGAAGAATGTTTTGTTTTTCAGCTAGAAATGGTGTAGCATGTAATAGATCCATTTCAAAGAAACAGTATGAAGAAAGTAGCTTTGCCAATATTTAGCTCCACTGACTCTGAAATAAAAAATATGTCAATTGTATCAGGCATTTAGATTAATATTACAGTACAGCAATAGAGCACTCCTGTTATCTTAATGCTTCTGGCTGCCAAGGACCAGAAACAGACTTAGCTTCCCTGACAGTATTTTTGAATGTATCCTTTTTTTTCTCCCACAAAAGGAAATGGTTGTACTTGGTAATAAGTTGCACAGAGAATAAAACTTGCCCTGAGGATGGCTTGGTCCATATTGACAGAGATAGTCCAGAGGGAACAATGTATGTTGATTCACAAAGAACTTTGAAACATGTCCAATTTGCTGGATATTAATTATTTGCATTAGTTATTCCCTGCATCCTCCGGTATGTGAGTACAAAGGCCCAAGTGGAGTCTGCATGCTGGACAAGCAGGTGTCAATATCTACATATTCTGAGAGCTTACAGGAATGGCCAGAAAGGATCTGAAGACACATTTGTATCAAAATCAAAGTACATACTTTATTGTATCATTGCACTACTATAGTTAGCTTGTGTGTCTATATGCTATATTTCAGCAGGAAGCCAGTTAACAAACTGTGTTTACAAATGACATCTTCAGTGAGTTGGAGTTTGGCTGGTGGAAGCTAAGCAAGTCATGGGCACTGGATGAAGATATTCCTGCCTCTGGTCTGTACAGCAATTTAAGGCAACTTGAAACACTGTGGCGGGATGGGGGAGAAGACAACCTCCTGGTGTTTTAAGCAGTAAATGTGTACATAACCAACACCTCCAACCATAAAATAGGTGTAAATTCTACCACAGGCTTTAATTTACTATGACACAAACCACGTCCTCCTATTTCGGCATGTACAGAATTTTCTTAATTCTTAATTCTGAAACAACAGCCCAGGCAATGCTCATCTTCTCTTTCGGGAACTGATCCTGTAAGGAATTTATAAGACACAGGTTGCAGTCATACATGCTTGAACACTTACTTCAATGGGAAGTAAACAAGCACAGGATTGCACCACAGAGATAAAAAAAAGCTTAGCACTCATATAGAATTTCTGGCATGTTCAAAGTGCATACACCACCTCAGTCTTAATCATTACAACCCTGTGAAATATGTCAGTATGTTATTATCCCCCTATTGCAAAACGTGCTTGTGTGTCTAAAAGAGACTTGCCTGCAACCAATGGAAAAGGAAGTGGCACGTTGCCCTAGCACTGTCCTCTTTTATTGGCGTTTGGGCTGCAGAGATGGGTTTTGCCCGCAACAGTACTATTCCAGAATTTGAGAAGTTTGCGGATCGTAACATGACGATATGTTTCCTGAGGAGAGAAACGTGTCCCCGCCGTGCCAAAAGGGAGTCCCTCTGTTTCTTTCCTTTCTCACCCTGAAACCATCGCGGATCCAATGAACGCACTACCGAGGGCCGGTCTCCCGAGGGCGGGACGTACCCATGTGACTGACCGACCAGACGGGGAGGAACCGCCGCCCCCGACAAGCGGCGGCCTACCCGGGCCCAGCGGCGGCGGCGGCGGCGTTTCCGAGTCTGTCGCTGCCGGGCCCGGGCCGGCGAGGCCTCTGCTCCATGGGGAGGCCGGGCAGCCCCCCGCAGGCGGAGAGCCGCTGCCCACTGTGGGCGCTGCCGGAGGAGCTGCTGCTGCTCATCTGCTCGTACCTGGACGCGCGGGCCTTGGGCCGCCTGGGCCAGACCTGCCGCCGCCTTTGCCGCTTCACCTGCCGGGATGCGCTGTGGAGGCGACTCGCCCGTTCCTGCCTCAACGCAGGCTTCAGCGCGCACGGCGCCGACCTGTAAGCGCCTGGGCTGGGGAAAAGCCGGCTGGGAAAACACGGGGCTTCGCGGCCTAGCTGGTTGCTAAGGGGCGCCCTTGTAACCAAGGCCACGCCCGCTCTGTCAGGGGAGGTGGGGGGTTCCTGAAGCGCCAGGGCCCGGCGAAGGAGGGAGGGAGGGAGGATGACCGCCGCGGATTCCCGCGGAGGAGTCCGGATGGCCTGGCGGAGGGGCGGAGATCTTGTTCGGGGCTCGTAATGGGCGCGAAGCAGCCTGGGATACACAATCAGTTCAGGGGCCGAACTGTGCTTAGTTTTGTTGTCCCGGGACATACTGTCCTTAGGTACCTTATTAGACACGGTATGTTGTGTCCTGGACCCATTGATCTGTGCCATCCAATGTTAGATCCCACAATCTTGCAAGGAACCCAGGCTTTTAGGGCATCTATTACTGTGACAGCGGATGCCTGTTTTCACTACAATTTAGCATTGGAGGCACGCTTTAGGTAACACTCAAAAAGATGTAGATGTGGGCTTGTCCCTTCAAACTCTACAATTGTATGATTATATATGCTTCCAGAATAAGCGGGGGGGGGGGGGCTTCCTTCTTGCAGCCCCAACCCTTACACACCCGGCAGTAAGTCCCATTGACTTCAGACTCTCTTTGAACTCGGTTGCGTTGTCTGTTGTCTGTACAGCCCTGGTTCTGAACAGAAGGCAACACTTTTGAGACCCAGAGATGCCTAATAGCCCTTGGGTCTAGTTGCATTTCCATGTGACATCCCAGACTGTCTTGAGTCTCAGATTTCTTAATAATTTATAACCTGATACAGAAAGTGGAAGAAAAGCGAGTTTACTTCTTTGTCAGCATGGACTTTTCAGTTTTAATATGCAGGAAATTTAAAGGTCGATTAAAGGTGTTGTGTATTCCTGTTGCCTTGGTAGTAGTTGTGGGCCTGCTGTGATTACTCGGGGTACTCTGTGCCCCTCAAGTGTAGCAAGGCTGGAATCACAGCTGAATTAGATTGGTTCTTTTCTGACCTATGCTTAATTACTGATTAGTATGTTTAAGTTCTACTCAAACTCTGCTTAAGGGATGGAGTTAATGCAAAATTACAGTGTTAAAACAATGCACTTAATGTACATCAGCAAAGAACTTACTGTGTTCCTGTTTTGCTTTATCTTCCTTTACCCTGTCCTCCGGGTTTGTTTCTGAAGTGCTCAAACTGGGAAGTGTATAATGTTGCACTTTCATGCGCATGGATCATTGCATTTGTAATTGTGTGGGAAACAAACTGCCAATATCATCAACATGTGGTGAGGAAAATTTCACTACTTCCCCGCCTCCTTTGTTTTCTGAAGAAATTTGCGGCATAAATTGCCCCATGAGGTAGCTGGATGCAACAGATGCAGCATAGCATCTAAATAGATTACATTTCAGCTGGTAACTGACCAGCTGAAATGTTCATCGTGTAGATGCTATGCTATATATTTAATAAAACCCAGTTTACTAGTAGTGACAATTGAATCAATGGTAGTTTGTGAAGGAGTATGGGGAGGAGCTATTAGCTCCATACATCTCTTATATGCAGACCCCTAGTTCAATCGCTGGCATCTCTAGCTACATCTGAAGTAGTAGGTTGGAGAGAGACTCCTCCTTGAGACATTGAAGAGCTGTTGACAGTCCATGTTGATCAGGCAACAGCTGGTCTGCATGTTCTGGTTTGAGGGTTTCATTCACCTTTGGCCAACTCTTGGGGACTAATGCCAGTGGTGGATGTGACCTAAAGCAAGAATGGTCATCTCAGACGCCCACACATGCACACTCTCCCATGTGCGTGCACACACAGGACAAACACACAGCTTTGTATCCTGGTTAAAGGATTAGTGGTAACTGGTGAATGCTGGTATTGACATATCCTTTAATAGTAGTTAAACGGAGAGAAAGTTGTCTTTCTTTGATTTCGTAACCATATTAAAACTATATAAGCTCTTTTGGTATTTAACAACTTATGTGGTATTTTATTTATTTATTTATAATAAGTATTTCTGTACTGGTGTATCATAAAATATATCAAGGTGGTGTACACTAGAAGACACAATTTAATATTCTCACTTAATATTAAAGATACAGATAATCATTCAGGTGACTTAGTAAAAAAAAAGAAATAAACAGCTGCAAGGCCTGTCAGTACAAGAGCCTTCAAGAGATGCCTGAAAGTGAGAATACCTGCCAAATCATTGCTGGAAGAATTTTCCACAGCATTGGACAGATGACACTAAATGCCCAACTCTAGCCGAGACCAATTGGGCCTCTGTAACATGAGATTGAGACTTCCTCAATCTCGGCCCTCCAGATATTTTTTTGGCCTACAACTCCCATGATCCCTAGCTAGCAGGACCAGTGGTCAGGAATGATGGGAATTGTAGTCTCAAAACACCTGGAGGGCTGAGGTTGAGAAAGCCTGCTCCAGATGATCTCACTTTTTCACCAGATGAACTTCTCTCTGGATGATTTTCATTAATTTGTTTTGGTGTTTTTCTTAGATAAATCTTGGATTTATTTTTAATAAATCCAGACTTTCATTTGAGTGTATCTTATAAGGTTCATAGGGGCAGAACCTGAAGTGTTTAAAAAAATCTGATGCATTTGAATTAAAAACATCAAAATCTTCAGTTAATCATGAGCCAAGAACCATGAAATAATTATTAAAGTTCAAACAGATTCTACTGGGCCTGACTAACATTAGTTGGATGGCCCTGAACAGTTTAAAGATAGCTTTAGAACTTAATGCTCTTTCCAAAAAATCTTCTATTATGCTAATCTGTTTAAAAATGTTGCTGAATGGAAAACCAAGGAGACACATCAAGACCTGGGGTTGTGGGAGGTAGTAAAGGAAATTCCCTTTGCACCAGTGTCTTGGGCGATAGTTACATTGAAATCGGCAGGGGTGAGGGCTGTAGGATTGTTGTATCTTTCAGCACCTGGGATCTGCTTGCTGTGCTATATTGTCCTTCCTTCTGAGGAAATGAATTTTTGTATTTTTTCATTAACTATAAGCTCTACATTGGATGCAGGAGGGGGTCAGGTATACAGCATAACAGGTGCAGTAGTTGGTAGGGCCTCTACTCTTATTTCTAAAGTGAAAGGCTGAACAATAATCTGAAATTTCAGGCAAACTGAGGAAAGTGTACAAATGAAAGCATATATAAACCTCTCGAGGTAACTTTAAATGTTCACTAGCTTTTCTTAAAGGCTTTTTTTGATTGCATTTTCCTGTTGTATAGTGGACTCTTAAAATACCTCAATAGCATTATGAGTGTGACTGTGTGAAGAGTGGTGGGAAAATGTTTAGAATTGGCCTCTTCCTGTATTTTGCTTCTTATCCCTGGGCATTATAAGGCTTCCTAGATTTGAGCACATTGTGTGATAGTAGTGCTGGGTTTTTTTTTGCCTGTGGTCAGACAGTGAACTGGTTATGTGCTTCTTAGCTTGCAGTAGAAGACATGTACAGTAATACACTGTACAGCATACACTGGTCCTTGGACTTGGGTTTTATACTCCTGCCAGCGAACACTACCTATAACCACTTTCCTGCCACATAACAGATGCTTATCATGGGGCAGATGGAGCTATGGGTGGGATAAGCTGGGCCCACAGTTACGGTGAAGCAGACAACAACTTTGAATTTCTCAGATCTTGTGTGCAGGTGCAGATGGTGACTAGGGGTTGCCAGTTGTGTGTTAATTTTAGGTAAAATTATGAAGGTTTATATTTGTCTTGTTTAAGGACTTCAGAAAGGAACAAATTTTGAAAATAAGTTGTGGTAGTCAGAGTCACAGCTACAGGTTTCTATTGGCAAATTTCAGGGTTTGTTTGTTTTAATATTGCTTTCAGCATTAGTTTTGGACTTTTGAGCTAACACCTCTCCAAATCCAACCATATGGGATTATTTCCAGCTAATCTCTAATATTCAGTATTCTTGGATGAGGTTCTTGAGTATGTAGTGGTACCTCAGCTCCAGGTGTTCTTGGATGAGGTGAATTATCTAGATCCATTTCAAACCAGCTTTAGGCTGCATTTGACAGGAAACTGAGAGATGGCTGCTGTTCTAGATGGCTGCTACTGGGCCAACTTCTTTCCAGAAAAGATCCATGGGTGCCCCATCTCTGCTGAATTTCAGCTGGCAGGCAGTTACATACTTATTCTGACATGTAAGCAATTACATATTTATTCAAATATACCTTTGGCCTCTATTATTATTTACTGGATTTCTTACCTGTCCTTCACCATAAGGTCACAGGGTGAGCAACAACATTATAAAAAGACAATATTAAAATCAGTTGAAACAATTTTGATTCAGAAGCATAGGGTGGGTCCTAGTTTGTGTGTATATATATCATGTGTCAAAAGTAATGGTAAAGAGTTGTGTTTTCAGTATACAGTGGTACCTCGGGTTACATACGCTTCAGGTTACATACGCTTCAGGGTACAGACTCCACTAACCCAGAAATATTACCTTGGGTTAAGAACTTTGCTTCAGGTTGAGAACAGAAATCGTGCTCCAGCGGCGCGGCGGCAGCAGGAGGCCCCATTAGCTAAAGTGGTGCTTCAGGTTAAGAACAGTTTCAGGTTAAGAACGGACCTCCGGAATGAATTAAATACTTAACCTGTATGGCAATAACTATATAGTGAAGGTGTCAGGTGCGCCTCTGTGCTTAGGAGCTGCCACAGAGAATTCCTTCTCCCATTCTGTACCCCCACCAATGTCTCAGTGTGGCAGAACTATGAAGAGGGTTCCTATACAACACCTGAGGGAGTTCTGTAGGAAAGGAGATGGTCTTTCAGATGTTTGGGGCTTTAGTCATTTAGGTCTTTAGAAGTAATGTAAGCACCTTCAATTGGGCCCAGAAATGAACTAGCATCTATAAGCTCACTAGTTTTGCCAGTATAAATGTTGCAGTTTGCTAAACAGCCAGTTTTGTTTGTTCGTTTTACAGATGCTTTACCTATGTGTGCTAATGTTTTGATATTTTATATTTTACTTGTTTTTTACTGTTAGCTAGCCACCTTGAGCCCTGTTTGGTGGAATGACAGCATGCAAACAAACAAATAAGCAGTGTACTGGTCTTGGAGGTTATCGTCTCACTTAGCCAAGGGTTTGATGGTGTTCTGGTCAGGTTTCTCTACTTTGACATTTTTTTTGTCAGTTTTTAAAATGGAAATTACAGTTTGAGTATTACATTATAAGTTTTATTTTGTTTCCAGAAGCCTAGGAGAGGGAGGCATTGGCAGAGTATCCTTGCTGACTATTCCTGCACAAGGATGAAAATAATCTCAGAACATTTTGGTACACTCATCAAGAGTTGGATGCCTCAGGTTTCCAGCCTTGTGCACGACTACTAATGCTTTCCTATTATACTGGAGGTGCCCCATCTAATAATTGTAGAATGCCATTTGCCCTCTGTGTGAGCATACATTGTGGCTTCTGCTCTCTCTTTTTATCCTTTGAATTCCTAGGAGACTAGCATGGAATGAGCTTCTGTACTGTGCACAGCTGTGTATTGCAGGTGGGGTAGATTGATTAAGGTATTAGTCTCTAACATGATCTATGGTGGATTGTGCAGTGTTCTAACAAACAGGGTAAAAAAACATCTCTAAATGTCCACATGAGTATTTGAACTTACTATTAAGTATGGAATTTGCAGTACTTGATTCAGAGCACATGGGAGCTAGGAAGCCAAGGTTCACAACTGTATTTATTGTCGTCTTCAGAAGTTTGCAAAAGGTTTTGTTTAACGGTTTCTGTGTGATGATAAAAACTGAGTTTAGCATTTCTTTAAAGGCGGTGGCAGGGAGAAAGAGATTGTGATCAATCACCTGCAGGAGCAGGAAAGGGCCATTTGATTTTAATATAGTTTGCCCAAATGTACATTGCAGCAGGAAGAGAGGTCTTGTATTACAGTATGTGCACGTGGTGACTGAGTGCATAATTTGAAAGAATTGTATGCTGCCCTTCAGTAACCAAATGTCTGTAAGAAAGTTCCCTTCAGATCTTGTAAAGCAACATCTCTAAAGTGCTTCCTGGTGTTGTCAGAAATGATGAGCCCCCTTCCCTAAACGCCAGAGCATTCTTTGCCGTTGCGGTTTTATGACCAGCAATGTGGTAGTTAACTTGGACTCTGTTTTATTCATCGTACACCTTCTTGTCATCTTACTCTTGGCCTTAGCTCTCCCTTTTAAACTTGCCTATTCAGAAATAAAAATATACCTGGGGTGAGCCGTAGCTGAGTGGTGGAACATAGTGTTTTGTTTTTTAAGCAAACACCCTGCACCTGAGCATCCTTGTTTGGAATTAAGTTGTCTCATTTTTATAGGACTTGCTTCCAAACTGAAAGAGCTGTGACATATAGTTTTCAGGCTACATATAGCTCAAATGCATTTTAGTGTCATCCATGGATTTTTACAAGAATTTTGATCATACCAAGGTTATATAACATCAATAAAATAAGATTTATTAAAGATTAAATTAAAATAATTATTGTGAAGATACGTTTCAAATGTGATGGTGTTATGAGATGTTTGGCTTGGGAATAAGGAGACAAATAAAAATAATTTGACTCCTCACCATACTTTATAAACTGTTTTAGGCCTATGTCAGATTACCCAAGGGGCTAATAGATTATCTACTATTGCATTATATCTATAACAGTGGAAAGCGAAATGCCGGTGGACGACAAAAGAGGCTTAAAGACTCTCTCAAGGCAAATCTAAAAAAATGCAGTATAAGCCCAGATAATTGGGAACATTGACCTGCAAGCGCTCCAGTTGAAGAATATCTTCTACCAAATGCGTCATGGTCTTTGAAGAAGCATGAACTCAGGACAAAAATAAGAAACATGCTAAGAGGAAGGCATGTTTGGCCAATCCTCACCATGATCAACTTCCACCTGGAAACCTATGTCCCTACTTTTGAAGGACATGTGGATCCAGAATTGGCCTCCACAGTCGCTTATGGACACACTGTTAAGACCATATCCATGGAAGACAATCTTACTTGGCTATGAGTGATCGCCAAAGAAAGGAGAAAGAAGATGTAGTTAGAATAGCTTTTTGATGTGGTATCTGTCTAAGGTGACTCTTGGTGCTGAATAAATCGACTAGTGTTGTAAGCAGGTGACTAAAGTAAGTGATAAATATGTAGGGTCAATAAGGTGATAATATCTTCATTTCTTACACATTGCTTCAGATTCTAACACAAGAAATCTATAGCTTAAAAGGGGAACATTAACATTAAATCTTGTGTCTGTGTACTATGTCCTCTGCATTGCTTTCCCCTCCTATGTTTTTACCAGTTTAGGACATCTGAACTAGGCTGCTTAAACATGGATTCTAGGAAAATAAAGAAAAGGAAATATTTCTGAGCTAGATTGATAGCTCTTCAGAGTGACAGAGTGGATAAATGGTAGATAAGAAAGCTCCTGTCTCTTCATAATGTGGACAGCATGATGCCTGAGGGCATAGAGGGCCAGCGCTCCTATTTGGTTCAAGTACAATCCTGTCTCTGTAAGCATCCTAAAATGGTGCTTTACTAGGTTTAGGCTTATTTGTTGTGTTAGCACCATAGGAGAAAGGAGGCAGGGTATGGTAATAACTTCCAAGTCAGCTTTTGCTGGTGGGCATGTGCAGGCAATCCTTTAAATCTGAAAAGCTGGCGCATTCCCTAGTGGAAGTAGATCCAATAAAAGACTTGTAGACCTGGCTTGGATGTCACAGTAAATCATGGTTTGTCATGATAGGAACAAACTGCAGTGATTTTGGAGCTCAGACACCATTCCCTTCTCTTATCCTTTGCAATGACTGTAAAAAGAGGATTGGAAGCCTCAGGCTTTTTTTCTAAACTGCGGTTGTTTCATCTGAAACCAAGAAACAGTAGTTAATCTAATTATGGCTTGTTTCAGCAAACAACACTTAAGACCCACTGTTTAGAGTTTGGATGTAACACTAAACTGTGGTTAATCAAAATAGAAGTCAAAGTTTCTTACCTCATTTTTGCAGTCATGTTTGGGGAGGAACGTGAAAGGGTTTTCTGGCTTGTTCTTAGCACGAGAAACTATGGTTTATTGCAGCATCTACAAAATGGCCTCACACTGGTGCTTATACTGACTTTTGGCTCTGAGAAGAGCCAAAAAAATTATTATTTGAAATAATCAAATATCAGTGCAGTTAAAAAACCACAATAAAAGAGTTGAAGAAAATACGGCAGAGCAAAAATGTCTCAACCTCTTGTCTAAAGGACAGGAGAGAAGGAGCCTGTCTAATTTGCTTTGGGAGAGAGTTCTACATTTGGGGAGCTGCCACTGTAAAGGTTCTAAGTAAGCAAATTACACTAGTGCTTCGCCAATTACAGTTGCTCCTGATCCATTTCCAGGCACAATTTGAAGGCTCGGGATCAGGATACCTAAAGGGTATCCTGTCTCGATATGTGCCTGTCTCCATATGTGCCTACTTGGGACCTAAGATCTTCATTGGAGGCCCTCGATGAGCGTTGTTGCTGGGTAAGCTGTGGTAGGTTACAAGGGAAAAGGTCTTTTCTGTGTCAATACAGAATGCTTATGGAATGCTCTTCCCAGATGTTTACCTGGTGCCTACCACAGTCATTTTGGCACTTTTTTCATTTTCTCATGCCTTTTGATTTATTTTAACTTCAAATTTGATTTTTGTATTTATTTGTGGTTTTATGCTGTTTTTAAACCCCACACCCAGACTGTCTTGCTATTGCCCGATCTTCTGAGTTTCCCTGACAATTTGCTGTTGGGTCTGATATAAATATCCAAGCAAATAAATAAAACAATTAGAACTCAATCTGAATCCATGGGCATTTAGATTTCAGACATGAACTGGAAGTTAATACCCGGTCCAAGACATTCTTGCAAAACATCAGCATTTAAAGTGGGAATTCTTCCTCATACTTTCAGTGGACATATTTTTTTGCCATTTTGGACCAGAGTAGGAGGTAAAGCGCAGAGACTGCAAACCGACCCTCTAGTCTCTTTTCCTGATTGTAAAAAACAAGATTCTTAGGTGATGGCAATCTCTGTGTGTTTTTGTTTAAAGTGGGTCACATGCCCAGGAATGCAGTCAAATTATAATGGTGACAAAGTGCCGGAAAAGGGAGGGAGATGGGGGGGGAGGGAGAGAGAGAGCCCCAGGCGATGGAAAGAGAGCTGGGAATACTAGAGTCTGGCTAGGCCTCAGGGCCAGGTTAGAGATTCTCCCATGCATTAACAGCTATAAGAGATGTTTGTTTAAAGGGATATTTTTTTCTCCTTTGGGGTGCTTTGTCATTTTTTAAACAATACAGGTCATCAAGAACGGAGAGGGATGGTCAAGAAGAATAGTTGCACTCCTTGGTGCACTTGCTCTTGTTTCTTCTGCTATGTATCTAATCAAGCTTCATGTTTAATAGTTTCAAACATTACATTGATGGAGAAATTCTACATGTGTTATTTTTTAAAGTAATTGTTAACTCAGTTAACAAAGTAAGGGAAAGGTAAAGGGACCCCTGACCATTAGGTCCAGTCGTGACCAACTCTAGGGTTGTGGTGCTCATCTCGCTTTATTGGCCGAGGGAGATGGTGTACAGCTTCCGGGTCATGTGGCCAGCATGACTAAGCCGCTTCTGGCGAACCAGAGCAGTGCACGGAAACGCCATTTACCTTCCTGCCGGAGCGGTACCTATTTATCTACTTGCACTTTGACGTGCTTTCGAACTGCTAGGTTGGCAGGAGCAGGGACTGAGCAACGGGAGCTCACCCCATCGCGGGGATTCGAACCACCGACCTTCTGATCGGCAAGTCCTAAGCTCTGCGGTTTAACCCACAGTGCCACCCGTGTCCAATTTAGTTAACAAAGTATCAATAAGTAAATAAATAAAGCCAGAATCCTAAACATACATCCTTGGGTGCAGGGATGCCCACATTGAATAAAATTTTTTTGGGGGGCAGGTAAACCCCACCCAACATAATCACATGACACAGCACACACACACCATTTGAATAGCAGTGTCCATAAACTTTGCGGGGTGTGGCCCCCTCAAATATTTTACAGGGGGGGGGGCAAAGGGACCTCAGCCCCTAGGAGTTGGCTCCTATGCTTGGGAGTAAACCTCATTGAACAAAGTGGGACTTACTACTTAGTAGACTTGTATAGGATTCCCCAGCGAAGCTTCTCTTTGTGATAAAAGAAATTAAAGTCAGTGTGAAGGTGATAATTGCTTAAAATACATAGGAATACGTGGCAGGTTTGAACTTCCCATGCTCCTAAAAATTGATGGAAAAACTTCACGGACCAACAAACTTAATTGACTTTATTAAAACAATATGGTTAAGTCAGTATTAAAAATACTTTTATTGCCGGGGCAACTATTCTGGTTTGAGTTGCAGGGAACTTCAAGTCCTTCAGTAGCCAGTGATTAATATCCCTCTAGTATCACTTGTTCTAGCACAGCTTATTAGGATAGGAAAAGAAACTGTTTAAAAGCAGCACCTTACTTCACCCATTGTTTTAAATCTCTTCTGTGCCTCATGTTTTTTTAGTTCTATCCACTGATGCATGAAAAGAGCTTTCTTCTTTGTTAGCCCCCACCGCTAATGGGGAACTAGACATCTTCTATTCAGTCTCATGTTTGATGGATGGAATTGCTAGCAAATCTCCAATTGCAGACTTCTTTTTTTGTTGTTTGGGGGCAGAACATGGTTCATGTTTCTACTGCTGTCCTTAAGGGTTAGCTTACTGCTGTGATTTTCTTAGAGACAGTGCTTGCTATAGTCTTGCATTTCCAGTGTAAGGGGAAATGCCATGGGGAGGCAGTTGGTATCTATTTGTCCTTTTGGAGGTTACCGTCCAGCACAGAGTTAGCTGCAATTAAGCCCCACAGATTTGGTGGGACTTACAGTGCAATTATATGCATGTCTGCTCAGAAGGAAACCCCATTCAGTGGGTTTACTCTCAGGTAATTGGGCATAGGAATGCACCTTTATGTACCTGTAGCTGTGTGCTGGGTAGTGGTCCATGTAAGCAAGCAAGAGTGGTTTCCTGTTGAGAGCAGAAGAGTAGAGTGCTCTCAGCCACTGCTGTTTGCTACTGGGTCTGTCTATAAGTTAACCCACATTTATATCAGAATTGGCCTCATTTAGTACCTAATTTTACTAGTCCAGAAGACTTTATGGAATTTAAGGTAACCTCTAGTATTGTGGTCTTTCCCCTTTAAAGGTCAACTTCATGATGGTGAAACAGAAGGGGTTTGGCTGAGTTACATGGGATGGGGAAATTTACAACAGTAATAAAGGATCTTGTAATAAATCCTTAAGCTCCAGCTGCCTACATATGGACAGTGCTGCTGCAGGCAACAATGGAGTTTTATACTTACTTATACTGTACCTTCAAAATGTGCATTAGTGCTTTTATGGTATAGCAGGAGTGGGGAAACCTCCAGTCCACAGGCCTTATTTGGCCTGCCAGTCCCTGGAGACTGACCTATCAGGACTTTTAGGGAAAACCATGCCCACCTTTCTTGCACCTGACATTTGAAACTTCAAGCTGCAGCTAAAATGAAGAAAAATCAAAAGCCCATTATAAATGTGCCCCTGATTCTTTCCTTGAATCAAAAGGAAGATTTAGTACTGGGTAAAGAGTAACATAAGGGAAAAAGAAGTATCTGCCACAGAGATCTTACAATACAAATCTCAACACTGGTCGACAACAGAGGGAGGTAAGAAAGGGCAAGGAAAGGGTAATGGATGGAACGTGAACAAATGCCGTTACACCTGCTTAGGCTACCCCACTGAAGTGGTCACTAGCTAACTAGCCTGAACTCACCTTTCTAGTTCCATGAGAACAGAAATCCTTTCCAAGTTTGTGTTAATAATAAACAGCCACAATAGCTCTTGTCCTGTTACCTGCCGTGCATTTGAACGGTTGGTGCCCGTGAGCCTGGTGCTGGAATGCACAAAGCCAGGACAAAAGCATTCCTGCAGTTTTGTTCCTCCCACTGTTGCACATGCCTGCTTAAAGTAGCTTTCTTTCATGCAGAGCTCTTAGAGGATTCTCTTTATTTGCTTTATCAGTTCACCGGCTGCTAAATTTAGACTCTAGCTCTTGGTAGTGTTAAAATAAAACCTCCTTGGCCTCCCTGAGTGATCATGTTTGTGCCTAATTTCAGAGATGAAATGGTTTGGTAGTACTACCTTGCTGGCTTAGCACCTGGACTAGTTGGTAACTTCCACCTTGCACATTTCTTTTGGGCTCATGCCCTTGTGTGCGAAGTTTCATTGCAAGTCACATACTTTGAAATGGAAAAAAACTATTTGCTATGGCTCTGGAATGTGGGGAGAAAACTCCTGGCTTGGTTTTCTTTTTGGAATGAGCTTTTCAAAATTTGGAAGTGTAGGGTATGTGCCAGCGCTGCAAGTGGAAGTGTAACTGAACTACTGGCACACTAAATATAGTGCTGTAATAAAGGATTTTTTAAAAATGGGAATCAGTATCTTGATTTGTTTCGTGTTTCAGCAGAGCGTTTGGTACATTACCTCATGTGAAATAATTAAAATGGAAAATACATTTTACATTGCAGTCCTGTGTAAGTTGGTGCCATAGCAAGTTCCATTACATTAATGAAGTTTGCTGTCAAGTAAAAGTGCATAGAGTTACAGCCTTAATTGCTAAAAGGAAGTTGACAGTGACTTTATTTGAAAGGTAAATCTCTTGAGGAATTGGATGTATGGATAATGCCATTATATAGATTAGTCACTAGGTGGCACTTAACATGATTGTATCTCAGCGATATTCAGTATTTCCTTTTGTTGTTCTGCTCTTGCTTAAGAGAGAAAATAAAGCTTTTGTCAACCTTCCTGAGTAGCATGTCCTCTAAGCCTTCTCTGACAGAGCATAATTTTTTGGAAGGTTGGTCTGGGTTGCTGTTTTGAGTCATATGTTCATTTAGCAATTTTAGTAAAATTTTGCCCTCCTGTAATTTCAAATCTGTAATTGTCTGCATGAGGAAAGACGTATATTTTTTCATTCCTGGATGTTTTTCTTTTGCTGGGACAATTATTATGCAGTTGTCTTCTTGAGAGCTGTAGCAAAACTAGTCTGTGGCTGTATAGTTATGACTTGGATCTATCATGATCTGGTTTATAATTCCTAACATACTCAAAATATAAACTAGCAGGTCATAATTTTAATGATTTAAGGAGGCACAAAAACATGATGGAAAAAAGAGTGTTGAGAACTGAAAATTGCTCATGTTGATGTAGTTCTACTTCTGGTAGCTTTCAGCAATACTACAGTGGCATTGGTTGGCAAATGTTATCTCCCTTCTTCCTTCAAGCACTGGGATAGTGATGGAGTCATCTAGTTCCTTTCTGTTATGTCAGTTATCTGATGGAGTCCTACCCAGCCCTGACTTTTCTCTTAATTACTCTTTCTCTGCAGAGTGGCTGGTGTTCCAGTGAAGGAAAGGGTCAAGGTTTCTCAGAACTGGAGGCGTGGACGCTGCCGGAAAATCCCACTCCTCAGATGGAAGCGCAAGCAAGTGGTTCCTTCTCTTTTCTCCTGCCCCATGATTTTCAGCTAGAATTCTCTCTGTCTTTTGGAGTTCATCCTATTTTTTGTCTCTGTTCAGCTCTTGCATCTCTTTGGTTACACAGTGTTTGAGCCTCTTTAACTTTTGGCATTCTGAGATTGGGTAGCTGTTGATGCTGCTTTCTCTGCAACCTGCTTTCATTTGCCAGTACTATAATACCAAAACTCCCTGAATGCTCTGTGTGTCAAGTCTTATTCTCAAATTATCACTGAAATCTCAGTGTCCAAGCTGCTTGATACTATGCGGGAAGAATATCTACAAGCAGAAAATGGTGAATCAGCTAACTTTAAACAGGAGTGTTTAAAGTTGCTGCTGATAAATTGCTTCTCTTTCCTCTCAGTTCCTCTTTTGAGACTGAGTGTTCTCCCCTTCCTCACTATATGCTACTTAAATTAGAGTGTGTGGGGGGGAATTAAGTAGCATACGGGGTGGGCAAGGAAGACAATATCCAGTCTCTGATTTTTTAAAATGCTAAACATCACCAAAGTTTCCAGCTCTCCAAAGAACTGCCTGCTTTTACATGGATCACTTATTAACATAATATTTTTTGATAATAATTATTTGAGGCTTGTTTGATTCCAAGTCTTTGGATTACAATGTTAATAATGTTATTAATGTTGTGAGCCACCCTGTGATCTTTGGGCAAAGGGCAGTATAAAACACAAACAAACAAACAATATATTTTTTGTCCTGCTTTTAGGGAAAACCCCTTTCCAAAGACAGTTAACAAATATAATCATAAAAAGGTAACACCATAAATCACATAAAAGCAAAAGTAAAAGCTTTCGCTTCACACCAGCAGTAAAATAGCACCATCAGTTTAAAATCACAGTTTAAGATGGAGGGGTAGTACTTGGGTGGGTGTCACATTTTCTTCTGTATATTTTCTTACAGCTTTACCAAACAGGAGCATAGATACCTCTCCACAGCAAGGCTATATATTCTATGGGCTTTGGTGGTTGGGTTAGAGTTAGTACAAATATATCATGGGATTCTTTAAAAGCATTTGGAAAGGCCTGAAGTTCCATAATAATTAAGAGTTTAGGATGTTTGTCAACTGTCAGCATAATTTCTAATATTTTAGTATATTTCCCCCTCCAGTTTAATGCCCTGGATGCAGCTAGATGATGACTACCTCTACCTATCCCAGGCAGAAGACATTCAAGTTTATTGGCTCCATCCCAATGGTACCAGCTTGCAACACTGTTCCCAAGCAGTCTTCTCTGGCCACCAGGAGGACGTGTGCCGCTTTGTGCTTGCTAATGGCCATATTGTCAGTGGAGGAGGGTAAGCTCTTTGTTATAGGGAAATAAGAAGGAGGGTGATGGTAGTTGAGTGTCCAACATTGGTTTATAGGTGCACTTGAACAAGAACTGGAAGAACTGACTTTCAGAGCTCCTGCATTATGTGGCTGACTTTTATTTAAAGGATCCCTGTTTGGGGATCACTGGGCAAATCAGTCCCCATGGCCAGGGTGGTGTACATGCTGTGATTCTGCAGAAGTGTGAAATGTTATATGGGGCAACAAAATTCAGTTTACTGAGAATTTAAGCTTTCTTTTATTTTACTCTTAAAGGGCAGGCTTCTGGCCCTTACAGCTGCAAGGATATGATCAAAAACTGAAGGTTGACTGAAACAGATTTCCAGTGGTTGCAGTTGGAGCTTCTGTAGCCTGCATAGCCTTGGCTATCAAAAAATGTGGAATAATTTATGCAAAATAAGAGGGGGGTCATGGATTTGCCAAACCTTTTAGGACATGTGAGCAAGTCCTTTGTTGTCTTCAGTGGCAAATTAAGTATAGAATGTATATGCTGTATTGGATAAATACTTCCTGAATATCTCTGTATATTAGTTTTTGAAATAAATGAAAAGAAAGGGCAATTTTGATGTTTGCATTAGTTTCTATCATTGTTGTAGCTAGGGATTTTCAAGACTTACTGGTCTCAGAGGTGAGATCTCTCCTGTCTGCATGTGCTGGGTTGAATGTATGTGTAGATAATGTGTTGTATTTAGGAAATGAAACTACTACTGTGTTGGTATATCTCCAGCTAGAGCATGAAGAGCACTTCTACGTCATGCTCTCTCAAATCTGTCTTTTACATCTTCATTAGCAGGGATAATCTGAAGCGGAATTCAGTTAATTGACCCTCAGTGAAGGAGAGTAGATTTGGATATGAGACGCTCTCATGCCATTTGCCAGAGTTATCAATGCCTTGTGGCATTTGTTCCAAGGAGATGCACCTTCTTCACTGTGGTTTTGTTTTTCAGAGATGGCAATATTGTCCTTCATAAGCTGAATGGCTCCTTCAGCTTCAAGTTCTTAGGGCATGAACAGGAAGTGAACTGTGTGGATTGTCAAGGAGCTATCGTTGTGAGTGGTTCACGGGACAGAACAGCAAAGGTGAGTGTCTATGTCTTGCTTTATACTTAGGAGTGTGTGTATGAAAAGAAAATCGGAAGATGGAATGGGGGAATACTGTTCTCTTCCCTCTCTTTTGGATTAACAGTTAAACAAACTTTTCAGCTTCATTGCTGCCCGTTTCCAGGATTTTCTTACATCTATACAAGTTTATCTCAAATGTTTCAGACATGTATCTCATAGCCACCTGCCCAAAGTGGAGTAACTAACTACATTTCTCTTGTGACACAGACATTATATAGGCCTGCTGAGATTTATGACAGTCAAAAATCAGATTACAGAGTCCTGGTTCCGTTGCCCTTTAAGGCTTCTGTCTGTTAGTTCTTTTGCTGAATTGAGTGGGAGTCAGGATCCCTTGGAGAACAGAATATTTATACAGCCATTTCTTCCTTCCTTTATAAGATTCTAGGGCTGAAAGAGCATACATGCTTAGTTTAGAGCATGCGTTGGGAACCTGTGGCCCTCCAAATGATGAAAAACTACAATTCCCATAATCCTTGAAGGTGGATTCCAACAACATTTAGAGGGCCATATGGTTTCTGGCCCTTGTTGAGAGCCAAAGTTTTCACTGTCTGAGTCATATTTTTATTTTCCTAGAGAGAAATGGGGAGATGCAAGATTCTGTGTGTGTGTGTGTGTTTTAGCTAGAAATTTAGTTGTGCTAACAGTGATGTGGAGCAACAGCTTATTTTTTCATGAGCTTTTATTTATTGAGGTTTGCGGTGGCAAGCTGTCAGAGAGAACACATGTAGAGGGATTTAGTGTTTTTCTTCCCCTGACATTACCCTTACGATGGAAGAACATTCTTTGGGGTAGTGACCAGGATTAGTCCAGCTTCAGTGAACAGTCCTAGCTTTTCTGATGCTACGCTTCCTACTCTTAGTTTAAGATCTGGATCTGGGTTATCTCTAGAGCTGCTTTCAATGAGCATGCAACAATTCCCACCCAAGCAGCCAGCAGACTGTGTCTTAACTGATAGTTTCCTTATGGGGCACTGACCAAATGGTTCTGGCACTGGCCAAATGGTTCTGACAATTTGGAGAGTCAGAAGAAATCCACTAAGAGGATAGGCTGAACAGCAGCAGAAGAATGTGAAGTGTTTCAAAAGTGTCAACCAGTGGCAAAAATGCTCTATTTGCTGTTTACGTTATTTGTATTATGACTCATTGCTTATTGTCAGCTGTTTGCTTCCTTGGAGGTTTTTAAGCAGAGGTTGAATGGCCATCTGTGATATATACTTAGTTGAGATTCCTGCATTGCAGGGGGTTGGATTAGATGACCCTCGGGATCCCTTCCAACTCTATGATTCTTCTATGATTCTGTGAATCTATACTTCCTACCTATGAGAACAATAAAGTGCTGGAACTTCTACAGCTGGTATCTTCAACCTTTTCAGACCCAGGACCTACTTTTAACCCAAACATGCATTTGGGAACACATTTCTTAATATTTTACTGTATGTTCAACAGTGCTCCTGTTGTGGCCTATCAGGCTGAGATCTGAATGGAAAAGTAGCTCAGTTTCTGAATTTCAATCACACTGAATTAAACTATCCATTATGTGGGATTCTTTGATGCCCTGCCACTGGAATCTTGTGACCTTGAGGGCAAGATCCTCAAAGTCAAAGGGAATTCTGCTTTAATTGTGCTCATTGTCTTTTTTTAAAAACCCCAGAAATGGAATCTGGCTCACCTAACACTCTTCCAGCCTGATCCTTATGAGCAGGGAATTTGCTTTTATTTTTACCAAGTGACATTTTCCTTGTGTTGACTCCTAGCTAGAAGGGAATCCCTAGTAGGTCTCTAATGGGAACTGTAAGTGCATTGGAGGGATAGTGAGTGTTGATTAGGGCTGAGCTTTGAGTAGCTGCTAATGCACATTCCTCATTGATAGGCACCAGATAGCGTGCTCCCAGCAATATTTTTAACCTGTATGAGATAGGGGTGCATTAAAAGAGCTCAACTTTTCTGCTGCTTTTGCTGACACTAGGTGCCAAATTCCCCTCTGACACCGAATAGCCTGCAATCCTGAGCATTATCAACAAACAAACAAATACAACACTCCCAGCTTTGAATTCCCTTAAGACATTGGGGGATAGTTGGAGAGGGAATCAGAAACCAAAATCTCAGGATCCAGAAAATGGGAGATGAATTTGTTGGGGGTAGAGGAAAGAAATGATGGTATTCAAAAGGATGTCAGGAACACAAGCTTAAGCTTTATTCAGTATGTCAGTAACAGATTTCTGAAAGCTCATAAACAAGTCACTTTACCCTGGTAATAAACAACATGTATTGTGGGAGAACAAGTATTATCAAAGTGTGAATGTGCATTAAGGGATTTGAGCATGTTTTAACAATTAGTACAGAAGGGGGCACTGCACGGGAAATTAGACTGCCCCATTCTCCATGTGCTTCTATTGTTTTGCAATAAACTTGGAGAGAAGGCTTTAAAGATTTGCCCAGACAAGGAACCATAAGAATAAAGATGAGATAAAATCTAAATTTGTTCTGACATGCAGACCTTCAACATAATTTGAGCAGATGCATTTCAGATGATTGTTCTCTGCTTTTAGCACCGGAACTGGGACTGATTTGGACAGAAGCTGCTACTAATCTCTTCTATCATTTCTTTGCTTAGAAAGCATGCAGTCAAAATATTGCAGGGGTAAAGAAGTTGATTTAAGTTTACTCTGCTAATTTCAAATTGTGCTCCCAAGATTTCTTTGCGAGGGATCATTTCCAAACACAGCTGCTGTTAACACTTTTCTCTTGCACTTTTTTGTTGTGTGGTGTTCATTTGCGCTTTCTCTCTCTCTAGGTTTGGTCCTTATCACCAGGCAGAGCTGGGCAGTGTTTGCACACCATACAGACTGAAGACCGGGTCTGGTCCATTGCCATTAGTCCATTATCAAGGTAACACGATATAAAAATTGCATTTGAATGTATGCACACTTCATGTTAAATCTGGTTTTTCTTTAGGTCTAAAGTTCCCTATTATACCAAGTATTCAGGAGGTCTAGAACTCAGCATTTAAGTATCATCAGTTCTGTGACTCAAAACTCTTTTTTGTGTAGAAACAGTAAATTAGGTAGATAAGCCTACTCTATATTTTTTGTGGAATTCAGAGCATTTCCTTCTATTTCTCTTGCCTTTTGGGTTCTAGAAAAAAGAAGTTTGAACTTGCAGAATACTCTGGTCTGTATGGGTGAAGTCAAGGGGTGCACTGGCTTAGATATTGTACCAAATACTTTCTGCATAAGGATCTTTAGTTTTCTCTTTTTTTCTCTTCACCCAAAGCTTACACTTGCACAATACCCTTGCAAGTGTCACTTTGGCAAGAGCAATATTATATCCTCTATGCCTATGAAAGCATAAAAAGTAAGTTGTACTTTTTTGTGGGAAGGGACGAGGGTTAGCTTTTCGGCTGTTGGCTGATTTTTAATCTTTTCCTTGCCTTTCTGCATTATGCAGTGGGGATCTGTACACACTCAAAGCAACTTAATTGCAACTGATGGAATGTGATTGAGCATGGGAGAAGTTCTGTCACTCACCACTGTGTCACAAGCTGTATCCAATTGTTGCCACTTGTACAACCACATTCCATATCGCAATTACAATCTGCAAAGTACTGTACAGTATTGCTTTTTCTTAAGTACAACATACAGTGTTTTGCTCAGAAGATTCAAGAGAGAGAAGGCTTAGAGTGGTTACAGGCTAGCTGTAGCAAGTTGGTCATTATCTAGTAACATGGCCTTTGCCATGAAACATACTATAGATATGATCATACTATCCCACCCTCCACCCCCTGTGTGATATGTTAATACATAGAATTGCTCATGGCAAATCACCAGTCCAAGGAACTGAAGAAACAGAAAACTGCAGCAAGTTCAATCAGTTCATTCTGCATACTAATTCCAAAACTAATTAATAGAAAATCCCTGTACAGTTGGAAGATAGGTGCGATTTACAATTAGCTACAACCAATCCATGGAAGGATTGGAATGAGAAAAATCTGCTCTTCCTTTAAGTGCAGCATACTCAAGTGCTGTTGGAAGATAGAGAACCATATTTTAAATTGAGACTGTGTTTATGGCACTTGACCTCAGAGTTCCTGAGAATACTGTAAAAATAAGCAAATTTCATTTTGATACATTCTACATATGTATTTCCTATATGAAACTTATTCACTGCTCGTCCCCTGGCAACGAAAAAAGCAAAATGCAAAGCAGATTCTGTTGTGCATGCTCTATTGCCAAAGCCCATAGTTTGGTTCTATTTCTGACAGCCTCTTCTGTTGATGCTGCAGAATGAAAAAGGTATCTGTACATAAGAACTTGCAGATTCCCCGAAGCTGCTCTGTACCATTGGGGCACGAGAGAACCACTCATTTTCTGTGGGAATGTTGATAAGAGTCATTAAAACACATGGGAGTATCTTCTGGCTACTGTTCTTGTCACAGCTGGGCATCTGTGAACAAAATCTGATGTGTTGGGGAAAGATACACAGAGGAAATTAAACTGTTCCAATGAGTTATTTTGTAATCATATTGCTACTCTGCTAATGTTAAGAACTGAATGTTGGCCATAAGTTACAATTGTATACAAAAGTCACAAAACTGAGCTACACAAGGCTTGAGCAGTGCCTTGTATCTTGAAGATTTGGAAGGGTTTTGTACCCTGACTCAACTTTTATTTTGAGGTATTTAACCTCAAAAGCAGCTTGCAGCAAGGTAGTTATTCTTTGAGGAAGCTCATTTTCTGTTCTGAATTACAATGAGCTTTTCTGTGGCAAACTTGTCTTACATTTGAAGCAGAGCCTAGTTTTTTCATAAGGTTTTGGAAACTTGCATTAGGCTGTTGAGAATCAAAGCATCCAATTATGCTAAGTTGAACATTGCCCTGTTGTGATGACTGGTTCTCCCTCTCTTGTGTATATCATCGTAGTCATCAATATTCAGTTTCAGTATATTAAAAGCAGTGAAATCAAATTACAGTCACAGGAATAGATGGGTATTGAGAACTATGGATGAATGGTGGAATAACAACAACAACAACAACAACAACAACAACAACAACAACAACAAATCTCTAGTGTCAAAGGCTAGGGTAAAGAAAGGAATCCTTTATGGGGAAGGCCTTCTCCTGGGGCACCACCCCTCAAACCTCTGAGGGTGGTGGAATTACCAAGAGGGCCCCTTCTGTTAATACCTATGAGGGTTTGTGGGGAAGGAGGTGGTATTTAAGATATTTGAAACCTAAGTCATTTAGGGCTTTGAACTAATGTGAGCACCTTGAATTAGGGCTCTTGTATGCATTCTAAGGGAACCTCAGCAGTCTGGCTGCTGCATTTTGAACCAGCTGAAGTTTCCAAGTCGTCTTCAAAAGTCGCCCCACGTAGAGCACATCACAATAATCCTGTTTGGAAGTTACCAAGGCATGGAGTACCTTGACCTTGTTGTCCTTTACTGGTTCACATCAATTGCTTGAATTTCGTGTTCATTCCCTCAGTTCAGGAAGGCTGGAGCTGTTGCTTTAGTGATGAAGCTGTTCAGATTAGGAGCTGGGTGCTCATTCCTTTCCTGGCTCTCAGCCAGGCCCTGATTCAGGCAGGTGCTTCCACCTTTTCCCTCTTTTCCTAAGTAACCTCACATGCAGCTATCTGGTAACGCTGGTGTGCTCCCAAATCTCTTGTGTTGCTCACCATCTCCTCTTCTCATATGGCCCTGGGTGAAATTTGGGTGTTGCTTGACGGCTGGCTTGGAGCCCAGATGTGTGGGGACCTCCAGACTTGGAGCAGGCATGTCTATATGCAACAGCTCTTCTGGGTTACTGGGTTACTGAGATCTGCTTAGGAGACACACTCTCCTCCCACCCCAATTTCATTTTCATTTTCATTTCACACTGTATTTTACAACATTACAAATAAAGAAATATACAATTTTTATTGACTCCCTTTCCAGTACATATTCTAATTTCTCCCTCTATCTTATTTTCATTTTCATAGCTCAATAATTTTTTTCACTGCTGAATTTCTTCTGTTATTGTTAACCTCTTAATATGTTTATAATATGTCTCTAAATATGCCATACAACATTTCCAATCTTCCTCAAATAGTTTTTTTTATCTTAATCTTATTCTGTTTGTCAGTCTTGCCATTTCTATATATTCTATTAACTTTTTTCTGCCATTCTTCCTTCATTGGAATTGTATCTTCCCTCCTTCTCTGAGCATAAGGAGACATGCTCTTCCTCCAAGGAGGCCTCAGAGGGCCAAACCCTGGCAATTAGTGAGCACATGCTTGCCTTTTTAAGCACCAAACTGTTGAGTGGAGACCATTTGGAATGCCCTTTAAATTAGTGAACATAAGAACTATCATAGTGGTGTACTGTTGCCAGCACGAACCAGTGGACATGTCTGTTTTTTTAAAATGCATGTGCATCAGATAGACCAGCACTAAGAGCCTTCAGCCTGCCTCTTCAGAGCTCATCCCCTTAAGCTTTACGCAGTATGCACTGGATGTGCTCCTGTGACTGGGAGAGCCCTTGCAGAACACTGTTTTATCCTCCTAAGTGATGACCCGCAGGGCTGGCCTCTTGTCAGAACACTGACTTCTCTCCCTGGAGTGAACACACACTCTCTGTCACAATATTTACCTAGCTTCATTTCCCCCCCACTGAGTGATAAATGGAAGCTTGCAGAGTGGCTTCTCCATCAGCAATCAGGTTTGGATCACTCGGCTTGTTTTATGAGACTGCTGATCCCACTGCACCTCTCTTCCCTCCCCACCCCTCAAGTATTAGAACCGATTAGCCACGTCATTAATTCTTCAATTTGACGGCTGATATAGCAAGGCCTGAAACACGGGCTGACCCTATATAATAGAACCTCTGCTCCTTAACATATTAATGATGGGAGAAGTTAATTAAAATTCCACAGAGCGAAGGTGTCGGCTAACCTATAAACCTGTCGCTTCCAAGAAAATGTTGCCGCTATCCTAGAAGAAAGTGAGTTTGGAGGCAAGAGTGAGTACTCTTAGTGTAGTGTGAGAGTCCCCCCACAAGCTAAACTGAATGTTTCATCTCTTTGGGAAGAGTTAACTTTCGGGTGATTCAGTATCCTTGCCTGACTTTAGGATCTTTTTCTCCTTTGATCTACATGTATATATATTTAGGATGCTGAAACATTGCCTTTCTGATAGATCAGAACACTATTATTAATAATTGTTAGCAAACAAAATATTTTTGCTTTAGTCCAAAATACATTGTAGGTTTGATTCATTTGGCTTTTATCTTACAATCAACAAAACTTATAGATCATGTGCTAATATTGAGCATTCTATCTCTGCTCAATTAGGATACTTAGTACTGATATGCAGCCACTTCTGTATAGGGGTTGAAAGCAGAAACATATTCTTGGAGGTGCTTTGGGTCATCCTGGCTGCACTTGTCTCAGGGTTTCCTCCCCAACATTTGTGATACAGATGACTAGGATACCAGCATGTGCTCAATATCCAGACACTGTGTATGGCAAAGTTGAATGCACATTTGACTTTCCTCAAGTCCTGTGGACACACTTTCTTGTTTCCACCTGCTGTCTGCAGTCTGATCCAGTTGATGATGGGGTGCGTTCCTCAGTACTTTGAGCTAATCTGTTTGGCAGTTTTTCATTGCAACAGAGTTTGCCATATTCATTGAGTAGTGCTGGATCTTCTTCTCTTGTTATGCCAATCTCTTGTAGCACTATGATCCTAGGCTACTGCTAACTCCATAATGGCAATATGTTCATCTGCTTCCTCTGCTACTGCAGTGAGGAAACTGAAGTGATGTGTGTTATCTGAATGGAGGTTTAACTTGTTATTGATGTTGGCAAATGCACTGTTAAGAGCCCAGCTAGATTTGCAAAGCTGTGGTTCAGTTTGCAGAACTGAGTGCTTCCCCAAATGGACCATAATCTAAAGCTTACTATTAAGGTGGAACTGCAGGGCTGTTCCCTACAGATGATTGTTTAGCTATTCCCCCCTCCCCCCCTAAATACTGCAGTAATTTTTCCAGCTAAACTTTATTCTCCTTTCCATATGATGGGAGCAATATTGTTATATATTTCTGTTTTTATCCTGTTAACCTATTTGCTTAAATCAATAGCTTTAGATTTGTTGAATGGTGGAATCTTGTAGAATATTAAAGATTGTGATAGTGATGCCACATTTTCTCATACCCTTCAGAAAATATACTCTTTCATCATAGCAAATGACGGTGCTCACAGGTTAGAGGGAAAATATTTAAAATGAATTTCTTCTCTCTGCTGAGCTTGTCAGAGCATTGTAATGAGGAGGCAACTATTCTGAGAGACTTCATTCTATTAGGAAGTTGGCAGTTCTCCTTTAATGTAGTTCCATAGGTTTATGTGGTACAGCTGCTGCTGTGATTTTAATTTCCGATTTCCAGGTGCAGAGGGTTTTCCTGTGAGGCTAGGGGAGAAACCCATCTCTTCTACCATTTTGCAAAGTGAAGGAGAAAATGCCCGTGTTAGTTTCTCCTGTCACATTGATTACAGTTCAGGGGTCCCACATAAGACTGCAGGTTTCCATTTCCAGTCAGTGATCTTTCTCCTCCATTTTTCAAACTTCCAAGGGGAGGGATGGAGAAGGTAATTTTCCTGGGCCATGGCCACTGTTTACTTTTGCTTGGCTGTGCAGTGTGCCTTTGTTTTTCCACCTTTGATCAGTGTCCTGCCAGCAGATAATTTAGCAATTGCATCCCAGGGTGGAAGTGTGGAGTTAATGTTAAAATTAGTTTTTTTTTTAACTTCACTGCCTGATGAAGCAGGGATAGCAAGAGGGGAGGCAACGGGGGCCATAAATTCTACTGGTGGTGTATCTGCTTCTTGCAAAAAAGAGAGGAAAAAACCCTCAAAAACATAACTCTCTGATGTCTCCACAGCACTTTCATTAACATTTAAATTAAGGGTTTGTTTTTCAGCAACTAGGCCTTTCATGGCCTGACTCGTGCAAGGCTGCCTCACTAGTCAGCTACAGTAGTAATCATTGCTTTATTTTTTTTCATCTTTCTCTGGGGAGGGCAGCGACCTGCCAAATGTTCAAAGAGAATCTGCAACAGACCTGCACAGGTACCCAGGCAGCAGGATGCTAGCCTTTCTCCTTCAATTAGAGAGTTAGTTGTTGTCCATGTTTCTTGTCTTTTTTCCTCTTCCCTTCAAAGGCTTGTTTGGGGCCCATTTGGTATGTGATTGCCTCAGGTGTAACCAGCACTGGACACCCTTTAAACAAGAACTCATGAGGATGAAGGGTGTATATGGAAAGTGGGAAAGAAGTTTTGAGTGCTCTTTCTCAGCACTGCTGGCAGCTTCAAAATATGTTAAAACTGGTGTGGGTGAGCTCTTGAGAGGATAAGTTTGTTGGGAGTGTATATCAGAGTGAGCTAAAGAAAACAGGGGCAGGAAATTGAGCTTTGATGTATATAAGCTGCACAGGCATTTTGGTGCTGCAATTTATTTCCAATACAGGACAGCAAATTAGGGCATGCTTAGCAAACTATGTGGAAAGTGTTTTAAAGGCTCAAGTATATACATCAGCATTGTTCTAGAAGGAATGTTGCATGTTGCAGTAAATAGTGTCTGAAACATGCAATGCTAATCTCATATCATGTGTGGAATCATGTGTTGGCCTAGGGCAAATAACTATCTGGATTTTACACTTGTAGACTGAGAATTTATTCCTTATAGACTGAGAGCCCAAAATATTTTACTACATTAGAGATATTACATAACTGTTTTTTCCTAAAGACTGAGAACAAAGCACTCTTCTATCAAAATACCCTAATTTTATGTGTCCTTTGAGCCCCTAAGAACCACGTCACATTATGGTAGAAGCCACAACATGCCAGAAGATGATACTGGGGAGGCAGTTATTTATTTTGTTTGTTCTTCTGCTGCCTATTCAAGCAGAAATAATCTGGAAATATACAGGAAAGGGTGCATGCTAAACTTGAAGAGATCTGACATTAGTCATGATATTAAGCACCTGCCATGCAGCCATATTTCTCTTGGGCCTTTGTGGCCATGCGGTGCCAATTGCCTTCTAAAGCAGTTTCATTTAGTGAGCAGTGACATGTGGCCAAACTGTTTTGGTAGCCCACGTGTTGCATCAGTTCCAGGAAACCTGATCAGAACTTCAGGCATTTACAGTAACAAGGAGGTGAAAGCTGCCAGCCAGTGTCTCTGCAGGTGCTAGCTGGATCGAGTTGCAGGGCTGCCATTAAAACTATCCTGTCTGGTGATTAATGTAGGACACAGGACATACACATTCTTATTCTGGCTCCGTGAAGACCTGTTCTGAAAGCTAAATTGGTCTCTGAATTGCAAGGTTTCCCTGCCCTTTTATATTGTCAACTGTTTGTCTGCCTTGAGTGAGTCTTGTTGAACAGCTTTATCTTCCGTGCCCTGTTGCAGTTGTATAATCTTTCTGTATCACCTTCAGCAATGGCAAACTGACTTTGTGCCATGGAAACAGCTTGTTTATATGGCATATTTTTCATGTAGTAACTTTATCTTTGTTCTCCAGCTTTCAACAATTATGAAGGAATATGGTTACATAACACATTTTCATAAGCAAGAGCTGCTTGTGTGAAATGGGACAAACAGTTTTGTAGGTATTTGGAGACAAAGCTTTTAGATTGAGATTCTCTCTTTTAAGAGACACGTAGGATCTGAGGTGTTGCTTTCTGAGATTGGGACCTGAGTGTCTTGTATGACCCTGGTGGTAAGGAAATACCTGGCTACTTTAAATGAATTCAGATCTCCAGGACCTGATGAGCTTTGATACCAAAGGAACTTGCAGATTTAATCTTAGAGCTTATGTTTATGATCTTTGAGAATTCTTAGAGAACAGATGAGGTTTCTGCAGACTGGAGGTGGGCAAATGTTCGTCTTCAAAAATGGAGAAAAGGAAGACCCAGGAAACTACCAGACAGTCAGCTTGGATGTTAATACCAGGCAGTCAGATAAATCTCATTTCTTTTTTTGATAGAGTTACAAGCTTGGTGGATCAGGGGAATGCTGTGGACTTAGTGCATCTTGATTTCAGTAAGGCTTTTGACAAGTCCCTAAGATATTCTTGCATATAAGCTGGTAAAATATGGGCTAGACCAGGTACCTGTTAGGTGGATTTGTAGCTGGTTGACTGACTGAACCCAAAGAGTGTTCACCAACAGTTCCCCATGATCCTGGGGAAAAAATGACAAGTAGGGTGCCACAGAGTTTTGTCCTGGGCCTGTTGCTGTTTGACACCTTTATAAATGACTTGCATGAAGGAATTGAGGGGATGCTCATCAGATTTGCAGATGACACCATAGGTGGATTTAGGGTAGTGCAACCAGTTCTGCTGCACTGGGTGCTTAGCCTAGCGAGTGCCACAGGGTATCACAGCTATGCAGAACAGAAGGTGAGGGGGCGTGGGCACCAAATTTTGGACTCATATAGGACACTGCTGAAATTTGAAAGACCAAAGTCTGCCCCTGGTGACATCAAACTGGGAATAGTAGCTAATACTGCAGCAGGCAGAATTGGGTTTCCACATGATCTTAACAGATTGGAGAACTGGGCCAAAACTAATAAACTAATAAAACACATATCAACAGGGGGAAATGTAAGGTTCTACACTTAGGCAGGAAGAAAGAGCTGCACAAATATAAGATGGGGACACTTGGCTTGCCTATAGTACATCTGAAAATGATATAGGGGTCTTAGGCTGCATCAACAGAAGTATAATGTCCTGATCAAGGGAAGTAATGGTTCTGCTCTATTTTGCCTTCGTCAGATCACGGGTGGAGTACTGTGTCCAGTTTTGGGAACCACAGTTTAAGAAAATTATTGACAAGCTGGAATGTGTACAGAGGCCAGGCAGCTATCAACCACTATTTTGAATTCCCACAGTGTCCTGGAGCTCCCAAAACTGCAGTTTCCCAGGGTATTTAGAGAAATTTTGGGTGGTGACTTCCCAGCTGACTGCTGCTGCCACCAGGTAAACCTGCAGTCAGGTGTGACCCACCTACATAGGAAGGGGGCCACCAGGTGGCACCAGCTGGCCTTGACCCTGGGAAAAACAGTATCAGGGTACAGTCTTTTCCCTCTGTATTTGTGGCATAGTTCCACCTTCCCCTGTGGCTTATAAAGGTCTAATGACTCTTTGATTAAATGTAGGTCAAAATTTTCTACATTGTGACCTTAATAAGTGGGGATGATTGGCAGACAGCCTTGGCAGAAAGGGCGGCCCGTCCCTTTCATCTCCTCTAGTGTCGCTTGGAGACAATGGGCTCAGCATATTTTCCTTGTTGTTCCTCCTTTGAAAAGGGCCTGGTATCTCTACTAGGTACCTGTGTCATGGGGGTCTTGATTGGGGTCTCATAAAGGGCCTTGCCAGTGTGTCCAAAGGCCAAGAAGACAAAAGCGATCAGTGGGTGGGGGTCTCAGCTGACCGCCAAGAAGGGAGGGGAGGTTCTTGGAGGCAGTGAAGGGAGAAGCAGCCCCTGTTGGGAGCTCTTCTAGAGGGGAGGGGGAGAGGAGTGGCCCATTTTTGTCCCAAACTCATCAAGCACATCTGCAGAATTGTCCCAGCTGCTGCCTTCCAGTTTCAAAAGAAAATGATCGTTTGATAAACCGGCCTGATTTACCGCTTTCTCACAAGGGAGGGAGGCCCACCTTTGACCTCTATGATTTCACATCAGACCCGGCTTTTCTTTCCCCTTCCAGTTCTTGGAGAAACTTTGAAATGCATCCCTTGCTTTCTCTCTCTTTCTCTCCCTCTCCCTCTCCCCCTTTACTCTTCTCTGCCCTTCGCTTTGTTGGGGGGGGGGGCAGCGGCGGGAGGAGAACAGGCGTGCGGCTTTGGACTTTAGGAAAGTAATTAGGAAAATCTTCCTGCAGCACAATAAACACTCAGCACCCATCCTGTATATTCCCACCATTTACATGCTTGTGGGCATCCGAGAGAACAGGTGGCATTCTTACTGCAGTGTATCTTTTGCCGGCACCCTCTGTGCCTCTGTGCCTGCTAACTATAGGAATGTGCATGAATATATTAAAATATTTTCACACAATGCATGTATTTTCCAGTGGGAAAAGACATCTCTTGGATGAAAGGCAGTGGGCCCCACTGGAGCGCTTGTTCCCACTCGGGTGCTTGTTCACATGGACTAGATAGAAAAGTGTGTTTGGGAGACAGGGGAATAGATTTCCTCTGGGAAGAGCAAAGTTTTGTGTTCCCTACCCATTCCTCATGTTTTTGGGGGTGTAGTACATGGGATTTGAGCAACCGATCATTATTTTGACTACCTTCTTTTTTGAGGGGGCAGGCAGAAACAGCTGCAGTTCAAAATAGTCCTACAATTCATGCTTTTTTGGGTAGAACAGGCAAGTGCAGAGATAAATCAGGATATATTGGGGTTGAGCTCTTAATGCTTGTTTATGCTCTTGGAGCAGTACACGTAATAGCAGAGGAAGTATTCTAAGAGCTTTCCAGTCTTTCTGTAACTGGTCACGGAGGAACTTGTGACTGTGCATGACATATAAGAAACATATAACTACATGCCCATTGCATGTATATCTCAGTCTACTCTTTACCAGGCTAAACATGCCTCAACCATTCTTTATTTCAGACCCCTGATCATGTTGGTTGCTCTCCTCAGCATACATTCCAGCTTGTCGGTATCCTTCTTAAACTGTGGTGCCCAGAACTGGATACAGTACTCCAGGTGTGGTCTGGCCAAGGCAGAATAGAGTGGGATTATTACTTCCCTTGATCGGGACACTATATTTCTATTGATGCAGCCTAGAATAGCATTCACCCTTTTTTTGCTGCTGCATCACATGGTTGACTCATGTTAAGCTTGTGGTCTACTAAGACCCCTAGATCCTTTTCGTAGGTACTGATGTCAAACCAAGTGTCCTCCATCTTATACTTGTGCATCCGGTTTTTCCTGCCTAAGTGTACAACCTGACATTTGTCCCTAATTAAATTCATTTTGTTAGTTTGGGCCCAGTTCTCCAACCTGTTAAGGTCATCTGGAATCCTGATTCTATCTTCTGCAGCATTGGCTACCCCTCTCAGTTTTGTGTCATCTGCAAATTTGATGAGCATCCTCTCAATACCTTCATCCAAGTCGTTTGTAAAGATGTTGAACAACAAGACCCAGGACAGAACCTCGTGACACCCAACTCGTCATTCCCCCCCAGGATGGCGAGGAACTGTTAGTGAGCACTCTGGGTTCGGTCAATCAACTGGCTACAAATCCACTTAACAGTAACCTCATCCAGTCTTGTGTAAAGGAACCCCTTAGAGACTTTTGAAATGAGAAAACCTGACTTTTGCCTGAAAGTAAGCCCTATAAATGTTGGGAAACTTGTTTTCACAAATAGGAATTGGTCCACTGAAAGGTGGTACCTTCTCTGCTTGATTTGTAGAGGGATAATAACTTTATAAGGCCAACCAAAATGTCACAAAATAGTGACAATTGTGAGCAAGCTTTCAAGTTCTCCAGAATACATTAGACATTATGCAATAGAGGAGAGGTGGGACAGAGCGAAAAAATTAGAAAACTGGCTTGGTGTTAAAGCCATAACTTCTGCATTTAGTCACAGACTTAGAGTGTGTGAAGTAGTACCATATTTAATATATTAAATACCATATTTAATATATTAAATACCATATTTAATATATTAAATACCATATTTAATATATTAAATACCATATTTAATATATAAGACTCTCCTAGGTGCTCTATTGGTTTCAGATTATACTGAAACTTTCCCATTTCTGAATATTATAAATCTGCCTTGGATAATCCATGAGCTTCCAATATAGCAATGTTTATTTAGATAATAAAAATAAGGACTATTATTCAGCAGATTTTCCTGCCTCCTCTCTTCTCTGTCCCCTCCATCAGGCAGGAGAAAAATAGCTTTGGTTTTTGTTCAGGACAGAGGTTAGAAAGGTTGCAGGGGCCACGTAGCCCTCTCATAGGGGTGTCTTGTCAGGGCGCAGCATGAAGGGCACAAACAGATCATAACCTTTAAATGAAAATGCAATGGAGGGGAGAGATGAAAGCATTGAAACAAATTAGATACATCTATAGGGGGTGCTCAACTGGAGAAAATTAGCATTTCTTCCTAATTGGAGTGTAGGGCATTCCATTACAGGGATTCATTACCAGGGGGAGAGGGTGCTGGGCCTCTTCACAAAATGCCTTTAAACAGGAAAAGCCCTCTTCCTGGGATATATATTTACAAATATTTTTAAATGGGTAGAGAACTTGAAGAGGTATTATTAGTCCTGTGTTCATAGATGTATATGGGGCCTAGTGGTTTGAACCTTCTACAAGCATAGAATGAGGTTATTTGTGTATTTCTTAATTTTACCGCCCCATCCTGTATGTGTGTGTTGGTGGCGGTGGTGGCGGGAGAGGGGGGCATCCACACTAAAGAACATTTGTGTGGTAGGCATTTTAAACCTTTAGATTCAGGATGGTTTTTTCTGTGCAGGTGCACTGTTTGATCAGGGAAATTCCTATGGGCTGTACGTGCTGGAAGGTAGACTGCATCAGCAATGCAAAAAGGGGAACATGAAAACATCTAGCAGCTTTGTTCTTGCATGTTCTGGCATCCTCCTGAAAGTTGTATAGTATAGCAAAAGCTTCTGGAAGATGCTATAATTTTTGGCTTCCATTTCTCTGTCATTCTACTTGCTTTTATTCCCTTTTACCAATTGTCCTGCTGCTGAAGCTTACAGAAACTGTTTATATAGATGTCTAACCTGCAATATAGGTGAGCTTCAGCTAGTTTAAAGACAGATGTTAGGTTCTGGAAAATCTTATGCACTCCTTGAACCATAACCTCAGTAAAAAAAAAAAAAAAAAGTAAACACGCTGTCTTCTGTATCACATTAGTTTAACAAGAGTACTTGGTGCTAACTTAGTTGAGAGCTGGTGCAGCATAGTGGCTAAGTGCCTAAGTTCTAGGCAGGAAGTCCTTGGTTCAAATCTTACCACAAGCTGCTAGGTAGCCTTAGCCAAGCCACAATTCTCACTGGTTGTATAGGGCTAATAATATTGCCCCACTATAGAGGACAGTTGTTTCAGCATAACAGAGGGGATACATGTGAAGTGCTCCAAAAACAAACAAAAAATGCCATATATAAATGTGCTGTCCATTTGAAAAAAAAAAAAAAAAGCTTATGGATGCTGGGATTGTAGTTCAATTCATAAAGTTCTTGTGCTGAAAAGCTTTGGCAGAGACTGGAGAAATATAGCAAATTGAATGTGCAGACCGTGTTACAGAAAAGTTTTTAGATCATTGTAGGGTTCTTTCTAGTACAAGGTACAGTTTGGATACAGGAAGCAGCTTAAAATGAGGCATAGTGTTGATTGTCCTCTGTGCTTTTTTATGTGGTACCTTTACATTATTTTTTTTAGGGATTGGGTGTTACGTAGAAATGCTGGTGGTTAGCTTGGTATTCATGCAAAATATGCCGTAGCTTTTTTTGGAGGGGGGCTAATTTGTAAACATTGCCCCCTTCCCCACCCCATAAGATGGCAGTGCCTGTATTTGTCCGATTTTCCACCTGTTGAGGGAAAGTTAAATGAGGACTGTTCCATGGTTGGTGGACACAGACAACTAATTGGAGGGAGAGAGCCCATTTCCTTTAAGGAGTGCAGGCTGCACAGAGGTGACGGATAGACTGGAGATTTATTAGCACATGGTTGGGAGCTTAAAAATCGGCACCAGCAGCTTGTTCCCTTCAGAAAAGAAGGTAGGAACAAGCACCCGTTGCCCCTCCCCTACTCCAGAAAGAGGAGTGAAAAAAATAAAGGGGGATAATTGGAAGGAGCAGTTTGTTTGAACATAACCACAAGGCTGCCTTTAATTCTTGGTCTCTTGCATTTTGAGACTGATTCTGAAATTTCAAAGCGAAGGGCAGCTATTTGTTGTCACACCTGTTGCTTCCACTGCAGTTTCCCTAAATACAGTCAGTTAGTAGCAGAGGAAAAAGAAAGCATTTCCCTCCAGTCTTCTGCTGTCATTTGTTTGTGTTTTCTCTACATTGATGTACTAGATTTCCTAAATCAGGATTTTGCAGGAAGCATATATCAACACGCAACATTCACAATTGTACATAACAGTAAATCAGGCTTTCTGTCTTACTTGTGTTTCACAAGGAATAAGCAGCTTGCTGGTGACACCACTCAGTTGCTCCCAGTCCACACTTTTCTTGGTGTGAATTGGGAAATCCAGGTTTCCCGTTACACCCCTGTGAGGGACTGCAGTTTGTTTCACCCTAACAAGCCACAATCACTAGTCAACCTTAAGGCATGGTTTGTTGTTAGCTTGCTGATCATGACTTGTTTTTTTTTTTTTAAATAATATTTATTACTTTTATAGATTACAAAAAGAGAGAAAAAAACCCAGAAAAAAAGACAAAGGAGGAAAGCAAAAAGAAAAAAACAATACAATACAATATATAGACAATGCAAAACACAACCTAAGCTCAAAACTAAACACATTAAACTAAACTAAACAAACCCCACTCCCTAACCTTAACCCTAAATGAAACAAAACAAAAACAATTTAAAAACATACATCATCTCTTTTCCATACTCTATCTTTCATTCCCTTGTTTCCTCGACCTCCTCTCACCTCCCTTTTTGTATTCCACTTCTATTAATTGTTTCAGCAAATCCTTTCCATCTTTCTCCATTTTCTATCATATTGTAAATAACGTATTTTTAACCTTATTTTCCATTAAAACTAAAATACTTATATATGCTTAACTCCTTATAACATTTCTGCTAAGCCCATAAAAATCATTCCACCATTTTTCTATCACTCATTAGTTTTACCATAAGTCTATATATAAACTTTAAATTTTCCAATCTTCTTCCACCATCTCCTCTCCCTGGTTTCGGATTCTGCCAGTCCTTTCCGTCAACTCCATAAAGTCCATCAACCTGGTGATCTTATGTCCGAGGCTCTTAACTCTTTTCCAAGTCCCTTCTGCAGGTCTTCTTCATTTTCTTTAATGCTAAAGAGCAAATCTCGGGGAAACTCCAACCTGTCAATCCTTTTCTTCCTTCTGAACAGATCAGCCAAATTTCCATAGTTAAAGCTACGGTCCATAAAGTATTTCAGGGCATATTTCAAGATTCCTCCAAGTCCAAAGGCCCCCAAAACTTCAATCTTCTCCAGGCCCGAGTCCATGTCCCAAAAGTCAGTTAATCCCTGCATAGAGGGATCTTTCCAACTTTCCTTCTTTAGTCCATTCCTCAGAGTCTGACTTTTCCTAGATTCAATCATAAAAGGCCTCAACTTATAGTCCTCAATTTGCTTCTGTAAAGCCACGGATCTCACGTGTATTACTTTATGTTCAACAACAGCAGCATTCTCCTCCTCCTCCTCCTCCACCATTTGTCCTGCCAAAATGGATTCCTGTACCAAGTCCTGAATTATTTCTGTGTTGGTGTTCGCTTTTTGACTCAAATTAGTCACTTTCTGTTCCAAATTATCAACTTTAAAAGTCATGTCATCCATCTTCTTGTGAAGCTGTCCCAGCGAACAGCTTATCTTACATAAAACAGTCACAATGGCCTCTCCTGTCAACATTTTTAAATGGTCCAAGGTCACTCTCTGGTTCTCAGAATCCTTATCTACAGCTGGAAATTCCCCAGTTACACTCCTGTAACAGTTTCAAAAGCTCCCTCTAGAGGGAAACAGTCTCCACTTGTATCAGTTCTTTCAGGCACAACTCAAGCATTAAAGATAAATTTTCAGTTACTTTTCCTCTTTTTTAAACGCAGAAGAGGACAATGGAAACAGTATCTTACTCTTATTTAGCTAGCTGTCAAATCCGTTCTGTCAAATGCACTCTCTCCAAACGTCATCTGGCAGCCCGTTCCCAGGTTCAGAGCAGTGGTAATTTGATTTTTCACTCTCTCCTGCAGGCTCACTAGATCCAAAATTTCCCCCTCTTCTCCTGCTTCCATGAGGGGGTTTTGTATTTTAAACCGATGGAAATTTAATCCTTTGCCAAAAGCTTTCAAAGACTTTAACTTGTAACGTCTTTGCTTCAGTCTATTTACAAAAACGGAAGGCAGACTTCCTGTTTATGACCTTCCCGCTTCAGTGCCAAATTAAAGTGTTTAAAAATCCAATTTTCTGTTTTACTCACGAGTAGTTGTTTAAAATCCAATTGTCCACAGGAAAAAGTCAGCGCTCTCCGGCAACAGCAATGTGGCTTCACTCCGTGAAAGAAGCAGTCGATTCAAAACAGCCGCACCACTCACCCCACGTCGCTCCGGATCCCCAAAACAGGGTTTCCCCGCGAGTAGGGGGGCGCAAAAGGTGCCAGCCGAATCCCAGGTTCACATGCTTCTCCCGCTTGTGATTTCAATGGGTCTCCACCTTCGCCGTGGCGGTCAGACCCTGTTTTCCACGGAGCAAGTTCCTCCCGAACGGAGGAGCTCTGCCATTGCCGGAGGCGCCAACCCGGAAGTCCGCTGATCATGACTTGTTAGGGAGCAACAAAGAACAATCTGTAGTTCAGACATAATGGGAAGCCAAGGCTTCCTGGCTTGTATATCCTGCTTGTACCAGGGCAAGTGTCACATGGGAACAGTTGGGCAGTGTGCACTAGCTTGCTGCTCATTCACAGTAAATGACAATAAGCCAGAAGGTCTGGCTTATCATTGGATCAGATGCATACTTGGTCATTTTGTATCTGTCCATATGAAAGAACCTGAATAGGGGAATGATCTAGGTAAAGATACAAGCAGAAAATAAGCTGGGAGGTCACACTGTAGGACCTATCTTGAAGCTTGAGTATTATTCTGGAAATTATCCAATTTTCTTTCTTTCATCTAAGCAAGTGTCCAACATCAGTATGCATGGCAGAAAATTCTCCATTTATGCAGCGGTGAGCCAGGGTGCTCTGGCTAGAGAAGGATTGCTTCCACTGTAATTTCATGGCTGACAAATGACATTCCACTTCCATCTTATGCATCTGTGTCTCTATATCTCATTGCCCATGTACTGTCTAGACTCTTCCTTTTGATACAGTGATACAATAGTAATTTATCACCTTAGCTAGTTTTATCAAGGTTCTTTTAGAAGAAAGCATCTTGCTCAACAGCAGACTGCTTACTATGCTGAGAATTTTTGGCTTTTATTTCAATAAGCATTCTTATTGTGTGAGGTTGTTTACAGGGTAAAATGAAAAGAGAAAAAATCTTGGTTTAAACTTTAAAAATAAAAAGACTTTTTGCCTCTCTGTGTTGTTGGCATTTCTAACAAAATGTTTGTATAGTTACAGCCAGTAGAGCTGCACTCCCCACACCCTTTAATACCTTTGCTAATGGAGGCTGAAGTAATATTTATTATTTGTGACTGTTGGATACTTATAATTTTGAGAGTCGCATTAACTTTTTGGGTCTCTTTCTGATTTTATTCCTTCTCTGTTAAAATAGAGCTTCATAGTCACACTTTTCTAATTCTGGAGTACATTTACAATTTACATTTACACTTTTCTAATTCTGGAGTACATTTTCTTTTGAGTGAAGGAAGGCTTTGTGCCTGATTCAAGGCCACTTTATAAATTTAGGGGCTTTTTTATGCAGAGAGAATGTGCCAAATAAATTTTTATTTTAAATATTTATATTTTATTGAAAACGTGTAGAAGAAACTTGTTTATTACGAAGGGAATATTTTTCTTTATAACAAATACACAGATTTGAAGCTGTTCCATTGCCCAGCTTAGTGGTACTATTGATTGTGCTATGAAGTTTCCATACCACCAAGTGTTTACTTACATGAAAGTGTCCTCCAGTCAAAACCCAAGAGTTTGCAAATGCTTGGTCAATTGTATGATACACTGCCTTATTTTGCTCGTGTTTGTTCATTATTTGCATACATACATACATACATATCCCACCCTTTTCTCTGACAGGGCATGATGTGCACCTCAACAAAATGCATATTCTAGAAACTGACAGAAAACCAGATTAGATTGTGCTTTCCACTTCCAAAGCCAGTTCATATGCTCAAACAAGTGCCTGGTCTGATTCTTTCACAACATAGTACAGGCAACCCCTGATTTGCAAGGGGGTTGCTTTGCGGATCATCACGCACGGTGGTAGAGCATGCATAAACCCACTATGCCCCAGTTCCATCCCCTTTTCTGGCCATTTCCAGGTTGCTGAGATGCTCGCATGCGTGGTTGCACACTTATCAAATGCACATAAATCATTCATTGCCTGTATCAAAATGAACTTGAGAGTGGGGAGTTGGTTTGCTTTTTTTGAAAAGTGCCATCTGTGAAAGTATGTGGGCAACTTAGACACTAAAGAAAGTGCTCTTAATTATTTTTACTCTTTTATCCACGTTGACTTGCAACTGGAAAGTGTTTTTTCAAGCTTGGTTCCTTTGCTGCAGCCCTAGTAGTACTTCATCCTAAATGCAGCCTTGGAAGGACCAGGTAATTAACACATCATAGGTGATCAGACATCCCAGCACAGGCCAACTTTCTTCCCTTTTAATCTGGTTTTGAGGGGAGGAGGGTCTGGAGCTTAGTATAAAAGCCAGAAGAAGATTGACTTTCTGTGCTGGTACCTGTGCTTTGGTCTTTGTAGAGAGACCTTTCTGGGTAGAGGTGCCGCTGCACTCCCCTCTCCTCCTCAACAGGTTGGACCCCCAAGAAGCTTTTGTCTGCATACTGCATGCATGTCTGGGCCTGCCATTCCCACATGGGCCACCCTCCCTTGGCAAAGTCCCTCCATTCAGTGATGGTGGCTAAAAGAACCTTGGCTAATTATGCTGGACTGAAAATTACCACTTTGCCCTGCGCTCCTGCTGCTGGGACTATTTGTTCAGGGGCTGTATTTAGTGGGAACAAAGCTCCCCTGCAGAGTGTGTCCAGCCCCAAGTATGAAGCTACAGGTAGAAGCTTTAAAATAAAGGGGGTAATTACCAATGTCTCCAGGTGAAAGCCCACTAAACTTCAATAGCCCGATATAGCCTTGGGGGAAGAGGGGAGAATCCCTCCTCCTCAAATAAACGATTCCTGCCAGGCAATTAAGGGAAAATAATGTCACCCAGTGAAGGTGGGGGGGGGGGGAGTGAACTGCTGCTTAGAAATTGTGGCTTTTTTCTTGCGCTTGTTTGTCATTGGGTGGGGAAATAAAATGCCTTCCTTGAGGAGGGAGGGAGGATTCCCACAAATATATCCCAACCTCCCTGCTTGTTAAGTGGTTTGAATGTACCTAGTGGGGAGCAAGTGAGGGAGGGAGAGTGAGAACAAATAAGTCACAAAAAGGAATCGCTGGAGCTTTACACCTGAGCAAGCTTTGAAAAATTCAACAATGCCATTCACTGCCTCTTGTAAGGTGCTTTAGGGGGCATGAGGACCCATCTGATCAGTTGAACAGAAATTGTGTTCTTTGTCCACAGTACTGTGGAAGCCTTAGAAAACCCACATTTCCCTCTACTGTCCTGTCTCTGAGTAGCTGCTGGAACTGCTGTGCATATAGGTGGAAGGATTTTCTGTGGCAGACGCATTAAGCCCTACCTAAAGGCCAGAAGGTGACATGTTGAGAACCAAGGGGTTCCTCGTCTATGGAGTTGGCCATTGAGCAGAGAACATAGCAAGCCCTCCCTGTTTCGTCCAGGTAATTCCGTCCTGACAATGTTCCATACAAATCTTGTATGGGAGTTGTTATTCTTCACAACCCATGTTCTAGGAAACTAATGACAGCACAGCTTTATAATTAAGAGTACAACAAAAATTCCACCCTGGAACATAATAAAAGAGCTTGAATTTTCCATGAGATCACAGACCTATCAATTTGTTTGTTTGTTTGTATTTATACCCTACATACAAACCAAAGTTTTTGAGGCAACTTACAATAAGTTTAAAACACAATAAAATGGACAGTGATGCCCTAACAGGGCAAAAGTATATATAAGTCCCCCCTCTATTTGTTTTCTGGTGTTCCAACAAATGCTGTTCTGCAGTTGAATCTCCTAGCAGTTGAAGCAGCTAGATATTAGTCCCACATAAATGAGGATGTCCTTACTAGGTGGCTACTGCTGGTGTTTCTCACAGCCTCAGCCCTGGCCGCAGATACAGGAGATGGTGGGTGGAGCAAAGATGTAACATACCTTCCTCCCAGTTCTCAGATATTCCCATTTAGTTTAAAAACAAAAACAAAAAAACTTGTCCGGTCACTGAAGGAGAATTCTACCACTAATCTCCCTACCGAAACCAGTTTTTAACATACTTACTTTCTGATTTGTTTTGAGTGATATGCAAACTCTTCTGGGTACATGCCAACATCTATTTCTTCATATGAGTATAACTCTGGTCATAGCTCAACAGCTTTATGATCTATAATGGCTGTCTTTGAATGTTAGGCTGAACCAGGACTGGGGAATCTGTGGCTCTTTGATGCTGTTGGCTGTATGACCATTGGCTAAGATGGCTGGGGCTGATGGGAGTTAGTGTCTAACAAAATCTGAAGGGCCACAGGTCTCCCATCCCTGCCCTTAAACCATAGATTAGAGTTACATGGCTGAGCCTTAGGGTGATGCACCTCCTCTGCTGCAGTGTGGCCACGAGGAGGTGATCAGAAGCATATACTTCTGTTTTGAACTACCGGTAATCACAGCTTGTCATCTGGTCCAGAACAAACTGTGATCAGTTTTCACCAAACAAACCAAGCTCAAGTTGTTGTTTCTGATCCTGGTTTGTTTATAATAAGCATAGCTAGAATTAACTGCAGCTCCCAGTTTGAACGAAAGGACAAGCAGTAGTTAGTTTAAAATGGAAATGGAGGCTTCTGATCTCCATTTAGTGGATTTAGTGTCTAACCCAAGTCAGATCTCAAAATATGTGACTCACCAGGATGTAGATTACAGTTTCAAACTGATTTGTAGAGCACTATTTGAGCCGACTATGGCTTGCTGTTGTGTGTGAATTCACAGACCATTGGCAGACCACAGTTAGGGCCATTACTTTGCCTCAAGAGACTGTCACATCATAGAAATAGGAGTAAATTTATGAAGCTGAATGCTCATCAGATGGGAAACAAAAAGGCTAATCAAAACCTCTGTTTGCCTCTTGTAAGTCTGGAAGCTTAAACTATGATGTGGGTTCTTAATTAAGGTTAGAAGAAGCCTTGGTTTTGTAGTACTTCTGAATTTAGTCAATGTCTTCAGCATCAATACTTTAATCTTAGACCTAGAATCAGTTGTGTGGGTATGTGTTGAAAAAGAGGCCATCGCCCGTTCTTGTATTCTCGAGTTTAAATGTTAGAGTACTGTGTAGTTTAATGTGATTTACTGTTCTAGCAATTGAAATAAGGGTTCCCCGCCACAGCCTATAATTCCTTTATCTATTTTTTTTTTTAAGTAATAAACTCAGCAGGCATTTTCTCAGTGAAAGCCAAGGCAGTATTTAAGGGATGTCTATATGCAGCAGACTGTGTATGGCCAATTTGTCCTGGTTTTCTGCCCCATTTGTGTCATTTCACTGCATAGCATTCATACTTGGTCTCAAAATTGAATCCTTGAATCTTCAATACACCGAGTAAAAGCTAAGTCTCATGATAGTTTCCCCACCACTCACTCATTCATTCATTATAATTTTGGTTTAAATATTTTTCTTTAGTTAGCGGTAGGTCAAATTCATTTGCACAGTAAACCACCTACAGTTTCTGAATAGCTTATGACTTAAGTAAAAGCTCTGTAACCAATATGACTCTAGAATGTGGTGATCTAAAATTACAGTATTTATATGAACTGCCTCAGCAGCCCAGCCCCTATCAGAATTTAAACCTAGTTGGACTGTGAACAGTAAAGCAACCATATGGAAATACACTGGCTTGGTTCAAATATAACACTAAACCATGGTTTGAGGCTATATGAATGAGCCTTATGCTACACCTTCTCTTGTCTCCTTGTATTCTCTGCTTTCCTCCTGATTTAGTAGCAAACCATAGTTTGCCATTACACCCAAATTAGGCAAAACATTATTGTGAACCCAGTTCAAATCTTGCATGCAATCCCAGTGTGCAGACAAATTATAGTTTTCTCTGTTCAGTAAACTGTGGTTTATCAAGGTATGTGAGAATTGACCGGACACAGGAGTAAGGGAAGGAGGGAGCTTATGAGTTCATTAATCAATCAAATCATGGCATTGTGGTGAACTGATGCTACCTAGCCCTTGCAGTCAACCCCTCCCCCCCACAGCTGACATAATATTAGCAACTGGATACGTTGGGCTTTCCAAAGCTATCCTGAACTATCTGTTTTTGCGGTTGTGCTGGAGGTACTGATCTTAAATGGACTGCCTCAGAACAATCAGCAGTAATGACAGATTCAGTTGTAACAATGTCATATATGTTCAAGATAATATGCATCCTGTTTCACTTTTCCACGGAATGCCCAGATGCAACAAGCATGCAAATGTTGGATGGAAATGATAACGGTACAACCTGGTGTCTGTTGGACCCACCAGCCACAGGCAAACAAGAAACAGTATAATAGCCAGAGAACTGCTGCATATGAACGATATGTTTAAGTATCCCCAATGTGCTCACCTGTTTCTGCTATACAAAGCAGGGCACAGTCTGACTTCCTACATTTTGTTAGTGGATTAGGGGGTGGGGTGGGAAGAGATTCCTTCAATACAGAGGACTGCTGCAGACATTTTAGTGACGTCAAATGACTGACTTTATGCTGCAGTTCATACCCAGCAAACAGTTGTGGCATACTGGAAATCTATAACTTGCTGGATTTTTAAAACTTTTATATTTAAGTTTGGGATCTGGGACCTGCCTCTGGATTTTAAAGTCGATTGCCATCATTTCTATTCAATTATACTGCCTCTCAAAAATCAAACTCTGACATTTATAATTCTCACAAAATATAATGGCCTGCAAAAACAAAACACTCTGTGCTGAAGGGCATCACAAATTGCCCACCATTGGACTTATAGAAATAGTCAGGTAATAGGCAGAAATGGAGAATTTGTGATCCTTCAAATGTTGTTCCATCATCCCTGCTTGTTGACCATGCTAACTACTTGGGCTGATAGGAGTTGGAGTCAGACAACATCTGGATGGCCACAAGTTGCCATTCTTGCTGTATGCTTAATACTTGATTTTCTTAACCTGGTGAAATAGCTTGCTCTAATCCATTTAGTCTGGAGGCCTGGAATGGGCTGAAGAAATGTTCTGAATTCCTATAAACCAGGTTGACTTTTTAGGTCCTTGGGCAATTGGACTTCTGGGATTTATCCCCCAGCCCTGCTGTAAAAGATTTGGGTTGAGCAAATTTTCATACACAAAAGCAGTATGTTTGCCAGAGACTGAAGATGGTGCTTTTCATCCGTAAACCAGACTTGGAACAGTGACGCAACTGGCCCTAGCCTTCAACCCAGCCTTCACTGAGAGGCATCTCTGTTCAAATCCCGGGTCTGGAATTATGGCTTTCCCTACAACTCACAATGCTCTCCTTGGTGTGAAATGCAAACACCCACTTCCCAGGGGCCAATTTTCCAACCAGGGTGGGAAACGGCGCACACATGAATTATTGGTATCTTTCTGTGCTTCTGTCGTTAGTGGTCCCTACCATTTCCTCCTTTGGTGCTGGAGGGGGAATACTGTAAATCCTGGAAATATACACATCTCCTTGCTCAAGATTTGTTCTCTCTGCACATCAAATGTCTCCATTGCAGGACCTGAAGGGACCAGGCGAAGTTCTTCTGTAGCTCTTCTGTTTACAATTTATGATGCATACCCAGAGAGCCATTCACTCTCAGGCTGGCGGAGATCTATGAAAATAGCATCATAGTGCATATATCTGTGTATGTAAAGATTTTTTGAGCAGTGGTTAATATGCTAATTGTCCATAACTCTGCTAATATGATGGACTTTCCTATTCACTTCTACTTTTTGGTAATAAATTAGCATTAAATACTTGGCAGGTATATTTTAAAGAGTTTGATTGGCTTCTCTACAAGTAGGAACGGTAGTTTGGTATTTGGGGCCACCAGCAAAGCCAGGGAAGAGGGTTGCAGAGAAGGCAAAGGACAGTACTGTAGCTGTTGAGACTTAGGCAGGGCAGCAAGGAGGAAAGACCAGGTAGAGCTAGAACAACATGGATACAGAGCTGGGGTAGTAATAAGATTAATGTATTACATTTGTATCTGGTCCTATCTCTTAGCCAGGGCTGGGGAATTTGTGGGTCTCCAGATATTGCTGGGCTCCAGCTTCCTTCATCCCTAGCCAGCATGGCCAGTGTTTAGGAATGATGGCAGTTGGAGTCCAACCACATCAGAAAGGCCACAGGTCCCCCATCATGATTCTAAGGAATTCATAGTGGTGTTTTAGACTCACAACAAAGTTCATCCCTGTAATGGATGCCTTTGCAAGCTACAAATTGGATCATTGTTAAAATGCAGAATGAAGGACAGATCATGAAGCTGAGGCTCCAATACTTTGGCCACCTCATGAGAAGAGAAGACTCCCTGGAAAAGACCCTGATGTTGGGAAAGATTGAGGGCACAAGGAGAAGGGGACGACAGAGGACGAGATGGTTGGACAGTGTTCTCGAAGCTACAAACATGAGTCTGACCAAACTGCGGGAGGCAGTGGAGGACAGAAGTGCCTGGCGTGCTCTGGTCCATGGGGTCACGAAGAGTCGGACACGACTAAACGACTAAACAACAACAACATTGAAGACAACTCAAAAGATCCTGCTGGTTCAGAATGGAGCAGTGTGGCTATTAACTGGCACTGGTTGCTTGGGCATTTTATGTTGATGTTAAGTGGTGCTTGCAGAGGCATTATCTTAAAAGATTCAGGGAACAAGCCCATTGTACAACTTTTGCATAAAATATGCATATGCACTTATATTTATATATGTAAATTTGGGAATTTGAGAAAATTACAATTGTGGGTCATTAGGGCCTCACCAGCATTATGCTTTGCAGCTTGTCTAGCAATTCTGGAAGCAACGTAAAATGAAAATCTTAAGTTTTTTATTTTAAAAACCCCACTGCTCAGACCTCCTGACCCACCCCCTAACAAAGCATCAGTGGCATTGATACTTAAAACCCTAAGTGGTCTGGGTCCAGGCTAACTAAGAAGGTTACCTTCTCCTTTATTCACCTCCCTGCACATCAATATCTCTAGGTACTTCCCTTGGCAGAAACCAGGTTGATGTTTAGTAGGAACAGTGTCTTCTCGGTGGTAGTACCTCTTTTTTGAAATGGTATTCCCTCTCAAGCCCAAAGACCTAGCTCCTTACTGTCATTATAAAAGCAAGCTAATATTTTATTTTACCATTCTTTAGGGGGATAGTGTCAGTTGCTTTCATCTGTGCTGTTCGTTTTGATACATTAATTTTATTTATTTGTTTTACATATTGTATTTTAAATATACTATGCTTTTATGCAGTAAGCTGCACAGAAATGGTTTGAATGTGCAGAACAATGTAATGAGACAGATTTGAGAGCTGGAAAAATAAGCCATGTGGTAAGTTCATCTACAATCTGCTGATCAAGCAAATATAAAATGATGCGTCAAAGCTTTTGCAGGCAGAATTCAGTGGGCATCAAAGGGCTCTATATTCAGAGATAAAAAAATGGATAAAGAATCAACATGTAGGGATTTAAAGTTGGATGAACGTGGATTCCAAAGGATTTTTTTAATGGGGGAAGGCAGTTTAGAGAGTTGGATTCTGTACACTTTCTGGTTTGCAAAATTTAAACCAAGTGCTTTTCCATATGGGTTTAATTCAGGAGCTGAGAGTCTAATTTCAGCATTTCCAATAGCCCTAATCCAGTGTGTGTGGTGCTTCAGATAAAGCTGGTCGCTACCATTTCCCATGGTTGGCAGGGACCAGTATGAACTGTATTATCATGGTGCACTCACCACAATGAGATGTCCTGGAGAAAAAGGTTGATCACTTTTGCCTAAAGTACCCCCTCATCCTGCCAACTGTGTCCTACAGGAAGCTGCTGTTCTGGTGAGTCTTGGTTCCTGATTTATAAGAAGCTGCCTTATACCAGGTGGAATTATTTGTTCAACTAGCCCAGTATTACTCCCAAAGGCAGCATTTCTTTGCGGTCTAAGGCAGAGGGCTTTCACATCACCTGCTGCCTTGTGAAGACACCCGGGTTTGAGCCTGGGACCTTCTTTATGCAAAGTGTGTGCTCTCCATTTGCACTGCAGGCTTGTTTTAAACCCACTGCTCCTGCTCAAAAAACACTCCCATGTACAAATGCTCTATGGAGACTTTTTACATTTCGAAGGTGATTGCTTTGTGAAATGGTTCAGATATGTACAGAGTTGGATGTCGCTACTGGATCTGTTGGGGAAGCATGTCAGCAAGTGCCACATGCCTATATACTCGGTATGGTGTGGCACATCAGGACCTGAGATTCAGCGTGTGGTGACATGGCAGAGGGCATTTCCACTACAAGCACCCTGCTTATGGAATTCCCTCCCATTCCAAATAAGGCTGGTACTTACTATTGTGAATTTTTGGTGCCACTTAAAGACCTACTAGGGACACGGGTGGTGCTGTGGGTTAAACCACAGAGCCTAGGACTTGCCGATTAGAAGGTCGGCAGTTTGAATCCCCACAACAGGGTGAGCTCCCGTTGCTCGGTCCCTGCACCTTCCAACCTAGCAGTTCGAAAGCACGTCAAAGTGCAAGTAGATAAATAGGTTAGCCAGAAGTGACTTAGTCATGCTGGCCACATGACCCAGAAGCTGTATGCCGGCTCCCTCGGCCAATAAAGCAAGATGAGCGCCGCAACCCCAGAGTCAGCCACAACTAGACCTAATGGTCAGGGGTCCCTTTACCTTGAAAAACCTACTTGTTTACCCGGACCTTTTGGTGTTTTGTTGTCCACTTAGTCTGTTCCGATGAAATTTTACCACTCTCATTGATGTTTATTTTTATTTGGTTTTCTAGTGTTTTTTATGTTTTTATTTTGTAATGCCACCTAATGTAATTAAAATATTTAAGCAGTTTACATAGAACAATTAAAATACAACATTCAATTTAAGTACAAAATTGAGCAAAACATTCAGTAAAAGCTAGATGAAAATAAGTTTTAAAAAAACACAGACAGCAGTATATCACAAATAAAACTGAACAGTGTAAAACAATAATAATAAAAATTAAGAATCGGTCTCCAGGAAAACTTGGCGGACGAAATAAGATTTTTAAAAACCTTAAAATATCATTATTGTCTCTATTATTGAAATTGCTCTGGAATACCTTTTTGGAAATAGAGTGGGCTATGAATAATTTTAAATAAATATTTCAGAAATAGCCTGTACCAAGAATATCAAATAAAAAAGTTAAGGCAAAGTGAATGGTGAGAATTAGATGCTAAGGGAGAATTATGTACGCCTTTTCTTTTGCCTGCTGATTTTCCTCTGTAGGCACTCCATTTGCATTATGGGAGAAACATGGGGTGGGGAGTACAATGATTCCCATCTAACGTCTGGTTTCATTCCTAGTTTGAATCCCAATGAGGATTCTGCACTTGTGGGAGAATGAGGTGGCAGTAGAATGGGCTGTACCACTTCAGGCTGGAGACCGTCTTAGAAACAGTCTTTGGATTACATTTCTGTATTCTCCCTGTTAAAAACAAATAAATTCCTTGCAAGTAGTCCAGCAGGGTCCAGGCTCAGCTAGAACCTGTCTCCGCAGTGTGTATGTGTTTTTAAGTTGCAGCGTTTGTATGTGTGTTTTTACAAGGCTGAGAATTCAGAAATGGTATCTTCTCCCCACAGCCTGAACTGGTGCAGTCCATTGTACCGCTACCTCCTTCTGCTGCATGTGTTATAACTGGTCTAAATTTTGGCAGGGTCTCAAGACAGTGCTTGTTATAACCAGTTAAATATGGCGGTGTGCTATGGGGGTGGGTGTTCTGTTGAATTCTGTGAGACCCACTTGCTGACTTTTAATTGTTTGATTTCCATCCATGCTCATGCGTGATATATAGAGACCTGGAACTGGTCAATTAAAACTAAACTGCTGATAGTTTAATTTGTTGAGTGATGTTTCCTGGGAGAGATGAACATTCTCTCACCATCCAATCATCTCTGGATATGTGTGTACAGTTGGATATACTCCATGACGTTTTGTAGATTCAGCTTAGGACCATCCGCTGTGCAATGTCCACCTCCCTCCTGCCCTTTACAATGTTGCTACTGTTGGGGCCCCTCCTCCCATCACCCTCCAGCAGGGGGGACGCAGTAAGTTTGTGTGACCTTAGCACTAAATTCAGACTGCAGGAGTTACCTTCTATAATGATGTCAACTGATTAGGTTAGCGGGGCTGGTGGCAGCCACGATAAGACGTGACATGTTCTAATGATTTGCTTTAGCAGGAGCGCAGGAGCAATGAGGAGGAAGAGGCAGGAAAGGCGGGGGGCCCACAGGTGCCGACAAAGACTTTGACCTTTGCTGCTATAATATCAGTTATTCACAGGCCAGGCGGTTCGGTAACCCACTTCCAGACCATCAAAAATTGATTTAATTGCAATTTCCCCCCCCAATTCAGAGCATTGGAGCTTGACTAATTGGAGTAATAGAGAGTAATAAGGCTCTGATTAAAAAAAAGCTTTCCTCTGCCTCCTTTTGTATCCTGTGTCATTGCCTGTCAGAGGTCAGGGAGCCTGCATATTCTATTAGGCCGAGTTGCCTTCATTTGGACAAATTAGTTTACCCAACAGTAATTAAAATGCCAATGTGGGTCGGGAAGAGCTGAATGCAATTGATGGGCAAGTTGGTGAAGGATTTGACAGCTTTGGTGGCCGCCCTTGCCAGAGCGTGTCGGTGCGGACTCAAAGGCTGCACCAGTTTGGGTCTATGTGGTTAGCACAGCTCTGGGGTTGAAAGAGGCTCAGGAAAAGTGTCCTTCTCTTTGGTCTCCTCTCTCTGTGCGCTCAGTTCCTCCCCTTGTTTCTTTATGACACTTGGGTTCATTCCTCCCTGACGCCCAGACTCTTTGTCCCAACGAGACCGCCCTCAGCCCCCTTTGTCGTACCCCCCATTTCCCAGCTGCTGGGCTCTTGCTAAGTAATAGGTTCTTTGTTTCTTGGTTCGATGATCCTTCATATAGAATAATTTCCAAAATGCGATGATAACATCCAGTTTAAAGGGTGTGGGGATAGGCGGGAGAGAAGAACAGAGATAGAAGCTTGTGTGATGCAGCCAGATTCTGGAGTCCCATATGCAAAGAGCTGTGCAGGACTTGGTGGAAAGTGTTGGGTTAATAGAGTAGAATGGGTAGAATTATGGGATAAAATGGAAAAGAACTGAAACATGGTTAATTTGGATGCAGGTGCAAGAGACGGGGTAGCATATTAAGCCTTAGTTCTAAAACAACTGACAACCTGGAAGTGGTCTTGGTACCTGGAAATAAAGTGTAATACCTGCAGGGCATATGCTATATTTTGGATGCTTTTGGTTGCCTGGGGTTCATCTACAGTACATCAAGGCTGAGAATATATTCAAGTGGCAACTTTAATCTTTATTTTCCTTTTATGGCAAACAATGAACAATTTGCCTGCTTCTGTCGGCCTGGCTTATCCTATAGTGCACTGTATATCTAGGTTCTAGAGCTGTAATAGTTGTATTGGTTCATATGGGGAGAGGCGGCCCTTGAGGTATTGTAGTCTTGAATCGTTTAAGGCTTTATAGGTCAAAACCAGAACTTGAATTCAGCCCAGAAACTAATTGGCAGCCAGTGCAGTCAGGCCAGGACGGGTGTAATATGCTCACGTTTACCACTGGCAAGCCAGGTGTTCCCCAGCTTATGTTTGTGCAGCCTGCCTAAGTGTTAAACCTGACATTTGTCTCTATTGAAATTCATTTTGTTAGTTTTGGTGTTATCTGCAGGTGTGTTGAGTATTCACTCAATTCCTTCATCCAAGTCTCTTATAAAGACGTTGGACAACAACGGGCCCAGGACAGAACCCTGTGTTCTTTTGCTACTTTTTTCCAGGATGCCAAGGAAATGTTAGTGAGCATTGTTTGGGTTTGGCCAGCCAGCGAGCTACAAATCCACCTAACAGTTACCTAGTCCAGTCCATATTTTACCAGCTTCTCCACAAAAATACCAGGGGGAATTTTTCAAAAGCCTGACTGAAATTGAGATACACTGCATCCATAGCATTCCCTTGATCCACTAAGCTTGTAATTCTACAAAAGGAAAAGAAAAAGAAATTATATTCGTCTGGCATGACTTGTTTTTGAAAAACCCATGCTGGGTCTTAGTAATCACAGTATCTTTTCCCAAGTGTTCACACACAAACTGTTTAATTGTCTGCTCTAGGACCTTCCCTGGTATTGATGTCAAGCTTACCAGTCAGTAGTTACCTGGGTCTTCCTTTCCCCCCCTTTTGAAGATGGGGACAACATTTGCCCGTCTCCAGTCTGTAGGGACCTCACCTGTACTTCAAGAATTCTCAAAGATCATAGACAAAGGCTCTGAAATTGCACCCAAAAGCTCCTTTAGTACCCTTGGATGCAGCTCATCAGGCCATGGAGATTTGAATTCATTTAAAGTAGCTAAAAAGTTGAAAATGTGGATAGCCCCTTTATGCTCTCAAAAAATAGTAACAAAGCCATAGTTTTAGAATTGAATGTGCATGAAATGGCACCAGTCTCTTTAACCTCAACAATAGAAACATTCCAATTATAAGATTTCCTACAGACCCTTTTCTGCACTAGGTTGGCAGGATACATTAGTGGGTCAGGATCTGTTTAGCTAGAGGAAAGTGGTGCAAAGCTAAGGAGCAATGTGGAAGTCAACTGCCGAGAAATTTCTAATCCCTACCACAGACTGGCTTGGAGGCTGTACCAGCAAAGTGGCAGGGATTAGTGCTGGTGATCTCCACCCACTTCTCCTTTCTTATTGGCATACCTTGATGCTAATTTAGACCTGAGCAGTCTCTGGAGGGATGCTACATACTTCTTCTGAAAGATCTGTATGCCTGTATAGACAGAGCAAGGGGGAGAGGGAGCAAAAACCTTTAAAACCCAATTGCCCACTTCAGTGGTTTCCAAGCTGCTATTATGTTTCTGATCACAGTAATTGGCGTTACTATTTACTAATGGCTTATGGTAAAGGGGGGAAAGAGACAAAAACCCAGCACCTCAGTTTGTAGTTCTGGGCTGCTGAAGATTGCTTGCCGACTTTGAAATGTGTGTCAGTTGATATGATGCTCTATCCTTAATTTTTTTTATTTTAAAATATTTATATTTCACGTTTCCATATTAAGAGCTTGTCAGTGTTCTGACATCTCACCTTTGATAGCCTGTGAGGAGTGGAGCAGATTCTTATCATGGGCATCAGGTCAGCAGCTTGGACCTTCAGTTAGACCTCAAGGGAACCTGCTAGCTGGTTGATAGAAATCAGTCACTTCTGGCTTTTAACCCTCCATCAACAGTGGGGCCAAGCACAATAACACTTTTTTTGTATTCCTGGTGAGCAATTAATTGCCATGTGATATTTTAGGGCTCTCCTCAGTTTAGTTAAAAACCTATGGTTTTACTCTTATGGTTGGTGGTTACAAATTTATCTCTGTTGGAATGACAGAGAAAATGAAGAACTATGCTTGTAAGGCGATGGGGTGAAAGCAGCCTTGTCAGATGCTCTTGATTCATTAGTTACTTGTCATGTCAACAGGTACTTACCTCAGAACCTATTCTGTCCATTTTGTGTGAGAAAAACGCATAAGGAGTGGGGAAAATTGAATGATAGTTATCAAATTTTACTCAGGGTAGACCTCTTGAAATCAATGGATATAACATAGACATGTTCATGAATTTCAGTGCGTCTATTCTGAGTAAAATATAGTTGAATACCACCCATTATTTTGACTATTTTCATATTGGGTGAATCATTCACTTTCCTTAACATTACCACAAATGACATTGGGGATCAATAGCATTCCACATGTTTACAAAAACCTTGTACAAACCTGATTTTTTAAAAGCATTTTTCTGCAGCTGAAACATTCCTTCTGACCCACCAAAACAGGTTTTTTTTTAATCAAACTATCATTTCGTACAAAGTTTACTGGTTGCTTTTGGGGTCACTGAGCCCCCAGATGGATCTGCATGTGTTTACAAGCACCTAGGACTCTTACTTTGACAGGTGGCAGACTTAATGACAGCTCTCAGTCAAGGACCTTGAGATGGCCACTTTCCTCTATTCACAAAAAGTTATGTGCGAAATGTGCTGTTAAGGGTTGCCCTCAACACTTCCAGACCAATATGTCACTGGCCTTCTTCAAAAGTCAATTAAGGCCTGGGATTTGATGATCAGCTTCAATGCGGAGCAAACATTGTGAGAGACAGGCTTCCCCCATGCAAAATCTTTGGGATGTTTACCAACACTCTCCCACAATGCTTTGTGCCATGTGAAAACATTAGAATTGACGAACAAGTGGTGCCATTCCAAGGAGGACATCCAATGAAGCAGTATATGCCATCTAAGCCAGCGAAGGATGACATCAAGTTCATAAACTATATTCTGTTTATGATATATATGTGTGGAAAGAAGGGTTTCTCAGCAGCATAAAACCTAGACAGACAGTGTCAGAGAAACTAATATTACATTTATAGGGTTCTAGGCTGTTCTGTGCCACAGTCCAGGGAATTAGCTAAGAAAAAACTAACTCTGGTCGGCACATTGAAGGAAGGAAGGAAGCAAGGAAGGAAGGAAGGAAGGAAGCCAACCAACCAACCAACCAACCAACCAACCAACCAACCAGAGATTCCTTGAATTCTTTGCCCACAAATCCTGAAGCGTCAACAGCAACAGTTGGTTTTCTAGAAGATCTAACACCTGTAAGCTAGATGCCATGGAAAGGAAAAACAGTGATTCTCTTTTCTTCAAAGCATGGTGCAGCAGTCTCAGGGCCCTCTCAACTGGTGTTTCGTTGGTTTTTTTGCCAAGTGTATTCTGCAGTATGTCATAGTGTTAGACCATGCTCATTATTTATTGTTCTGCAGAATTTCCTTGATGTTGCCACATTAATTGCCTTCTAAATGGCGCTCTTACACTATAGTGCAACAGAAGAAAAGCAGGGTGGAGTGGGAAACAGAACAGCAACAAAAGAACCAGGACACGTTCAGTCTGAAAAGTTGCAGGATTTCAGCAAGAAGCTATGGGACTTGGGGTGAGACTGGGGAGTTGCTGCTTTTGTGTTTGTTTGTGTGTGATTACTGTCAATATGTTTATGAAACCGCTCCAGGAGACAATCTTCTTATCCGGATGTCCAACTGAAAAGGGCAGTTGGACACTTACTACACCACAAAAATGGGGGATGAAGCAGCCATTATGACTGCAGTTGCCCTGATACCTTTAGCTTTGTACTTCATTCAACCTGCCTAAGGAGCTCTAAGAGCTTTTCATGTAATAATTCTGACTGTGTGCTGCAGTAATCTTCCTACATAGGCAACATGGATCAGCACTAACAGTGCTGCAAATTGGAGAAAGGTATTACATTGGTTCACACGATGTGCTCAGCCAAACATTGGCTTAGCAAGACCGCACAGAGTTGTGGGCTCTTAAGAGGCGGTTGCAGCCCCTTTGTTCCTCCCTGGTCCTGATTGTTGCTGAGTTGCTCTAAGCAGGTATTCAAAGCTTTGGCTTAGCATGTTATCTGAACTGGAGCTTGTGGTTATGCTCTTTCCTCACTAACCATCAGTTGTAGCCAATGTTTGCTCTTGATTTCACCTCGTAGTTAGTGAGGAGAGAATTGAACCACAAGTCCTTGTTTGGATGATACTCAGCGAGGCAGCAAAAAGGACAGGAGGAACCTAGTGACTGAGTGCAACTCTCTGGGAGTCCACATGTTTGTGCAGTCTTGCAAAGCAAAGGTTTGGCTTAGCACATCATGTGAGCCAGTTCATTATGTATGTAGGTGTAGGATGGCTTGTCTTGAAATAGATTTTGCAGAAAAATGCTCCTCCCTTCCTTCATTTAAAGAAAATGGCTTAGGGAGCTGGGAATCATCTGTTTATGCTGGCATTGTCATGATGGTAGGCATTTAGTTTTTCTGGTCATATTACTATCTTGAGACTATAAACCTCAATAATGTTTACAGTTGCACTAGAGCTCGTGTTAAAAGAACACCTTTCCATGTTTCCTAGTCCAATGCCTTGACTTGAACCGCAGCCCCATTGCAGACTCTATTCCAGCTTGTGCACTTTGCTTTCTACTGCTGTGGTTTCAGGGCATGGAAGTTAATGCATTACATCTCTCAAATGTTTCGGCATCTGGCCTCTGTGTATTTCATCTGCTTGTGGTCACACAAGTATTTAGTAATGGTACAAAGAGGATGGCTAATAATGTTTTGTTTTTTTCTTTCTTGATTGACAGTTCATTTGTGACTGGAACAGCTTGCTGTGGACATACCTCACCTTTGAGAATCTGGGACTTGGGGAGGTAAGACTCTCTTACAGTTGTGGCAGTGAATAGAAAAATCTGCCTGTGGGATGAATACTTGTGGAAACTTTCTAAGACCTGACCGTAGTTGAAAATTAATGTGTACCATTAACTCAGAAGTAGCCAAGACTTGGTTCAGCTTAGTCATTGATCTCTGGACCAAAATCCTGCATTAGAGATGTTTGTATACTTTCTTCTTTGCACGCACACACCAATGAATATATTTTCATACTTTGTCTTTGCAAATTCTTCTATTGAACAGTTTTTTTTAAAAAAAAAAAGTAATTTGGGCTTGTTTCCAAATTTTGATTCTCATCTGTCTTCTAGTGACTTATACCCGTTTCTTTTTGTGTTTTATTGACAAGGTAGGACAATTGACTTTAGCCTTGCATTTTCCTTCTTGCTAGAGATTAGATTATCTATTCCTGGATTCATTTTTTAAATTGGTAATCATTTAGCCTTTGAAACCAGTGAGAATTCCAGAACTCCACCACTCATTTACACCAATAAAATTCAAACGTAATATAAGGCCAAGGCAAATAAAAAAAGGATTTCACCTGGCACTGCAAACATATATGGCACTGGAATTGATGAAAGCCACAAATGAAAAGGCCCTATCTCTGGTCAACAGCATCTTACTTATTTCAGGTGGGAGAATGTGAATCAGGACCTCAGAGACTGATGTTTATGTCCAGGCAGGTCCAGATAGATACCCTGGTCTCAAGCCAGTTAGGTTAAAACCAGCACATCAAATTGTGTTTGGAAAAGGACTGGTAGACTATGCTTATGATAATATTTTATTCTCTTGCTAATTATGCTCTTTGAAGCATGCGTTTTATATCTGACTTCCTTTAGTAATATTTTCTTTTGAAATGTTTAAGATTTTGTTGTTGTTATTTTTGCTGCACTGAATGTGCATTCTGTAGTTCAACCCCCTTTGTAATGTTTTGTGTTGAAATCTTTAAGATAATATTTTAGTTTCCTGTTAACCTTGTTGCTTTGGACTTTCTTCTGTAATGTTTTATTCTGGATTGTTTTATTTGATGTTTTAATGTAGGTTGTAAAAGGCTTTGAGATTTTTTTCTTTCAAATATAAAGCAGTATATAAATGAAATGAATAATAATAATAATAGACCACACAGCTCTTTAAAAACTGACATGGTATGTTCTGTATATTGGGCCCCAGTATGTTCTGTATATTGGGCCCCTTCCACATTCAGGTCACAATTTAAAAGATACAAAGTACAGAATGTATAGACAGTGTTAGATGGACCTGGGAGGATCTGGCGCAAACAACTCACTCTATAAGTTTGGGCATGGTGTTGTCTCTTTGCCTCATTTCACCATCTGTAAATTTGTGTCCTGCCTTGCTAGATTTAACCCTTTTTGCAATTCTTCCAGTCTGCCAGAGCAGTGCTGATAATAAGATTTGTTGTTATGTTGTTCAATAAAATAGCAATGTGGGTTTGCTGATTAACAGTCTCTGTGCTTGGTGAATTACGTGTAATGTGGTTCCTCTGCTTAGACTACAGGAAGAATGAGGGCTTCTTTGGCTTTTTCTGTCCCCATCCTCCTTGCCCATGAACTTCTCCTGGCTTACCTCAAATAGAAGCAGCACCGAGGAGCAAGTGAGGAGTGGCTGTGTCACCTTTTCTGCCTTTCCAAAGGAAGCCTCTAGAGATAATAAAGCTATGTAGAAAATAGGATTAAGGTAATGAACAGGCAGGATGGAGTTTGATCTTTCAATAAGGCAAAAGCCTGACTGACAGGCAGAGCTAAAGCCTGGAACCATCCAACCAATGGGAAACTACCTACTGTGGCTGCTGAGTGTCACGGATTCCTCCCTTTTCATTTGTTTTTAGTGGAATGCACTGTGCCACTGAGCTGCCCATCTCAGGCCGCACATGGAGGGAAGAGCAAAAGTCTACACAATTTGGGTCTCTCACATATACAGGTTAATCGGAAGTCTGTAGTTGGTGGGGCAACTTCTCACGAGACGTGGTAGTTGGTGAAATTTGGGCAATTATGGAGGAGAAGGACCAGCAGTGTTTCTCCCTACTGGTATTTTAATTTTTGTTCTATTACTGTATTGCTTTTTCCAGCCAAGGGTTATTTTTTGTGAGTTTGTGTTCTCTTCTGGACCCACCAATGTAGCTAGCCCTCACACTGTCCAAAGGAGTCACTGCTGAATACCTGCAAGTCCATAAATACTTCTGTAACTTAGGCCCCCGAAACAGACTTTGGACATGCCTGGCTTACTTGCACTCTAGAATGCTATATGTAGTAAGCAAACAATTGATAGAGTCCCCCTCCCAGCTCATTTTGTATAGCTTAAGCATTTGAATATTTTCTTTATTATTATTTGTAGCCCTCCTGCTTCTGGCTCATTCGCCACCTCAATACTGGACCCCCTCCCCCCTCCCTTCTTTCCTCCCTCCCTCTCCAAACAGCCTTGTGCTTCTTCACAATTTTAATCTTTCAAGTGTCATGTTTTCGCTTTCCTTTCTCTGCTGCTCCTATCAATATTCTGTAACCTTCTTGCCCATTCAGCTGCACATCTCTTTGTCATATACCTCTCCCTATATCTTTTCCCCACTCTTGCTGACAAGTCCCTTGTACCTCCTTTTCTCTGCTTTGGCACTTCTAGGTAGATAAACATATGTCTGTGCAGTAGTAGATTCTCTATTTCGTATTTAAGTCTCTCTCCTTTGCCCTCACGGGGCCACAGGACACTGTTGGATTGCTGATCATTGTGATCCAGCTGCAGAGCTTTACTAAAGATCCCAGAACCGAGACCAAGGAAGCAGGCACATTCCAGGCTGACCCCTCTCTTTCCCCTCTAATCTAATGTTGGCTTGGCTGTGGCCAAATGGACTCTGCTACCTTAGTAGTTGTTTCTTTCCAAAGCCCTTTTGCTGCTCATCTTTTAGCTGAACTATGGTGGTCCATTTGGGTGTTGTTTTCTCAGAAAGATGTTTGGGTGCCTCTCTTTCTGGTGCATTGGCTCAAGAAGTTGGAGCATGCCACAGAATTACACCAGAGGTGTGGTTTCTGTTTGTGACTTTACTTGGTTGGTGATGGGATGACCTTTGCTTTTTTTCCTGACCCTGTGTTTCTAACACTTTGGATGTGTGAAAAGCTATGCCATGCTGCTTGGACACCAAACATAGCACAGAATCTTAGTGGAGCTTGGAGGGCTCCCACCCTCAGGGGGATGGGAAACAGATGCTGCTTCTGAATGTTTCTATTTACCCATGCAACTCACCACTTTTGGGACTATGCTGCAGTGGCAGTACTCTGGACTATGTGTTCAGATCCATATTTCTGCCCCCACCTCTGCCACTGACATCTGTGTAAGATGTTTGCCATTGTCACTTGTTCTGGGTCCACTTTCTCTTATCTGCTCTACAGGAAAGCAAAATAGGGATATTGCCCAGAAAAATCTGGGTGATATGCTTAGATAGCTGTTTGTTTGGCCTAGGTAAAACCAGCAGCTTGCTATAAATATCCAGTATTGCAACAGAACTGTTCTAAACTTTCGTATTGTGGCCTCAGTACTATAAATGTCCTGGTTACTGTCCCCAAGGAGGGAAATATGTGTCAGGTACACAAAATGCATTCAGGAGGAAAGTAAATAAAGAAGATTGGTATTTTTCAAAAGATGTGGCTCAAGGAGAGGCCTGCATGATGATTGGTGGCCAATAGGGAACTGGGAAACAAAGCTTGCATGTGCCTTAAAACTGTTGGACAAACTTCGGGTACTTTCTCCTTCTAGTGTTATTTAAAACAGTAAATAACACTTTTGATGCTATTCACAGTTGGTTCCTGAATCCCGCTGTCACTGGATATAATAATGCACACAAAACAAACAATAATCTGACAAAGTCATGAATGGCAGTATTGATGACAATGCACCCTCTGCAATATGTCTTTAAGCAGAAGGTGGAGGTGAAAAGAAGGGCATGGATAATGAGTGTGTGAACGTGTGTGTATATGCATGTGCATACACCTTGCACACACCTGCTTTTCTTCTTCGAGTGAATAACTGAACTGGCTACTGTTGAGTCCTGGGCTGGATGGACCATTCACCTGATCCAATGAGACTTTTCTTGTGCTCTAACATGCACCTTGATCCCACAGCTCTGCAGAGACCCTGTGAACACTGGTCATAATTAGCTGTACTATTTCCAAACATTCTTCCCTCTTCTAAATAATCTTTTTCTTAAAAGTACTTGTGACAGCTTTTTTTTTTTAAAGGAACCCTCTAATTTTTCCTCTTCAGTTCTCGATCTTTTTAACTCTTTGAAATTGGCTTCATGCCATCTCTGACACCAAACTGACACCTTTGCCTTTCCCCACTTCTTATCCCTTTATAGCAACAGATGTTGAAATTTTGTATCCCTTTTATCTGCCCCTCTTTAACCTCTTCCTGTAATTAGGTTCCCCTTGTTAGCAGTACAAAGTGGGTTGGTCCGCTACCTAGCCTGCCTTTTGAGCTATTGTGTCTGAGCACATGTGGTTTTGGGTTATTTGGAAAAGTCCCTTCCCCCTTAGGTAATAGTGGTGGGCGGATGGACAAAGATTGTGGCTTTTTTCTTCTTCTTCTTCTTCTTCATTTATCTTTGCCAAGGAAGAAGAAGAAAGGGAGGAGGGGTAGGGGGCACATGTGAAGCCAAAGCCACAGACCTTCACTTCTCATCCAGTTGGGTTTTCTGTTCCTTTCCTCTCTGGTGCCTTTTTTCTTACCCCTTCGAGTGCTTAGGTGGGGCCCTTTTGATGTCCTTTTGGGTACAGTTTAAAAGTGTGTGTGAGAGAAAGAGTGATCAGTGTTTGTTGTTTCTTTCCCCACTTCTTCTTGTCAGTAAAATAATATGCATAACATTTCATTAAATTCCTGAGATGCTTAACATAATGAATATACTTCACAACTCTGCTGTAAATTACATTGTTTAACAATTCTCTCCTGTACTTTCAGTCTCCTTCATTCCAGATTAATTGGATTAATTTGATTAACATTCACAATAATACCTACTGCTTCATTCATAATAGGGATTTTAAAATAAGTGACTTGAGATTTGAAATGCTAATCAAAGATATTACTGTAAAGTGAAAGAGGAGAGCCCTGTGTAAATGCCACGCTAAGCATCACACATTCTGACATGTGCGAATTTGTTGGATTGGTGCTGTTCAATTTATATTTCACCTAATACTGTATACAAATTAATTGCACATTACACTTATTCCAGTGAAAGATGAATAAACTCAATTTCACAACAAAGTTATCCTGTTGCCTGCCTCTTCTGACCCATTACATTTGTTTGTTTAATCATATATAAGCTATATCCCTCATTCTTATTATCCAGGCTACTGTTGAAGGGAGTGTGTATCTGGCTTTTTCTCACATTTTTTCACCCATAACACTGACTTTTCAAACTTTGTGTAGTCTTTTAGGGATCTTTGTTGCACCAACAAATGGTTTAGTATCTGCCTCACTTGAAGATTCTGGAGGAAATGTATCTGTGCTTGACCTATATCCTGTTTAATTTGATAGTATGATTTAATTATGCCTTCTTTCAATATTTTCTGAGCAAAATCACTCCAAACATATCCCAAAGCTACATATTATTCAAATATCTTTGTTTAAGAAACCTTCCAGGTGAGATTTAGAGTGACTTTTCATATATGAATTCAAGCTTATTCAGCTTTTTATTTGCAAATACCATAGAAACATGGCCTCTAATCAAAATGGAAAGCGTAAGTTGTATTGCTTTCCTTTCATTGAAATCCAGTAAAGATATCTGCAAAGAAGTGCATTCTAAGATGAATTTCTCTTTTGGGGCTTGAATAGGATCCTGCAAAAGTTTAAGGCCAGTTTTTATACAACATATTGCATCCATAAAATGAAGACCTTTTCCACAATTTTATTGAGCAGGGATTGAAAACATAAGACCCTCCTGATATTGTTGGACTCTAAATGCCATCAGCATGGTCAGTAGTTTAGGGAAGATGAAAGCTGTAGTACAACAACATCTGCATAGTTCCATGTTCCCCATTCCTACTGTTGATTCAGAACATACCAAGTTACCTGTAGTTGTTCAGTGAGATCAATATATATTCATGCTGATATGGAATGGTAAGGATGTGGAGGAGATCAGCCTGCCTGTGATTCCCCAATTAAGATAAATCACAGAGACCTTTATTAAAGAATATTGGGAATACTCCAGGACCTACCACTGCTTCTTGAGAAACAGTTTGGAGGTGTTGCCAGGAGGGTCTCCTACGATATTCTGGTCATAATGAAGTTTTCCTTCCTCCCTCTTATAGAAATGTCAGACTTTGCTATGCTGATCCATGTCACTGTAGTTTCCAAGCTGGATAGCTGTAGCGCAGTCTACATGGAGCTTCCCTTGTAGATGACATAGCTTCCCTGCCTAGTGACATCAGGCAGGCACCTTATCAGTGCCTGCGAAAAATATTTCTTTTCAGGCAAGCCTATCCAGACTTGTGGAATGCTGGCATGTGTTTATTCTGGCTTTGAGCTTATACTTTAAAAAAAAAATGTTTCAAATAGCAGCTTTTAACTCTTATTATTGATAATTTTGTTGTTTTATTCTTCTTGTAAACTGCTTTAAGGTTTTCTTACAATCAAGTGGTATATAAAACTTATGAAATATAACCAAATAAATAAGCTTCAACTCGTCAGAGCAGGCCTTTTATAGTGACTTCTCCAAAACTGAGGTCCAGCACCGAGGGCCTTCTGGCAGTTACCTCACTGCGAGAAGCCAAGTTACAGGGAACCAGGCAGAGGGCCTTCTCGGTAGTGGCGCTCTTCCTGTGGAACGCCCTCCCACCAAATGTCAAAGAGAACAACAACTACCAGACTTTTAGAAGACATCTGAAGGCAGTCCTATTTAGGGAAGCTTTTAATATTTGATGTATTACAGTATTTTAATATTTTTTTGGAAGCTGCCCAGAGTGGCTGGGGAAGCCCAGCCAGATGGGTGGGGTATAAATAATAAATTATTATTATTATTATTATTATTATTATTATTATTATTAAACTATGGAACCTTCTCCCAGAAGATGTGAGGAAAGCTACCTTCTTGCTGTCTCTTCAAAAGGGGTGTAAGACATACACTTTTTTCAAAGCTTTGGACTGACTTATTTTCTGTTGTTTTCAATATTAAAGTTCCTGGCTAAAAAATCTTGATCAGAATTTAGATGTTCACTTTTGGAAGCAGAGTCTCTTTCAAAAATCACAATATAAAAATTAGCCTTTTTGTCTCTGTGCTGACATGTAACCAGAATGCACTTTCACCCTCTGAAGCTTAATATATTTTACTGCTAAGAGGGGCAGCATATGGGTTTATCTGATTGATACCCAAGTCAAGAGGAGTTGAACAAGTAAGACTTTTCTCCAGGTATATCTCGAGGGGCTTGTCCGACCTTAGCGTTGGGTACACTTTGTAGAGGTTAATACACTTTGTAGAGCTTTAGTGTCTGTGTTTTGCATTTGGGGGGGGATTGTATAAATATGCCTTATGGATAGAGTCAAACTCTAATAATTAGAAATAAATTAAAAAAATTAAAAATTGTCCAGTAGCACCTTAGAGACCAACTAAGTTTGTTCTGGGTATAAGCTTTCGTGTGCATGAAAATCTTGGTCAAAGATTCTACCTTATAACTCTCGCGGTGTCTTGCCTTTTAGTGCAAGTTATAGCTCAGTCCCAGCCACCTTTATTTAGAAGTAAGTTGGATGGACTTTCTGTGAAGCTTATTTAAAAGTCAATGTGCATAGGACCATGGTTACAATCAGTTCTAGGTAGACTTGAACTTTCTTAGTTCTTAGCCCTCTTTTGCTGCATTTGAAGTTCTTATACAGTTAAAGCAACAGCATCTACCCTTCAATCTACCTTGGACTCCTGACTTCTGTTCTGACCCTTTGTGTGCTCAAACAGCATCTTGCAATATCTGTAAAAAAATCCTCCAGAAGATTTCGGTCTTTGATCAGTTTCATGCTCATGAGTCATAAGACAATCTTTATTTTCCTCTAGGTGGCAAGAGAATCAACAGAAGCTATAAAAAATAAGAGCACCTACATGTGGGATGGACACACACACAGAGCACTCCCCCCCCCCAACCCTTTGGGCTGGCTCATTTAAACAGATGGCTTTGTTTTGATTTGGAATCTCCATTTTTCTTATTCTTTTTACTTTTTTTTTTGTCTGACGGCCGAAGGAGACCTCCAGAGTGCTGTCTGTTCAAAAAGAAGCTATACAGTGGCTTATTCCCACACAACTCCCCGCCGGTTTTCCTTACTGCCCCCCCCAATTTGAGTGAATTCCCCCCATCTTTGAGACATTCTTCACATTCTTTGCAGAGAAAAGGGGTTAAACGTCTGAATTTGGGGGTCACCATGTTATACAAATTGCAATCTAATCGTTTTTACAAGAACACACGTGTGCTAAGAAAAAGAACCCTGAACAAGAAAGACAAGGAGACAGACAGCTTGCTTTGTCCTTTCTCCCCTGAATGTTTCTTGCCATTGTCATATTGCCGTGTCTCTCTCCCTTCTTTGCCTCTGGGAGGGAGAGAGTTGGTTTGATAGTTAAATTGGCCCGTAAAGCAGAAGGGCTTGGTGCCATTTCTGTTTGTTTTCCCAAATAAAAGCCCCAGAGGGGTCTCTTTTGCACCGTTGTGGCTTTATTTGAGAAAACTGGCTTTTTCCCATAGCTAGCATGTCAGTTTATCCTCTGAACTTAACCTTACGACAACCCGGACAACAAAAAACTTCCAGGGTCTCAGAGCCAGGAAAGGTAAAGAAATTGTATCTCTTTATTGGAACCTTTAAAGTGTGTGTGGGCTAATTCAGAGTCACCAGAAGAAAAGAGGGCAAAGCTTTTTTTTCCAGCCTCGCTACCACCGCTATCATTGCCACCCCTGCTGTAGCGAAAGGCTTGCGTGCCTCCAGCTGGCACAGGGAGCATTATAAGCAATGTGCTGTCCAGCGTTAACTTTTTAAAAAGTAGCCTTGTCCCAAGAATCCTGTTATGGCTACACCTCCAAGTTCTTTTCACTCGGGTTCATTTGTAAATGGTCCAGGAACACTTGTTGATTCTTTATTAATAAACTTTTAGCTGTGAGTTCATAAAAGCCATAGACCACCTCCTGATTCTTCTATGCTTCTCACCATGTATGCTTTCCGTCCCTATATTATTAGCGAATCATAGGCATAAGCAACAGTGTGACTTTAAAAAAAACAAATTGGAATGTATCAAAATGGAGAACTAAGGCTGGGGGGGGGGCAGTGGCAGGAATAAGCATTTGTGTAGTTTTCTGGGACTCACAGGTTTTTGTTAGTATTTAGAGAATCCTAGCTTCGTTTTAATTAATAATTTTGGGCAACACTATCTTGGAATTACCTTTGCAAATTCAGTTCTGGTTAAAATTAAGCACCCAGTCATTTCTTAGTGGTACCACAATTCTATATTGGCTCTGGAACATTCCAGTTTCTGACTTTTGTTGGCATGCTGTTTGCAGTTGATTGAAATAAAGCATTTGGCTGTTGAGACCCAAACAACATCTGCGAACAATGCCCAAACATAACTCTGCATGAAACTTTCCATCAAATTTTGGCAACGTCATTAAGCCTGCCTTGGGCATGTTTTTTTCTACCAGTGTAGATGATCGTGCATGGATGATATACCGGGTTAAGATCATGCACAAGTTTGCTTTAATCAGTAGGTGGGGAGCCCCCAGCTTGCAAGCTTTATTAGGCCTGCCAGGCCTCTGAATTTGGCCTGTGAGGCCATTTTGGACAAATCATGCCCATCTGTTAGTCACCTGAAGTCATATGACATCAGGTGTGGAGATTGTTGTCTAAATACTCAAGTGCTGCTTGCTCCTCGATGGTAAAAGCCAGCAGCAGAGGCTTTTCTCAGATCTTAGCACTGTGAGATCACAGGTGAGCAGCCCCACCCACCTGCCAGAAATGCAAAATGACCCATGGAAAGCGTCTCAACTGTGGATCTGGGCCTCGGGCTGAAAAAGGTTCCCCACTTTATTTTAATACATGTACATGCAATGAAATAGAGGTCTGCTTGGTGATGCAGCTGTTAGACCTGAAAAGGTTAGCCACTTCTGTTTTGTCTAAACTTCTGGAAAAGAAAGAGATGAATAAGTTAACTTATCAGCATCAAAATTAGCTTCTGATACATCTAATTTGTAAATTTAAATTCATGTCAGTTCTAGTGCACTGCAGCTGTTGAAATAGGTTCTTGCCTCTGAGAATTCATTGCTAAATTTGCTGGACCTGAAAGTGCTACAATACTTCTTATGGCCTCTGTTCTCAACCCAACTTGAATAATGGAAGATCGGGTTTGGGTAAAAAACAACAGCAACCCAGTGGAGAATTTCCAGGTCATCTCATTTTGTTCTGCCTTTTTAATCTTGGTTGTGCTGCTGATTTCCTAGTGCTAGTAGTGTGGTTAGAATACTATTTCAGGAAGGGTATTGTGACAAAACAGGAGAGCTGCTGGCAAACTAAATTCTATTCCCCCCTGCCAGATGACCTTGTGTATTCAGCAGTCAAATTGTTGAGCAGGCAGCCTTCACCCTAGTAAGATGATGCTTGTGCCACTTGGAAGGGGCTTGGGTAGTAGCAAGAGATACAAGAGCCTCTTGCCAACTGAAGAAGGGCATTGTTTAGAGTCGAAATGTCTCTTTGTAGTGTTGCAAACAGAAAAGCTTTTCCAGGATGAGGGTACAGTGAGTTGAACGTCAAGAGTCTTGGCTTCCTTAAACCTAGCCAGAAGCCATTCAACCTTTCTATGATGTGTGGAGTTGAAAGGTGATCTTTATGGGAAATGGGTGGCAGCAGAATGATTGAATTGCTCGAGCCAGGACAGACATTACTGCAGAAATAACCACTCACACAAATGGTCTACTACTTGAACAAGTAGTGGAATGAGTAATCTACCCACACATGTAGTTATTTCTGTGGTTAAACCAGCTACAGTGGAACATAGAGTTGGGGTTTGCTCTTGCCCCAGAATACCTTGACACTATGGAAGACACATAGGTAGCCTCCAAAATAAGATTCTAAAGCTGTCTCGTCATTTATCTGGAGGAAATGGCAAACTGCTTCTCTGTTTCATCTGCCTCTAACCCCACAGTCTCTGATACAAGAAAGGTCTTGCCAGTTCTTATACAAAAAGAGTGAACAGAATTAAACAATTATTTTGATCACTGACTGCTTTTATAATTGTTGATTGCCCCTTTCCATTCAGATTTCATTTTGTGATGAAACTGGCTGAAACTGAATTCTGAACTCCCCCTGCACTCTGGGTAGAACACCCCTTGCATTTTCTCTGCCTTGTGGCTACATTTTAATGCGTGTTTGTTTGTTTTTTTGATTGCTTTTATCTGAATCAGTTTGTGTATAGGCCTACTAAACTTTTCAGACTACTCCATGCATCTGATGAAGTTTATGAAAGGTGACGACACAATATAGTTCTTACAGGGGAGAGACTCCAGTGTTTCTTGCTACAGAGTGATAGGGGCACCCCTTTGGAAATCATTTTGTTCATAAATGAGAGGGCTCAGGGTCAAGTCTAAGCAGAAGAGGTTGAACAGTCCCCATCTGCCAGCACATTTTGATGTTATCCTTCCCCAGCCTGGAAGGTAGGTGAGGTGCTGATGGAGAAGTCGTGTCTCAGACACAAAAGAGAATGAGTGGGTGAGTAAGTAAATGTAGCAGTTGTAAGTGCTACAGATCTCATGTCAGGATAAAGGGTGGAGAGCTCCTGTGGATGCATCTGCGGACTTGAGAGCTCATTTGCACTAACAGATCCTCCTTACAAATGGGAATGTAGTTTATACCACCTTTAGAAGTGCTTTCAGACTGAAATGCCTCCATATCCACACACCCCCACCCAAAAGTGCCTTGCAACATGTCCTTAGCTCCCTGGGTCTCTTCTCAGTGTTACAGTTTCACACAAAAAGAGCTGTTGGAAGGCTCTGTTAGTATAGTACCACATGGGGCAGCATTTTTCATAGAAACCTTGGGTTCAGCAAGCATCCCCATGGGATTCTGCAAAATGTTACAGCCTCCCATCTTAGGCGTTTTGCTTTGCCCTCTCATGCTGGCCAGACATCTGCGTTTCAATAGTGGGAAGTGTCCACAAATAACACATGGCCTGAGTCTGTCTCATGACATACTGTATATTGCAAAATTCACCAAATTCAAGTCTTGATACTGAAAGCTTAATGAAGTCTTGGAAATATGTTTGTGAACATTCTTGTCCCATGATGTTGAATAATTCCAAGTAATGATTAGTTATTGCAAATTTTTGCCTTTGAATTTTGTAATAGTTTAAAAATGTTTTTATTTCACTTTCCAGGAGGGGGAGCTTGTTACAGTGCTTGCTCAACAAAAAGGGTTGAAAACCACTGGCTTAGGGTGTGTTATGCCTGTACGTCTCTTCCATCCAAATGAAGTGCTACTCATGCTGTATCAAGGGAGAAAAACCACAAGTGCTTTCATTAGAAAGGACAGAAGCTCTGTTAAATATTCAGCATCCCATGAGAATTTCTGGAAGTTTGCTTTAAAAAAAAGTTTTTGTGAGGTGATTAGGGTGGCTTCATTTTAATGTTACACAATATTATTTTACTTTATAACCATGAATAACTTAAGTGCCATGGTCTCAATTCCTGATAAATGTTCTCTGCCCAAGTAATCTCTAGATTTTCTAATGTGCATAGAAGCACCTCTATAGATGATGTGCTTCCAATTCTGTTCTGCTTATTGGCATTTGTCAAGAGCTTTATTCTTCTTTTTTTACAACTTGGAAAGTTTTTCACTAATGTGAGTGTAGGAGAGGAAAGCTTATTTGCAGTTCAGCCATGATCTAAGGAGCATTTTTCAGACAACTCTGTCAGTCACACAACTGCAGTATAATCGCAGTCATATGTGGTCAAATAGCTCAGTTATCAGCATGGTGCTGGTAACCACGTTTGCAGGTTCGATCCCCATATGGGACAACTGTATATTCCTGCATTGCAGGAGGTTGGACTAGATGATCCTCAGGGTCCCTTCCAATTCTATGCTTCTATGAATTCTATGACTTTTGGATCAGTTTGGACAGGCAAACCTCAACTTATCCGGATGTTCTTGCCCAGGAGTTAAAGGATCATCCTTTCAGGTGTTCCTCCTTTTGAGAGACAGGAAATCCTCTTCATATCTTGAGTTTCTGCATTTCAAGAGCCAGGCTGAGGAATATGGCAAAGCCAGAGAAGCAAAGCCAGGTCTCTGGAGAGCTCCCAGTATGTGGTGATATAGTTGCCTCTGTATGCTTCCATATACATCTGGCCAGCATCCCTAAGTAGGGTGCCTAAGTATAGCTCCCACTAACCTCATTTCCCCCAGCTCCTCCTCTGAATTGCAAAGCGGGGCAGTTTTCTTTGTTTTTGTTTTGGCTAGAAGTCTCTCTTTCTTTAGATGATGGGTCCCCTGCCTCTTACTCCTGCCCTGATCCTGCAAACGTCTTCCCCTCATCTACCTCTAGCTGCATATTGTATAGAGCAGATGGGCTACACTCCTTCCTTCCAAGGGTTAATGTTTTAAGAACTTGTCCAGCAATTCCCTGCCTTGAGAAACACAAAGTGCAATAACACAGCACCCCTGGATTCAGGTTTTGTGGGTGGGTCGGGGGGGGGGGGGAGGGATGAGGATTAATTCCTGCACTTGATGTTAAAGCTTGCCCAAGAGGTTTGCCTTGGGGGGAGCATCGCTAGGGCCGACTGGTTGTGTTAAATGGTTGCTAAGGCCTTGGCATTACGGCCCGATGGAGTGTTCCACAGTCACGGTCACGGAGGGAATTACACAGCCACAAAGAAATTGTTATTCTCCGTAATCTGCTTTTTGGAGAGTGACTGGGGGAGATGGGCCGGCCCCAGCAGGCCGCCGGTGCTGTGATCATGGAAGCGTGTTGGCTCTGGCGAGCAGGGCAGGGCTCACCTTCTGATCTGGGGGACACCAGTGCTGCTGGTGCTAATCTGCTTTCTCAGCAATTTTGCTCCTGTGACACAACGGTGTTTACTTGTTTGAACATCTCCCGGGACTCTATTTCGCCTATTGTGTGGTCTTTATCCCCCCCACCCCCGATGGGGCTTTAGCCCAGATTACAGATGGAATTAAGGCCTCTGGCTCGGGTGCCCCAGAAAGACTGATACGGGATCAAGGAGCAGAAAGTAACAAAATAACTGGGAGGAGGGGGAGGCACTAGTTGCTTCAGGGAGTGGGGCTGCATTGTCCCACGGAGCGAGAGCCAGTGCGGCAGCCTGAAAAGCAGGCGCTCGGTGCTTTGTGACCAGTTCTGATTAGACCGTTAGGGAGGAGGAGAAGGGCTGGGAACATGTGGGTCTTTAGTGGCTGAATGGGCTTCATTGGACACTGTTGTCTGAGTGGTAGTGAGAACTGTGGCAGCCCGGCTTTCTCTTGCAAGGGAGGTGGATTAGGAGCATGTATTAATTAATCAGAGAGCCCTGTGCTAGACAGACCTTGTAGCTGTAATGAAGGAAGGGAACTACTCAGCTGTCTTACTCAGCCTCTTATTCCTTGCAATCCTTTTGCCTTTCGTGCCCATTTGGTCCTTAACTGTCTCCTGATATAAAGTTGCATTCTCATTCCTTTATGAAAATGCCTCCTGAATAAGGTGGGGCATTGCAGAAGCAGCTCCTCTCCTTCCAGCCATGGGGAAGTGGCTGCAGAAAGTTCTGCAACCCGAGCCATGTCTGTGAGACTGGGTCCCTGTGAAAGCAGCCTCAGATGGCTTTTCATCTAAAGTGAGCCTGCTCAATAGACTGATTCAGATGATGGGAATGAACACAGCCTGCCTTTCAGTGTTGGTTGTGTGATGTGGGGACACTTAAAAACAACAACGATATGGTCCATCCCCAGTCCTCCCCAATTTTAGCCGTATCATGCTTCCCCACCTCCCCCCCGAAGGCTGCCATGAGAGATAAGCTGACATGAAAGATAGGGGACTGCTGTATCCTGTGTAATTTGAGCACTAGAAAAAGTCTAGATAGTTCCCTTGGGCATTGTTGTCTTGCAATGCTAAGAGTTCACGACAGAGCAGGTTGAAATGCTTTCATGATAATGATGGAAGTGCAGTGAATGCTGTCATCTCTAACACTAACATTACATGCAAGAGGCTGGCTGGAAGAAGGGAACCAATCTAGGTGAACTGAAAGACAGGGTTTACTGAAAACATAAAGCATATCTGGAGTACAAATGCAGTACAACCCATCTAGGTGTGAACAAAATAAAAAAGGAAATGAGTCTTGGAAAATTGGAGTTGCTTTTCAGTACTGCAGAGATGCTGCCTAAAAATGCAGTGAGCCAGAAAATGTTTCCCATGAGCAGAATCCTTCACTCATTCAGAGCTGGACAGATCAGAAACCAAGGGCAGCTTTACTCATCACATGGCAGCAAATATCGTTTTTGCCATGTATGTGCAACAAAGGGAGTCAAGGCTTCCTAGCAATTTTCAGGGTACACATGCTTCCAAACACTGGACTTTTTTTTTGCCATGTTCATGCTTTACATTCTCAGGTATACAAGTAACCATTTTACATGAATGCTGGGGGGGGGGGGGAGTAGTAACAGGCAAAAGCTTCCTAAACAATTGAGCTGTAGAATGCAGCTCACTGCTATGGTCCACAGTCTTCATGAAAACCTGCTTTCCGTTCTGAACTCTTGCGTTTACAATTGATCAGTGAACTTCCAGCCATAATGTGGGATTGCACTGATTGAGTGTCTCCTTCCTTGCTGTGCTGGTATTTGTAGACAAGAGAGGATTGCTTAGGGCTATTAGCACAAAGACAAAATACATAGAACCCTTGGAGAAGCACAATTGTTTCCAGCACATGCTGTTTTCCACTATATCAAGTAAGTGTTCCTTCAGTCTACCAGGGAGGTCTTTTGCGTGAGTCTTTGTTTGTCAAGGATAGTAGTGCTCTCAACAAAGATTTATTTTCTGACACAGTTGTATGTCTTGCTGTTCACAAAGTGGTTGCCCTCTCTTGCCAAGGAAGCCCCAAATTGTTATGGCTAGATATAGAAGCAGAGTGCTAAGAAAATAATATAAGTACACCAGAGGGAGAACTATACTACAGCCAAGCATATATACCCCTTCATATTTACAGAGATCTTCTAATGACCACTAATGTGGTGTCTATGGATTCCACAACTAGTATATTATCTAAATTAATCTCCATCTTTGCTAATATAAGGGCTGCTTACCAATGCTCTTTGCTTTACAGAAAAACATATTAGTTCTGCTTAGTGTGAGAGGTAGATTTGAGTAACGGCTTTTATACTTTCAGAGGGAAAATGGCTATTATTTATTTGTCCTGGTATGCAACCTGTGCTCTTTTTCTTTAAAAAAAACTGGATACAAACTAACCTGCATTTGAATGATCTTTCAACACTTTCGTTTCATTAATCTTCCCTGACAGAAGAACTGCTTCAAAACAGAAGCCTAACATATGTAATAAAAAGATGTTCAGTACCATAATCGGTTCTCTTTTCAGTGGGCAACTAGTCACCTGCCTTGGGACAGACTTCCATCGAGGAGCTGGAGTCCTGGATGTTTTCTATGAAACACCTTCCACCTTGCTGTCTTGTGGGTATGATACCTATATCCGATACTGGGATTTACGGACGAGCACAAGGTCAGTCTTGCAGCCTATTTATCAAAGCTGGTTGGGAATACCAGCTTTGGTTGCTAATTTCCTAGGTGTCTTGCTCTGACATTCCAGGCTATCCATAAGGATTGGTGATCCAGTATGTGGAAAAGAATGCTTTAAAGGTCTTTTGTGATGTTTTTCTCCCAAAAAGGGAATGTGTCAAGCAATGGGAAGAGCCTCACGAGTCGGTGGAAGAAGACTGGAAAAAGTTTAAAGACTATTTACAGAAATACTGTAAAATTAATTAATGTTAGGAAAATGTTGGAATGAAGTTATATGGCTTTAGTAGAAATGTTATAAGGAATTAAGTATGAATAGATTAATAGAGTATTAAAGGGAAAAATAAGGTTAGAATGTGTTAAGATAATTAAAGGTTAGAAAGCAGAGGAAGATGGAAAGGAATTGCTGAAACAATTAACAGAAGTGGAATACAAAAAGGGAGGTGCGAGGAGGTCATTGAAATAAGTGAATGAAAGATAAGATATTGAAACTGTTTGATGTGTTTTAAACTGTTTTTGTTTTGTTTTGTTAGTTTAATGTGTTAGTGTTATGTATTGTTTTTGTATTGTATTGTATTGTATTGTTTATTTTTTGTGTGTGTGTAGTGTTTAAATTGTTGGAAAAGTAATACATATTATTTTAAAAAAATAAAAATAAAGGTCTTTTGTGACGTTTTTCTCCCCAAAAGGGAATGTGTCAAGCAATGGGAAGAGCCTCACGACAGTGCCCTGTACTGCATTAGGAGCAATGGGAATCACATGATTGCAAGTGGATCTTCTTATTATGGCGTGGTCCGTCTCTGGGATAAGCGACAAACCAGGTGCTTACAGGTAAGGAATCACCATTATCTTTTCAAAAGTTGGTAAAAGGGGAACTATATCAAGTTTCCCGTACAAGGACTAAGGGTGTGGAGATGTGTGTCACTTCTGCTCATTCCTGATTGCTTTACGTAAACAGTAATAGATGGGAGTTCAAATACCTACTCAGCCATGAAGCTTAGTAGCTTACTTGTTCAGTGCTGGTTGGTTGGCATCCGTCTGTCTCGAGACACAGTGGAGTGTGCCTTTGGGGGTGAAGTCCAACCACTGCATTAGCAGCACCAAAGTGACTTCCCTGGGGCATAAGCCTGCTACACACTAATTTTTGGCTGGGGGACGGGAATTGTGTTTGTCACCTTGAGCTCCAGAAGGGTGGGGTACAAATGTTCTTACAGGACCAAAACAAGCCTGCCAGCTGCTCCCTATTGTCATGGTACTAGGACAAGGAATTGTGTTTATGACTTCATGAGACCAGGTACAGGTTTTAAATGCTGACATGCTGTTTTGTGCTGGTTTTCAGGCAGGAAACTGAACTGATTCATTTTTAATGTTTTAATAATTTTAAAGTTTTCATTGTTTGAACTCTGTGTGAACTGCCCAGGGGACTTTGTTGATTGGGCAATCAAGAAGTGTTCTAAATAAATGAATGCAAATTAATTGGGAGAGCAAGGAATTGCCTATGGGGATCTGATACAACAGCTTTGGGTTCAGTCAAACTCCAAAGATGTCAGTAGGGATATATCTGTGTAGTGGCGATTTCTCAAGCTATTGCTGCCACTTTGAGCTGGTCTCGTTCAGAAAGACAACTGGCAGTGCCCTCACTGTTGCCTCACCTCAGTTCTGTTATCTTCTTGCTATGATGCAGATGCAGATTTACAGGGTGCAATGGAATTTTGTGGGTGCTGGATGATTGCCATCTTATCACTGGCTCTTATTCCTGAATAACAGAAATCACCTATCTAGGAGGATCTTTTATCTTTTATCTTCTTTACAGAGCTTCTACTTGTCATCACCCACCAGCAGTCCTGTGTATTGCCTGCGCTTCAGCACCACTCATCTCTATGCCACCCTGGCATCTGCCCTGTATGCCCTTGATTTTACTACCTCCTGATGGAGATTGGCTTGGACTGCAGATATAATACCCAGCTCAGGGAGCACAAAAAGGAAATGATTACCTTGACAGAACAAGCAGCCTGAAACTCACACTAAGTGCTATGGGGGAACCCAAGGAAGGAATGTTCACCTGCCTTCTGGTTCCATTAAAGGCTAATGTCTCCTTGCCTCATTTTATTTTGCACATTTTGGGGTTCTGTGTTGCATTTTAATTTATTTGAAGGCATTATTCAGCTTGGCAACTTGTGCATTCTCTTTTGCTATCAGCATAGATTCTGTTTGGGCCTCTGAATGCTGCAAGCCAACCATTCTTCATGTTTTGGATTTAGTTTAGGAGGATGGGACTAGCTGCTTACTTCACTGACTCTCATCACTGCCACATAAATGGACACTGGGCTATAAGACCAAAGCCTTAGATTACTCTGTGCAAATTGTACCAATTTTTAACTGGCTGCATACAAGGAGTGCTGCACTAGAAAGGTGTTGTCAGGTCAATGTGCTAAATAAATTTTACAATGGGAAGAAAGAATGTGAGTTCAAAACCAGTGACTGACTAATAGCTGTATAATTTGAATAGATTCCTAGGATCAAATGCATTGATTTGCTTACCTAAAAATAAAGTTATTTCTACAGCTGTAACTTTTGAAACAATGAACTACATCAGGCACATCCAACTCCCAAGAGACTGCGATCTACTCCCAGTATAAAATAACTGGCAATGATCTACCCATTGTCAATGGAGGTGTTGAGCTTTTTTTTTTGAGGGGGGAGGAAAAAAGACAATCAGGGTGGAAAATTATTAAAAAGGTGCATATCACACACTGTGATACAGCTAACATTAATTTCGCTTTCCCGCAACAGTCACTGCTGCTGCGGCGCCAACGAAGGGACCTAGCGCCTGCAGTCCATTAAGGGGACATTACTTGCCTGCGATTGACCGCAATCTACTAGGATGTTTTTCTCCGATAACTTTGTGCAACATCCATTCCTGGTTACTTCTAAGAGTAGGACACAACAGGGGGAAAGTAGCCAAGTACCCTAGCCCGTCAGCCACTCCCAACAAACATCTGTGTTTGTGACACATTCCTTGATCATCCTATCTCCAGCCTTCCATTAAGATATACAGTCCTAACAAATTCAGTGAGCGACAGAGAAATCAGCATGCTTAGGAGAGAACCCAAAGGTTAAAAGATCTTCAGGAATACAAAAATTTATAGGGCAGCCCCCAGCAGCAACTCATTGAGGACTGAGCATGCCTAGCCAAAGAATACTGAATGTCCAATGAGGGGGAAATGGCTGGACCCCTGAACAGCAGCTCTACAGACTATAACATTTTGTTGCAAGTAACCTTGTTGGTTCTATTTGCCATTAGTATAGCAGAGTTCTATGGAAACTAGGAAAGGCTGTGCTTTTAAGGTTTGTGAACCTGCAGCTTAAAGATAATCATCTACCTTTTGCCTGTTGTGTGCCTGGCCTATGTTGTTGTTTAATTAAAAAATTCTAGCCATTATTCACATATAAAATTGGGATCAGGCTGGGAGGGATATAGTTTTCATAGAAGAATGACAGAATGGACAGATATTGTTACAAGATCAGGTTATTCTTCCACGCATACGGGATTGAGAAACCAGCATAGAAATTTGAACATTTGCTTTTATTAAAATGAAATTGATACCTTCAATAGTGGTACAAACTGGCATAAATGATATACTGAGAGAGGTCAAAGTATTGAGAGCTCAGAATATACACGTTCTAGGGCAAAGGCAGTGGGAAAAAATCCTTTATGCTTTGTTTGAAACAGGTTGGGTGTTCAGTTTGAGGGGTAACTGCAGGCAGCTGACACTGTCAGCTGGAAACTATGTAAGATATGCTTACTTGGTTCTTGCACTTCCCTTTATATCAACTTTAAATGCTATTGCATGCAGTAGGAGAAGTAATGGTACTCATCTTTTTTCTGGGACCTCTCTCCTGCCATATTCTTGAAGACAAAGACACAAGTTTTTAGAACCTTTAAAGTAATTCATAGTGCTATAGAGGATGCATATACCATATTGGCCTGAGTATAAGCCTCACTTTCCCCCCCAAATTCCGACTGTGAAAAGTGAAAGCGCAGCTTATCTTCACGACCTTACAGTATGCAGCCGGGAGTGTGAGGCAAACAGCGCCAGGAGCGCAGCATAGTGGTGCCCGCCCCATATGTAGTCCCCCAAGGCTGGGAAGGGAGAGAGGGAGGAAGGGAAAAGGCCACCGGCAACGCAGCACGGCTCCCCCCCCCCCAGTATGCAGCCAGCAGCAACGAGGAATGGAGCAGCTGATATTTGGGCATTTTTTTCTTTTTTTCTTCCTCCCCTCCAATTTTAAAGGTGCGGCTTATATTCAGGCCAATATGGGAGTTTTGGCTCCCCGAGAATTGTAATTAGCACACATACAAAGACGTCAACTCCTAAGAGACTGGTGCTTCTCACCTGTGCTGGACACCAGCAGGCTGATGGGGAGCTCTAAAAGTTTTGCGAGAAAGCTCTTTCAGAATCTACAAACTCGGGTAACTTAAGTCCTTCCCCAAAAAGTTTGTCTCCAATCATCTCCTTTATTAAATAAAAGTAGTAAAATATATACAGATGAGATTCTGCAACTGCTGGCTACTGTGTCTTGCATTCCCCATCTCCATTATTAGCTGCCTTGATCTTCTTTAGCTCCTTTTGCAGCTCCTCCTCTGCAGCCAGAATCTCTGCTGGCTTCAGGTACTGTGAAAACGAATAAGCCGCATATATCTCTAGCACAAACAGGGCTGTTACACAGTGTCATGGTTGCAAGCCCTTGGAAATTCTCACACTTGCGAAGTCTTTGCAGTCACCCCCAAATTCAATAACACTGAGCATAAGAATTTACAGAGGAAATATAGCATAAAACTGTATCTCAAATGCATCTGATTTAATGCATGTTATCTCATATTGGAACTTAACCCTGGTTAGACTACTGGACTGTACAGTCTCCCCTGGCAAACTATGCACTTAACTTTGCTGGCTATTACATTCTACTTCATATACCCAAGCAGTTTTTAATATCTACACTAAACATTACAGCCATAAGAAAAAGATGGTTACTCATGGGAGAGGAGGAAATGTGTAAATCCTATGGCATTCTAAACTCTGAAGCAGAAACAGAAATAGTGATTAGGATTTTTCCTGCTAAACCTCAAGAGACTTATTAGCTCCTAATTTTGTAATTTTCCATTGTACTTATGGGCCTATTTTTCTATTTGTTTCCCCAGTTTTCACAGAAGTGGTGATACCAAAAGGAAGGCCAGGAAAAGTTCTGAGTTACATTGACAAATTAGTCTTATAGGTACCTACCGTGATTATTAATGTGTTATTGGCATGAGTAAAGCTCAGAGCAGTACTATCCAAGGGCAGTTGGAATCTGTCTAAGTCAGGAATGGAGAATTTCTTGTAATATCTGAAGATACGCATGAGAGAGAATTTGAGGGTAAGACCATTTTTTGCTTTTACTTTTGTCATCTTTGGAATGCTAGTTCATTAAGATGTAATCCTGTACATAAAACCTAATCTACAAGTTAGAGAAACAGAAATGCATTCATACTTCTATTTTGACCAGAAACATTTTCAATATTTAACATTGATCACTCTCCCAACATGGTTGCATGTTTAATTAATTTTAAAAGCACACATTTTGATTGATTCTGAAGATGTCCCTGGTTGCTGGGACTATAGTGGTTTTTTAATGCAAGTACATATAAATTGCAATGGCAAGCACCATTTTAAGATATCCCACCTGCTATGAGAGAGGAGGGATTCCACAGATGATATCTACTACAACACAGCATCATTCAAAAATGAAGTGTGCTTGTTTTCCCCTTAGATTTATTTTCTCATGTGCACATTTAGGCTGCAAACTATCTTCCTGATTTGCTGTGCAGGTCTCCCTCTGCCCAGTCCCAAACAGCTCCAGCAGCTCCACTCCTCCAGTGTGCAGCTTCTATATCCTCCTACCAAAGTTGTGAGCAGGAAGGGGTACAGCTTGCAAGATTCCCATTGGCACTAACTCACAGAAAGCCCCCAGATGGAGTGTTCTGGGGCAGAAGGAGCTGAGTCAGCACCACTGGTGTTAGTTGATGGCACTGGTCCAGATATGGGTCCAGTTGCTACACCAACCCCAGACTAGCATAGTGCAGCGTTTGCCACACAGGTTTGCCTGTGTGCCCTGCGTTCCATTCCTGCCAGCGTGAGTGGGTGCAGTGGTGGCTACACCATTCTGTCCCACACCCCAGCTAAGGTTGGACTAGCTCTATTAATGAATTTTATTTTTATTAGTAAGTCAATATGAATACAGAGGTACCTCGGTTTTCGAACATAATCCATTCTGGAAGACCGTTCGACTTCCGAAACGTTTAAAAACCCGAGGCGCAAAGGGTGGTCTGCAAATTCAATAGATAAAATTGAATTTTGATTTCCAAGATGTGTTCGAAAATGGAAGCATTTACTTCAGGGTTTTCGGCATTCGAAAACCAAAATGTTCGACTTCCGAGACGTTCAAAAACCAAGGTACCACTGTAACACCAACTGACTTAAGATTTCTTAATCATGTGAAAGCTGTGTTTTCCAAATATGGTTGCAGAGTGCTGGGTAAAGTGGGAGAGAACCCTAACAGTTTGAAGGGCTGTTTATTTTCAATTACCTTGAATCTGTACTGGTTCATACACCTTTGTCCTGCCAAGTATCTGGTGGATCTAAACAGTCTGTCTTCTACCCAACTATGACTTAACAAAACTGAGTGAACATTATTCTTATCTCCCCCCTACCCCACCCTCTGCACTACTACCATTTAGCCCCTTTGTTACTCTTCCCTTGTGAAATTCCCTCCATCACATGGACATGTTTCTGGTGCCCCAAACTGAATGGGAGAATTTATTCCCTGGTGTCAGGCCCATAAGCAATCCTTCTCCATTAAGCCCGTTCTGCTTAGAGGTCGACTGCTTGAACTACTGCTGCACAAAACATGAACCCTTTATTTTCCAAGCCTTAGCGAAAATGCATACAAAGGACAACCAGCCTTGGATGCTTTGCCTGCTAGCAAGGAATGTTACCGCAGGGCTCGGAGCCTTCTGCGTAAATTTGGGAAAGGTGGCAGACATGGATAATAATAGGGGTGTCAAAGGTTAAACTGCAAAGATTAGTTGAACACAAAGACATGTTAAGGAAGTGTTAACTTCTTACTGATTGAGACAATAAAAAAGCAGGTCCCAGAAAAAGCCCAGTGTTTCAAAGAGCCTAAGGAGCCCGCACTGGGAACACCAACTTTGCCCCCCAGCCTTCCCCAGGACTGAAGTAGTGGGAAAAATAATACCTGGTATGGTCTCCAACTAAAATCTGTGAGAGATCAAAGGAAAACAGATCTGCTGCTTTGCCCCCTTCTAGTGTAATGTTAACTGCTACCTTGCCCTGCAATAATTGAATCTGCTGTGGCTGAAGAGGCTTTGCCTGTTTGTTTGGAAAGTTTGCTTTAATGGATTTGTTTTACAGCAAGAGGGCTAGAGCAAATCCCACTTGAGCAGCCTTTTGCTGTGGCTAGAGGGGCCAACAATGAATGAGTTGGAGCGGATGGCAATATTTTCTTTTTTAAGGTCCCTCGGGGCAGCTGTGTGTTCTGGCAGGGCTCCTGTGCTGTCAACAGCTGCATAGTCAATGTTCAATAGGTTTAGTTTTCTCCCTCAGTGCATCTCCCTGTGTGGAGATTTCATCTGTTTAACTTCTGCCTGCCATGCAGCTGTTGGAGGCATAAAGATATCCCTAACTGTAGTCTCTTTGGACTCCTAAGTGCAGGCATGGACTTGTTTACCCAGCCACAAGAATTGACACGGTTTTTAGGAGTTTATATTTAGCCTAAACAAAAGCCTGATTTTGGTAAAAGCACTAAGAGTACAACAATTGTAAAGAAGATCAAACACACACAGCATCTCTGCTCCTCTCTAAATAATATACCACTAGCAATAAGGGCAGGAAACCTGAATTCAGATTATTTTATCCCCACCACCACTATTCACCATATTAGCAGCCATCTGTAGTCCCAGAAGCTTTTTGAAAAAGGACTTCACCGGCATTCTGAGTAGCAGGGGTGGGGACTGCAGCTGGGCAGGCCTTGCTGGAAAAGGAGTTCCATAAGGGAGGTGCTACAAAAGAGAGCAAGCCCTCTCCTGTAAATCTTAAACTACAGAGAGGCTTACAGGGCAGGAGACACTCCTCCTTATGTGTCACCTTTTAAGTTCAAGATGTGGATGCCAACCCAACACTTTTGCCTTTCACAATACATGTCTTGCTTGTTGAAGAGGAGATCCTGGGGATTTGATCCTGCACACAGTTAAGAACAGTTCACTCCAGGTATATCTAATGTACCTAGATGTACCTCATCTTTCCCTTCTTGGTAATCTCGCAGTTGTGAAAACCAAAATTATCTCCCTTTTTCACAGGCCTGCTAACCAGTAGCCCACAAGCAAAACATGAATGAAACGGCTCTCTACTGTTGGTATTCAGAGATGCTATGCTTTTGGACATAGAGATACCATTTAACTATCATATCTAGTAGCCAATGATAGGTAAATCCCCTACCAATTTGTCATGTTTCCTTTAAAGCCATCAAAGCCAGTGATCATCGGTCCATTCTGTTTTATGAGTTATATGTGTGAATAAGTCCCCTCTTTTGTGTGGCCTCAATCTACTGGTAATCAGCTTTGTTGGTTGACCCTGAATACCTGTGTTATAAGATGCACCATGCGTTTCTGCAGAAAGTCGAGGCTAGTCAAGGGCTGCTTAAATCAAGAAGTACTTAAGCATCTCCATACCTATCAAGAGGAGGCCATTGAGCAGCAAGAACTTGATCTTGCACCTGCCAATTGCAGTCAGATAGCAAAGATGCTAAGTGGAAGGCCTACAGGGTCAATGTAGCCTGGCCTTCATTGTGAAGTGTTCGACAAGTCTCAACCATGGCCCTTTACTGTCACTGATTAATAGTATTCTTTGCCCTCAGAAGAACTTTAACTTAAAAACATAACTGGCCAAAGAGAGCGAAGCAGCTCTTTGCCAACAGCACCACCTCTAGGTAATTTTCAGGGATTGCACAAAAAATAGGTTAGAGAACGGAAGGGAAAATCAATGGTTTTTCCCCGACTTCTTCATCAAAAATTGGGATTGAGAAATGCATTTGCTTCTGTTTGTAATGCTATTGTCAAGCAGGAAGAGGAGAAGTGATGAAACTTTGCAATAAGTTTTCTCCAGATCCTGGGCTTTATCAAAATCTGCAGCCCCCCACTCAGCTTCACCCCACCTCAGGGGAACCTTGTGCTTACTGACTTCTTATTTGTTGTACGGACCACACAGCAGCGCTCATCCTTCTCCACTGAAACACAATAGACATCTTTAGGATAGGGCAAATTCCGGATCCGCCACTGGAAGCTGTTCTTGGTGTCTTTGCGCATAAAGATAGGCTAGAGAAAAGGCACATTTCAGTTATCCTGGCATCACTCAGATGGAATAGATAGCAGTGGGGAGTTTTTGGCTTTGCACATTCAGGTGCTTGGTCTAGTTATGTGGACCCACATAGCAGTACTGAGGATGGAGTTTCTTTGAGGTCACCCCCACCCTCGCTTATAGTTCTTCAAATGTATCAGGAATTCTATAAGTCTGTAAGTCATTTATATAATTTCCAAGCAGTCAGAGGTTTCTTCAGGATACACAAATGAAACTGATGTGGAGGAATGGGGAGGAAGAAAGCTGTATTAGATTTAAGCCAGAAGGAAAGAAAACAGGAAAGAAAACAAAGGTCTCATAGATGAGGAACAATGTGGTCTCTGGTAGGGGTATCATGAGACTGTTCAACAAGGAACATTGGTTTCCCCATGCTGGTAGTGAGATCATGAATCTCCCTTGGTCATTCTATGGAGAGAGCTATTTATCTTAAGGAAGGGCCATAGCATAGTGGGACAGCACATGCCTTGCATGCAGAAAGTTTTAGGATCTGGCACCTTTGGTTAAATTATTTTAAACAGTAGCACTTGGAAACATTCCTAATTCAGTAAGTAGCTGCTGCCAGTCAGGTAATATTGATGGACCAATAGTCTGACTTGGTGTGAGACAGCTTTACAAGTTTATACCAGCACTAATGTCATAGGCATGTGTTCTCCAGTGAGTCACAAAGTAAAGTCACCTAACAGAGTATACTACGTAAGGTTTCTCAACCAGGATACAGCCCCAAGGAAACAGAAACCATGCATTACCTCTTTCTCTGTTCCAAAGCTAAGATGAGCTACCGTATTTTTTGCTCTATAAGACTCACTTTTTCCCTCCTAAAAAGTAAGGGGAAATGTGTGTGCGTCTTATGGAGCGAATGCAGGCTGTGCAGCTATCCCAGAAGCCAGAACAGAAGGAGGGATTGCTGCTTTCACTGCGCAGCGATCCCTCTTGCTGTTCTGGCTTCTGAGATTCAGAATATTTTTTTTCTTGTTTTCCTCCTCCAAAAACTAGGTGCGTCTTGTGGTCTGGTGCGTCTTATAGAGCGAAAAATACGGTACATTATGTTACTTTGCAATGGAAGCATTACTACTCATCTTAAGAAGCCAAACTGTAGTCTCAGAATTCAGAACAGGTAACCTAGGAAAGGTTCACTGGAAGGACAGATCCTGAAGCTGAGGCTCCAATATTTTGGCCACCTCATGAGAAGAGAAGACTCCCTGAAAAGACCCTGATGTTGGCAAAAATGGAGGGCACAAGGAGAAGGGGACGACAGAGGACGAGATGGTTGGATAGTGTTAGCGAAGCTACGAGCATGAGTTTGGCCAAACTACGGGAGGGAGTAGAAGACAGAAGTGCCTGGAGTGCTCTGGTCCATGGGGGTCACGAAAAGTTGGACACGACTAAACGACAACAACAGCAACCTAGGAAAATGAGACCCGTAGCAATTTCAGAGGTGATTGTGATGTAGAAAGGAACTTGCCTTACTTACATTAGTACTGCTCTCCTTAATGAGCTCACGATCCAGAGGTCCTGATGCGAGCAAGTTTGGCTCTCCCACCTCAACCTGCCAAGCGCCACAAGCACCCAAGGCATTCTTCTCTCTCCATTTCCTCACTGCAAAGAAACAGAAAGGAAGCACCTCTTTCAATTGCTTTTTCAGGGAAACAGCCTCAGTAAATTTGCATTTGAGGATGGGATTCTCTTGACACTTCAAGGAGTAACTTCAGATGTTGCATGACTGAGAATTTTGATATAGGAGTAAGACATGATTAACAAGAAACTGCACTAGGCATGGTGTAGGTTTTCTGGAAAAAAATGAAATAAGAAAATTTCCCAATGCTAAAAACCAATTGAAGCTGATTTAACAATGGTGGGTTATTTATACTTTAAGTTTCAATTTATCCTCAGTTATGCCCCGCATGCTGAAAGGGGCAGCAGAGCCATGCACAGTTCCCCACCCATGAGATCCACATGGGTATGGGGAACCACATAACTTGAGGGTGGGGCTATCATGCTCAGAGTTTCAGCTCCTATAGAAGTCGATATATGTGGCCTTACCCAGCTCAGATGTTCACACTCAATATGCAGATGTTGGGAGTGTGATCATGAGGCCTCAGGGGCAAGGTCAAAACAATCAGGCCTTCAGCTTTCATGGAAATATACTCACAGAGTCTTTTCTGGCTCAGACATACATGCTTAATGCATGTTACTGCTGAATTTTATGGAATAATGCAGTTTTAGAAACAAACAAATGTCCAAGGATAGATGTAGTATTGGGAAAATTTCCTACTTGCATCACTGCTAATATGTAACATGCAAGCTCATTCTAGAAGAGTATTCTTTCCTGTGGTCCTGTCAAGTATGAATTTGCTTCCTAACTCAAAGTATAGTGGTACCTCAGGTTACAGACACTTCAGGTTACAGACACTTCAGGTTACAGACTCCGCTAACCCAGAAATAGTACCTCAGGTTAAGAACTTTGCTTCAGGATCAGAACAGAAATTGCGCGGCGGTGGTGCGGTGGCAGCGGGAGGCCCCATTAGCTAAAGTAGTACCTCAGGTTAAGAACAGTTTCAGGTAAGAATGGACCTCCAAAACGAATTAAGTTCTTAACCCGAGGTACCAGTGTACAATTCTATTCTACTTCTCCTATGTTGGAAATAATTATCAAATTGAATGGGAGGATGAAATGAATGAGTCACAAGTGGCCTAATTCGAAACTGTGCTATAACTAAAGGCATTTTTGACTGGGAACTTCCCTTTCCTATGATCAACATGAAACCTGGACCTGTGCTATGTGCAGCATCTGTCAGATGCAAACTCCTACTTCTCATCAACCTGTACTATTAATAGGCCAAGCCCCTGTTATGACTAGTTTTAAACTCCTAATAAAGAAAGGAAGCTTGCTTACAAAGCAGCTGGTTTGTCTTCAGGTCATATTCCTCTGCCATCTCCTTCCCATTGTCAAACAAGTAATGGATTTTTCGCATACCTAAGGAGAGCAGAGGTGAGTGAATCCACAGAAATAATGTAGAGAAAAGTCCCACCTACTGACACACTCCCTGACCCTGTTTTCAGCTACCCCAAGACTTAGCTGGAGAAGCCAAAAGTCTAGACCACAGCATCTGTGGCATTCTGGCATTCACAGGCTGCCACCCTAAATCATACAGCTTGATCTTATGGGACAGCGGACAGAGATTTCAATGGGACTGACCCAAGCGTAAATGACTAAGGCCCAACCCTTTGCAAATTTACTCTTAGTTAAGTTCAGTTTTAATTGTTATTTTAAGGGATTTATACCCCCACCCTTCAACAAGTTCCCAGGGCACCTCACTGGGGCTGCTTCCCAGGTAAGCACAAGCAGGGGCTGCCGCCTCAGTCGAGCCCTTGGGCTGTACGTACTAAAGGTAAAGGTAAAGGGACCCCTGACCATTACGTCCCGTCATGGCCGACTCTGGGGTTGCGGTGCTCATCTCGCTTTATTGGCTGAGGGAGCTGGCGTTTGTCCGCAGACAGCTTCCGGGTCATGTGGCCAGCATGACTAAGCCGCTTCTGGCGAACCAGAGCAGCGCACGGAAATGCCGTTTACCTTCTCACCAGAGCAGTACCTATTTATCTACTTGCACTTTGACGTGCTTTCGAACTGCTAGGTTGGCAGGAGCAGGGACTGAGCAACGGGAGCTCACCCCATCACAGGGATTCGAACCGCCGACCTTCTGATCGGCAAGTCCTAGGCTCTGTGGTTTAGCCCACAGCGCTGCCCGCATACTAAAGCAGCCTTAATGCAAAGGTGACAGCCCAACTCACACTCACCTGGAAACAAGCCCAAACTGAACACAGTAGGATTCACTTCTGAGTAAATATGCATTGGATCGCTCCTAGACCCCTTTACCTTGGAAGCAAGCCCCACTGGAACCAATGAGTCTTATTTCGGAGAAGACACGGGACAGGAGAGTGTTGTAACCAAATTTATTGTGGCACAGGCTTTCGTGGACCGCAGCCGGCAGTCCTAAGCCCTGCACTGCATACACCCCACTGGCCCCAGGGCTCTACCTTCCCCGCTTCCTCGTACTCGCCCCGGTCCACCCCCGTCCCTCGCCGGTGATCGTCCTCAGCCCGCCAGGATCCGGGCCTCGCCGCTCCCCGCTCCCTCCGAGCTCCCCGGAGGAAGGTCTGCCGAGGACGCCCCGCTCCCATTTACCGTCCCCGAGCAGGGCGGTCTTCCGCGCCGCGCGCAGCTGCTCCAGCCAACTCGGCCCGGCCATGATGCCGCCGGACGCATTGCCAGGGCAACCGCCCTACACTTCCGGCCTCTCCTGACCGGACACGGAAGAAAACGCGGCGCGGGGGGAAGTTTTGCTGCTTCTCCCCCCGCCCTCCCCCAGTCCTCTTTCGCGCCCGCGCCTCCCCGGGTAAGTGAAATAAAACGCGAAATAGCTCCCCGCCCCCACCGCACGCGCGCTCTCCCTCCTCCGCCCGAGGGGCGTTTCTAGGCCTCTCCGCGCGTCTCCTTAGCCCCGCCTCCCTCCCTCCCTCCCTCTTTAGTGGGCCTCATCCTACCCGAGGGGAGATCAGAAGAGAGCGAGCGCACAGGTGCAGGAGGAGTCGGCGCACCTGCATTCCTGCCGGCGCGAAGCCTCGCTGCCACGTGGAGAGGGACCTGGGGCCTGGGGCGGTGTTGGACTCCATCTCCCATCAGCCCCATCTCCCAGCCTGCTTGGTCGGGCTGATGGGATTCGTAGTCCAGCAGGCTCTGTTTACCTCTCCCTGAGGCGACGGCAGTATTCTCCTTTACGGTCTTGCATTGTCTCATCTTGGTCTCCTCACATCTGTCCGGCCCTCCACTCTGGAAGTGAGACACTTCCTTCTGACTTCCTGTCTCTTCTTGCATTCTGCACAAGCTCCACGTCCCTTGCCTCCGCTCTCTTTAGCCCTGTTACAGTCAACACCCTGTTAGGTTTCTGCTTGTGACGTTGGCTCCTCCAGCTCTACCACCCTCAGCCATCCTAAAGTCTCCTGCTCCCTCAAAATACTCTACCCTTTCTCCCCTTATGCTTGAAACTGTCTCCCAGAATACCTGTGTGGTGTTTCCTAATTTTTCAAATTCCTCCTCAAATCCTATTTTTTCTGTGAGGCCCTTGGCTCAGCTCCCTAGTTCCTATGCCTTGCTGCAACTAAGGCTGTAACTGAGCCTAAGCACATGCAGCTCAAACAATTGTGTGCTCTTTCCCTGTTTATCCTCGCCTCCACTTTTATTTCTCAGGGCCCCAGCAGGGCCACCAGGATTGATCCACCACCATTTAGACTCCCTAGTGGCAGCACTGCTGTGGTCACCAGCATCCTGCTCCCTTCACAGGCTTGCCTGTGAGCTTGCCTGAGACCCCAATGATGTAATGGATGAATTGCTGAGCAGTCACTCTATTCCCAGCCCATTGCAGCAGCACCACAACAGGTGAGCCAGGAGGAGGCTGATAATTTCTCCAGCACCTGCCTGCGTGCTGTCATGGATCTTCTCAGAGATGGTGACAGCTCTGTAATGGGCCAGGAACTGAGTGGTTGCTTGGGACCTTGCCTGTTATAGTGCCACTGTGGAGAAGTGTGAGGGAAGTCTGGTGGCTGCAGGAACATCACCACTAGAGGGCCCAAGGGGCAGCAGATCCTGGAATGTATGTTCTGGTTTGTGCTGGGGGCTCTACTGAAGACAGCCTGCCCTGTACCCCCTTTAAAAAAACAACTGGAGCCAAACTGTTCCCCTGAGTTGAATTTTAAATTGAAAGCTCCCCTGGCCAGGGGCCTGCCCTCATACTCTGTAAAGTACCATGCACACTGAGGATGCTATATAAATAAAAAGTAGCATCTGTGGAGCTGGTGTGTATTCAGGAATTCTTGAGGGAGGGGCCTTATGTTACTGCTATGAAGCACTAAGTCTCTTGGTCTTTGGATGTACCACATTTTGCAAATTGAGGCGAATAAGACCCTATTAATGATTTGGTGGGATATCTGCCAGAGCCTTTCACCTGTTGCAGAAAAATAAATGGCCAGCTCTAAACACACAACTGAATTAACATAGGGAGTGCCTTTTGCTAGAGGATTCTCTGTCATTAAGGTAGATCACAAGCTAAGGCATGCCTCCTAGAAACTGAAGTTACCCTATTGGCATGTCAGAGTCTTGCACCTCATTCATTTCCACCGCTAGCTAAAGTTGCGTATAAGGTTACGTTTCACCTGTTGGCATGGGACATATGATAGCTTGATTTTCATTTCAGGTTTACAAATACCTTTGTGTTGTTAGTCACTTCAAACTCTTGCAATCTTTACCATCTTCCTCAGTAAGACTGCTTACTCCTGCCTGGGCAGGAGGCATCCATGTTCCATGGAGCCCCAAGGAATTGTCAAAGCTTTCCCCAAAAGAAAGAAGATCAGATATGATTCACAGAAGGCAGTGCCTACAAAGGTACTGAAAGAAGAAACCAAGAATGAGCAAGGTGAGTTTTCTGTTTGCTTCCTCAGCCATGTGAAGCTATGAGACAGCCTGGCCTGCTCTGCTTGAGATTACTATGGCCTAGCTTTTAGTGCAAGAGGTTTACTTTGGGAGAAATCACTTAAACCTGGAAGGTTCCAATCAAATGGAAGCATTGAGTTTTGAAGTCTTATGTGTGTGCTACAATAGATCTGGTCTTCTCCATACTAGTTATGGCTTCAGGCTGTCAGATTCCCATCACTCAGATAAGACATGAAGCCCACTCTTGCTTTGCTGAGTCTATTTCTCTCTGGCTTTCATTAGCAGCATGGTTGGAGCCAATCACTGCCTATGTGCTGCAAGCAGGAATTGGCCAGGCCAGGGCTGAGATCTTCCGCAAGCAGATCGTCCAGAACGGGGGAATTGTCTGCAGCCAGCTTTCCCCAGATGTGACACATGTTATAGTGGATGAAGGCATGGACTGTGACCGAGCTTTCCGGCTTCTCAAACTAGCCAAGTTACCCCAGGGATTGCAACTGGTGAAGGCATCCTGGCTGAGTTCCTGTATTGCAGCACAGCAGATCTTGAAGACTACTGGCTACAGCCTCTTCATCCCGGAGAAGTAGGTGCCTTTCTTACTTCAGCATGTGGTGGCAAGTTTTATGTGGAAATCCATTTCTTATTTTGGGAATGGACACAGAGGAAAGAGAATTGAATTCCTCAGTTCTTTTCAATTTTCTCACACTCTTGTTATGGATAGAATGGCTGCCTTCAGAAGCAGTGATTGCACCTTGCTGTACGTTTGATTCTTGGCAGGTATCTGGATGTGTCAGACGCTTCAAAGCAGCAATCACAACTTCTGGATGAAATGATGGTCCAGCCTCAAATGGAGAGTGCAGTCCTGACACTGAAGGATGAATCTCAGGCAGAGGTTTCCAGCACTCCCTGTAGTGCAGCAAATTCCTCAGGACAGCAAGAAGTTAAAGGGGTGAGCCCACTTAGCGGATTCCCATTTTTGTGCTTTCGAGCATTTTTGTAGGTTATGCCAGGGTTTTTATTGGGGAAGAGCTGTAGCTCAGTGACAGAGCATTTGCCTTGCATGCAGAATGTCCCAGGTTCAATCCCCAGCGTCTCCAGGTAAGGCAGGGGGAAAGCCCTGCCTGAAATCTTAGAGAACTGCTGTCACTGTGGACATGATTGACACCCCTTTGTTCCAAAGATGAAAAAGTGCCATGCTTCTCTTAGAGTTAGGGAACAATATTGTAATTGGAACGAGGTGTGTGTGTTGACAACAGATTCAGTGGGTGGAGTCTACAGATACAGCCATTTTTCTCTTCTGAAAGGAGTGAATTTGCCTCTATTAAACAAATGCTGGGCTGTCATTGTAGAAGCTGGGCACCTAACATGTGCTTCCTTTTGTTACTCTGAGTATGTTTTTCTAGCAAGCTTCACTGCAGACCACCTAAAAGTTACAAAAATAGGAAAATGTAGAAGGAGCTTTTGGCAGATTGTTTCTGCATTAGAATGTATGTGTGTTATTCTGCTCCCGTCTTTGTTTGGCAACGCCTTGAGGTTCATTTATGCCAAGTCTCCTCTTCATTCAGAGAATCTGGCAAAAATATACACTGGTGTAAAAGCTCTATATGTCCAGTTGCCTTGAATTTTAATCTTTCTCAACTCTGAAGCAATATTAAAATCAGCTAGTAAAATACTAGTTACAAAGTGTTAGCACCCTAAAGTCAGAACATAAAAATATCATATTGCCTACAACGTGCTCCTTATAGCATCTTGCCCACAAGGTGTAATGAATGTAAGTCATTGTTCAGCTTCTTAAGTATTATATCCTTTCTGTTTTCTACTAGTCAATGGAATACCTGGTATGTTCATAATGGGATGTTGCCCCCTAGTGCCTGAAGTAGAGAGCAAAAGGAAATTGTGCCACTAAAGTTGCTGTAAACTGGGACATCTTATTCATGCTCACTCGTCACCACCACTCCAAAATAAAGCCACCTCCATAAGTTAAATGAATCCATAGCATTATGGTCACTGCAGGGACTCTGCCAGCTATGCTTTCTTGTAGATGATCATCATAACTGAGGGGAGGAACATGTTATATGCAACTGTTAGTACAGCTTATGCTTTTTCTTTCTCTCTCTCAACCTATCTAACGATTGTGGTAGATCTCACAGGGACTACCAATCCCCTTTAATGTTTCAGAGTCTCCCTGCCTTTGGTGCATTATGAGCCAGTGGCTTGCAATTGCTTGCATAAATAATGGCTACATTTCACAGCTTCCTCTTCTACCTCTCTCCAAAGACAACCTTGGACAACGAGGGAACTGAAGGGGAAGAGCCTGCTGTCACTCTGGGAGAACTGGAAGCACTGAGGTCAGGCAAAGACCCAAACACTTTGCCAGGAGATTCTTCTGTGGCGCTTCCCACTAGCAAGTGGGTTTGTGCCCACTCCTCTGCAAGCAAGAAAATTAATCATAACCAGAGCATTACAGAGAAGCTAGAGCAGGTTGCAAAAGCCTACTCTGTCCAAGGGGACAAGTGGAGGGCTCTGGGTTACTCAAAAGCCATAAACGCCCTCAAGAGCTACCACAAGCCAATCACCTCTTATCAGGTAACTCAGATAGATCTCTTCTAAAGCAAATCCTTTCTTGTCTTCTCTAAAGCAGCTGCAGCTTAATGTTCTTGGGAGCAGCCATTAAGTCTATGGAGCAACTAGCCTCTCTTCTCCTGCCTCACACTTGCAACTCCTGGCTGCACTGCATCCTGTGTGGCTAGCCAGCAGCTTTGTTGCACCGGACAGTTGTAAGGTCCAAATTGCTTGTGTTTTAACTTCCCTGGCTTGGCAGCATCATTCCATTTCTACTTGGGCCACTGTATAGAGAGATTTCTTAAGTATGAAAGCCTACACTATGCTTCTGGTCATTTAAAAGGAACGCAGAGGAAGTCTCTGTCTGCACTGAGAGAAAGACAGAAAAATCTTATAGTCAAAGAGTAAAGATCAGATTTTATTTGCAAAAAATTCATAGGCTTCTAAATCCCAATTTAGGAAGGTGGATTCTTGGATAGGAGGGTCTGTGTTAGATACCCTCAGGAATCAAGAACCAATTCCCCCCTGCCCAAGCTGAGCCTAGTCATCTCCAAGCTGGAAACAGATGATATTTCCAGATTAAATCAGCATTGTAGCCTTTTGTCTGTTTGTGGCTGTTTTTCAGGAAGCCTGCAAAATCCCTGGAATTGGGAAGCAGATGGCAGAAAAGATTGTGGAGATCCTGGAGAGTGGGCACCTTCGAAAGCTGGACCACATCAGTGAGAGTGTGTCAGTGCTGGAAGTATTTTCCAATATCTGGGGAGCAGGAGTCAAGACTGCTCAGATGTGGTACCAGCAGGTAATTTTCTCTCCTCTGCTGTCAACAAGTGCTGCAGTTTTGCTTGTATTATGGTATTGTTACAAGGACCCTATATGTGAGTTAATTCTTTAGTTTCATTGCTGAAACTGGTATGGAAAAACCTGCTAATGCGCTAGAGGAGGGAACTTCATACATGTCCCGTGTGTCCTCTGGGCAGGGCTTCCGCACTCTGGATGACATCCGCACTAAGGCTTCCCTCACCAGCCAGCAGGCCATTGGCTTGAAGCACTATGAGGACTTGCTGGAGCGCATGCCACGTGAAGAAGCTGCCCAAATTGAGCAGACGGTGAGTACCCCTGTGAGGACTCTGGGCAGGGCAATGTTGAGGCTTAACAGGTCACATGACACACCTCATCAAATCAGCTCTTGAGGCAGCCACGATTCTGGTAGGTCCCACATAGTTGGACTTCCTGGCAGTTCAAAGGGGAAGGATGATGAGCAAAGCTGCTGCCTGTTTTGCCTTTCCTCTCTCCAGGTTGGCGATTTGGCACATACCAGATTCTGCAAACATGTATAACTGGGATGGGAAGCTTTGGTCCTCCAAATGTGGTTGGACTCTGGCTCCTATCATCCCTGACCATTGGCTGATGGGATCTGGAGACCCAACAACATCTGGTGGACCCCAGGCTCCACATCCCAGCTCTAAAGAGAGCCTAGAAATCTTACCTGTCTATTTTTTTTGCTACAAACCAGCAATTCTCACCCCTTTTTTTGTAAGCTCCCAACCTGATAGGCCAGTCTTTCTCTTAAAGGACCCTCAGACTGCATCATGGCAGAACAGTGGTGCAATAACACCTTGAAAATCTTTGTGGTTCCCCCCCCCCCCCATGGTAGGGAAAGGGAACTTTCTAACTTTCTGAACAGGTCTCTCTTCCTTTTGTGGGTTTGACCAGGATGGTGCTCATAGAAGCCAATAGGCAGTTCATAAAATTGTTTTTGGGTTGCAAGTTGTCGGCTTATAGGCTGAAGTTACGTGATCCTTTATCACTGCTTCTCCTGTACATTGAAATCACCATGGCAGCACAGGGCAGCATGATACTGTCACTCAGTCACAGTGCCTGCCCCTGAAGAATGCATCGTTGCCAGGTAGGGCATCATTCCTCGCACAGGATTAAAGTTCTTTTGGAAGCCCCTGCCCTTGGGAGTGGACCTATTGTGGGTTTGATGGAATTACCCATTTCTTGCCCACCTCAGGGAGTAGACAAGAGAATGAGGGGATTAGCTGCTGTCCGTCTGAGACCCAAGGTGCTGTGTGGGGCTGGCTGCTTTCAAGAAAACTTAATTGAGGATGCAGAGGGACAGATCTGCATTCGAAAAGCCATGAAAGCTGTTCCCAAATGTTGCAGGGCAAAGGTTAATGAGCTTATCCCTCACTAATGAAGGATGATCCTGGAGACTGACAAGGAGCACTCAGACCCTCCCCCCCCCGCCACCGCCCAGCCCCACAACTGCTTCCTTTCCCTCTACCCATGCCACTCTCTATGTTCTGAACCAGCAATCATGTCTTTGTTTAGTAAGGTGGATTATTGGCACCGTGATACCCATAATCCTGAATTCTGAAATCACCTTCAAGCGATGCTTTTAAATAAAGCCATCAGAAGTATGCTGGTGCAGAGAAGCTCTTGGGCGAGGGACTCTTCTTTGGGCACCCACCCACTGGGATGTGATTTCCAGCAGTCTAGGGTTTGACTGCTGCTCCAGCAGGACATTTTGCTCTTCACTGCCAAGAGTTTTCCTTCCATGAAATGGGAAATGGCCCAGCCCTGCAGGAGGAGAGTGCCAGGGTCAGCCAGCCTTACGCCAGCCCAAAATACTGATCCCTTATGAATTTTGGATGTCCTGGTGACTTTAGGACTGGTTCTGCTGCGTCACATATTTTGCTACCACCCTTCTGCTAAAAGGTCCCAGGTCCCACTCTTTTCCAACCTGCTTCATTACAGCTTTGGACAGAATGCTTTGTTTATGCAGCAGAGTAACATCCCATAATTTTGAAGAGTTATTTTCACCTATAACCCAAACTACAAATGGGTCACAAGTTAGCTAACCTGCATACGTAACAACTCATGTAATTCAGCATCCTGAAAATTTTAGCATTCATTATCACCACTGTGAGAGTTTGAAGTTTAAATTTGCAAGCATATAGATAATTGAAAGTAAACTCCCAAACCCCAGTCAGGCTCAGTACAATTTTCTGTTGCAAAGGGGCTGGACTCCTTGCCCTCCCTCATGCCCAGCAGAAGCAGAATAAATTTAATGATTTAATGATTCATACAAGCAAAAGAATTCAGCTGTCTTGACAAAAGAATTTGAATTATGGTGTATGCTTTGTTTTGTTTTTTGTTTCGTTTTGTTTTACCCACACTGCTGGGGGTAATTGAATCACCACAGTGGATGGGGATGGAAAGATACTTGAAATCAGCAGCTACACCTCTGCCCGTTCCTCTACATTGTCTTTCACTGCAGGTCAGAGAAGCAGCCCAGTTGATCAATCCTGGGCTGGTGTGTGTTGCGTGTGGCTCGTTCCGGCGGGAAAAGTCCACCTGTGGGGATGTGGACGTGCTGGTGACTCACCCTGATGGGCACTCGCACCAAGGAGTGTTCAGCAAGCTGCTTGATAGCCTCCGGAAAAGTGGTATGAGGGTACCTGTGGGGCTGGAATATGGCAGGGCAGGGTAAGGGGTCACACTGTTGAACCTTTTCACCACTCTGAAATCAGCAGAATGGGAATCCAGAATGTGTATCTGGCACTGCCATGTTGAGCTTGTCTTGGCAGTTCATCTTAGCACTAAAAGTGCCTGTATCTGGGACTTCTTTGGAAGGAACCATTTTCTCTCCCCACCCCCACCCCTGTGTATATAGTTGGGCTCCCTGCATGAAGGACTTTATAAGAAGGAATGGTTTATAGTGCCTGCCATAATATAACAACATGGGTGATTCTGTTTCTTGACATACTTCTCTGTATGAATGTCAGAGCCTCTTCTCACCTATTATACTGTAAATATGAGGCCACAACCTAATGAATATAGCAGGTTTGATTAGCTTCTTGCTCACATTTTGGACTCTTTGCCCTTAGTGCCAACATACAAGGGCAATGGAGCCACTATCTCTAGCCAAATTTTGGTGAAAGGCTTTACTCTTGCCGTTCTCCAAGATACTGGTTTAGCTATGTCTCAGATGTTCTTTTAGGAGAGAATATATATTTTGAGAGACCAGAATGCTGATCATGATCAGGTAGTACAGGTCTCTTGTATGTTGAACACCATGCATTGTCCTGGTGTTGCACAATCTTGATAAGAGCATAAGAAGACCCCTGCAGAATCAGGCCAGTACTTAACAGCGGTCCGCCAGATCCCAGGAGACTCCCTACCAATCTTGTTGGTGAGCCAGGAGCCCAGTACTGATGCTAGCAAGCAGGGAGCTCTCCAGCACAGGCTTACCACTGAGTGGGGACAGAAAACAATCCTTGCAGGAATCATAGAATTGGGACCCCCCTCCGAGTCATCTAGTCCAACCCCTTGCAATGCAAGAATCTCAACTAAAGCATCCATGACAGATAGCCACCCAACCTCTGCTTAAAAATCTCCAGGGAAGGAAAGTCCACAACTTCCTGAGGGAGTCTGTTCCACTATCGAACAGCTCTTACTGTCAGAAGGTTCCTCCTGATGTTTAGTCGAAATCTCCTTTCTTGTAACTTGAATCCATTGGTTTAGGTCCTACCCTGCAGAGCAGGGGAAAACAAGCTTGCTCCATCCTCCATGTGACAGCCTTTGAGATATTTGAAGATGGCTGTCACATCTTCTCTCAACCTCTGCTTTCCAGGCCAAACACACCCAGCTCCTTCAATGGCTCCTCATAAGGCTTGGTTTCCAGATCATCTTGATCGCCGTCCCCTGCACATGTTCAGGCACTCTGCCAGCCAAACTCCCTGACTTGTGCTTTTCCCCACAGGTTTCCTGACAGACGATTTGGTGAGTCAGGAAGACAATGGAAGCCAGAAGAAATACCTTGGGGTCTGTCGTCTGCCAGGACCAGGCCGGCGCCACCGGCGCCTTGACATCATTGTGGTGCCCTACAGTGAGTTTGCCTGTGCCCTGCTCTACTTCACTGGCTCTGCCCACTTCAACCGCTCCATGCGAGCTCTGGCCAAGACCAAGGGCATGAGCCTGTCGGAGCATGCCCTCAGCAGCGGGGTGGTGCGTGGAGCCGGTGGCCTCAAAACAGTGCCTGGCGTGGCCCTCTCTACTCCCACCGAGAGGGATATCTTCATTCACCTGGGGCTGCCTTACCGGGAGCCCCCCGAGAGGGACTGGTGACAAAGGACAGGAAGAGAGCTATTTGAGGATGCCCTCTTGGTGCTTGCATGTGACTCACTTGGGACCTTCCAGCCTCTGCACTTGTCTGCTTTCCTTGGCAAATTCTTGCAGGTGCTAAAGACAGGAGGACTTGTGTGATTAAGGGGAGCTGGTCCTTCTCTGTGCTATTGGGAGGAAAAGCCCAAGGCCCTGAATGGATTCAGTTTTTTAATGGATTGCCATTAGAGAGGCACTAAGGGCAAATTAACCTACCTCACCAGTCAGTTTTAATTAATGAATGAGAAAATTTGTAAAGTGATTTTGCACATTGAAACTCTCCATGAAAGGCGGAGGAAGAGTGGTGGGGGGAATGAATAAATTTTTAAGAATGGGTTTTAAATACACCTTTGCAAAGGTAGCATCCTTTTAAGGCTGCTATCTTCCCTTATTTGGAGAGGCTGCTTTTCTGCTAAGGCTGTACATTTGAGAGGGGGGCGGGTTGTGGTTTGCTTGCCAAGAAATGAAGTGTCATGGATTTCCATCTCAGGATTAATCTCTTCTAGCTGACATTATATTCTCCCTCCCACCCCGCTGCTGGCCTTGGAAAATGTTTTAAAGGTTTTAGAATCCTACCCTTCCCCAAATGGTGGCACAGGATTGTTTATTTACGTAATTTATGCTAACTGTAGAGCTTGGTATGGTTTCAGGATTTGGAACTTATTGTTAGTACTTTCAGGAGGTGAATAAAGGAGAGGGAGCTACTGAACGCAGCAAGCCAGTAGGGAAGGGGCAGAGAACGGCATGAAGTGAAGACACAGCAGGAGGGTAGCTTTGGATGGAATAACTTGGAGGTACTTTTCTAGCACTAAGAAGAATCAGGCAGTGAAACAACTTTGGGGTATATGCTTCTCTGAGTACCAAGAAGAGGTTGAATCAGCATCTCTCAAGAACGTTTCAGATATGGTTTGCAGTTAAATATCAAACTTCTGTGCCAAGGTAAACATAATTCTGTACTAATTTGTTATTTCTTTGTTAAATTTCTATATTGCCCTTCATCCAAGGATCACAGGGCGTTTACAATACAAAAACACAAAAATACACTCACTGAGGTCCATCTACCCAGAAATGCTGCTGAAACACCCGTACACTACTGAGACTCCTTGAAGCGCTACCTGCACACTTTCAAACATGTCTTCACAGCCTTAAAGGCTTGAAACTTGTTTTCCCCCCTTTTAAAAATGAAGCTGCAGTTCTCAGGGTGCTGAACTGTGACACAGTGCTTTACCACATCCTGCATCTGTATGGCTTGATTAGGAGGCAAACAGCAGAATACACTTTGCCTTAGCTGATGAGTCAGAACTTATTGGAAGTTGCCTAATACCAGATCGGACTATTTTCCCATCTAGCCCAATAATGTCTACTCTGACTGGCAGTGGCTCTCCAGGGTCTCAGGGATATTCCCAGTCTCTTGCTACATAATCCTTTTAAGTAGGAGATGCTAGAAACTGAAGATCTGGGACCATCTGTTTGCAGGATAGGTGCTTTGCCACTGAGTCATGGGCCCTTCCCAGTTCTTGTGTTAGACTAGGTGACCCTTAGGGAAATACACCGTAGTGAGTTGTAGTTATCCCCTTAGCCGCACAGGCTCCTTTGCCCACCTCCATGTTGTACCTCTGCAGTGTATCACTTAGGGATCAGCACAATAAGGTCCCCTTGGAAACGAAGGATTGCTGTGATTGCTGAAAGACAATAAAACCTGTTAACATGTTTTAAGTTCTGTTATGAATTAGATCCTTGGTTGGACTAATGATGCAACAGGGATAGCATTCTAAAGCTGCCTCCATGTTCGCTGTAAGTACCGCCTGGATGCTGTGTAGTGTTCCCATAGAGGAATTTGAAATTGCTGATGCAGTGAAGAACTTGAGGGGAAAGGGAGAAGGAATACAACCTACTTAGCAACTAAATTGAAAGCTGGCTTGATCTGGTATGGGGGGGGCACCTTTTCCCAATATAATATTATTGAGGAGCCAATAGACTCTTTGATCTGTCACGGAGATGTAGAACAAGACCCTTTATACAGTAATTGGACTAATTCAGATCAGTGCTGGTCTGCAATAGGATTCTGTGGATTGGCCTATTGGCGAGTGATGGAACTGTTAATGGGAAAGTAAAAGCGTTTGAAGTGCTCTCCATCTTGACTTACTGTATTGTTGCTTTAGAAGACAAACTCAGTAGGATATGTTGGTCACAGTGCGGCTTGGAGGGCAATTCCTGGCCTGCCTAAAGGTAAAGCTAGAGGAACTGCTGGACCACAATCCTGCTAGTGCTCTTCCCCCCTTGATCTGAGTTCAGGAGACACAGCGCTTTCCCTGCCCTTTGTCAGTAGCTTTGTGCTGGTGGCAGGGAGCCACAATTCACACCCAGGCACTAACCACAGCTCCAAATCATCAAAGCCTCCTGCTCCTGCAGGGAAGGGTCCGTCCCCCCTCCTGTGTTGTTTCTTTTACAGTGATTGGGGTGGGCACTTGGGCAACCAGGTGGTAAGAATTTCAGGGCAGCAGCATACTTGCAGCTTCCCTAAACCTCAATGGAGCCTCTGCACTGTAGTTTATGAGGGGGTCTCAATTCAACCCTGATGACTGTAATCTTCTTTTATAATGGATTTTTTTTTTCCTTCCCAGAGATTTAGCCTGTGGGGAGAGCAGAAGGGAGACTTGGCCCCTGTGAGAAAATTCACAGTGCTAGATCACATGTAGTTGTCAAAGCCATTAGCCACTAGTTGCATTTTCACTGTATCACAGGCCTCCCCTCCCCAGCTCTTCAAGGAGATGCTCCTTATGCTTGCTAGGGTAATGAGACCTGGGGATGTTTTACTGGCAGCGCAGGTTCACATGGGTGTTGTTGTAAGTCAGAAGGACAACCCCACCACCTTCTCCTCCAGGTGTGTCTCTGAAGATACACCCCACACTTGGACCGGTCCCACAGTTTCAAGTGGACCCTCATCCCTGAAAGTCTGTACTCTCAAAACACAGTGCTTAAGGTAAAGATGAGGAACCTCTGGACTTCCAGGTGCTGTTGGACTCCAACTCCCATCAGTCCCAGCTAGTATGACCAAGTGGTCAGGGTTGATGGGTGTTGTGGTGCAATTACATTAATTGAATCGTAGAGTTGGAAGGAACCACAAGGGTTATCTAGTTCCCTAGTCCCTGCAATGCGGGAATCTTCTGCCCAATATGGGGCTTGAGCGCTTGATCCTGAGATCAATAATAATAATACATTATTTATACCCTGCCCTTCTCGCTGGGTTTCCCCAGCCACTCTGGGCAACTCCCAACAGAATATTAAAAACACGATAAAATATCAAACATTTAAAACTTCCCTAAGATCAAGAGTCTCGTGCTCTACCAACTGACTTATCCCAGGTTGCCCATCCCTGTTTTGAGCCCTGCTGGTCGGATCCTCACTTCTGCAATGCAGAGAGAAGCCATATGCCCTACACTGAATATTTCAGTCTGTGTTGCTAAAGGTCTGGAGGACAGACACCTACAGAAATGCTGCCTACCTGTAAGGTGACAGGAGGCAAGGGAGGACTGAGCTCCTGTGCCATTAAATATTAGTGTTGAGTAAATGTTGCTCTCTTTTGGTTCTGCACAACTAGAACCACCTGCCACAAACCCCTCTTCTCTTAAAGGTACAAGAGCCTTTCCTTCTTTTGCAGCTCATCACTCTGGAGCTGCTGCCTGAACTAGACCAACCGGTTTATGTCATGGTGAGCTATGGGGGAAAGGCCAGATTTGTAGTGCTGTCTACTTTGAGCAATCTGGCATGGCATTTAAGTTAACGTAATTGCTTCATAGGAGAAACTAAAAAAAAAAAGGTGGACCTCCATGGTTTGAGGTCACAGTATCCAGTTGTGCTGGGATCTGTGCTTGAGATTAGTAAGTTGGTGGCATGATTTCTGAAGTACAGACGAATAACTTGGATCTTAAGATAAGGTAACGGAAGGAAAGTTCCCCCCTCCTCCATGCAACCACCTGCTTCTCCAGGTGTTTGGGGGCCCTCTTGGGCAAAGGACATTTCTGGGTGAGTCTGCCCAGCAGCTCCTCAGACCCCCTTCCACATTGTTCCGGAGCTTCCTCTCCAAGAGGTTTTGGGGGAGCAGGTGGGGAGAAGAAGCTTTTGCTCCACCAGCCTCCTTAATTACAGCTAATCCACACCTTTCGTCCATTTGACTTTACATCAGAACATGTATTCTCACAATCTTGAATGAGCACAAGTTTATGAGACATTATTCATACAATATGACAACTACATCTGTTTACATCAAGATTATACTGATGTTTACAATTATAATAATAATTTACAAAAGACATCATGCAGTTCTCAAAACAGCAACCATTCCTCTTCACTCTTACAATCTGAACAATCTTAGGTAAATTTGTCATCTCAGCAGTTGTCCAGTGTTCATATGTTATAACCGGGATGGGGAACGTGCGGCCCTCCAGTTGTTAGATTACAACTCCCGTCATCCCTGACGGTGGCCTTTGCTGGCTGAGACAGATGGGACTTGGAGTCCAACATCCTCTGGAAGAGGATGTTTCCTGGGCTGCTTTCTGGGCTGGGTTTTACACTATTTGCTTGGTCCTTGGTAAGCTCACCCTGTACCATCGAGAGCTACTAGTTTCCCTTTTTATCCTGGGTTGACACAAGCAATTTTCATGCATCTCCATTCAAGTTGCTTGGCTCCCCAATTCAGATCATGCACATTGTGTAATAAGGGGGCCCTCTTGTGGTCAGGACATGTAATGACATGTTCTGCTAACTCCCTTTTTATAGGCAGAATCTCTAGTGCATGTTTCTGTGATGGTCTCAGAAGGTTCCACTCTTTCGTAGCCTGCAGGACTATTTCGGTGGCCAGGAAAGTCCCTGTGCATGAAATACTATGGCTCTTGGGAAGGCACCTTAGGAGCTGTAGGACAAACCAGCTCTCCTCTCAATAAGGAAGCAGAGTTATGATGTTAGAGAGGGTGATCCACATTGGGGCAGTTTGGGGTGCATGCTGGAGAACTGCAACCCATTCCAGTTTCTTTCCCCAGCCAGAGAAAAATTTAGATAATCTCTGGAGCTGCTTTAAATCTGTGAATTTCCCATGGTTCCCAGTGGGAGGGAAACCATATATTCACAACTATATAGGCTAGAAACTTGCTTCTAACAAGGGGAAGAAAACTGAAGTTCTCAGATGGCCAGGGACCTATTCTGAATTTTCTGTTCTTGTATGGCTTTGCAGCATACACACCACCTTAGCCTGAGGGATCTCTAAAAGGTTCGTCCAACTGCTCTAAAGCAGGGATTCCAAGACATTCCTGACTACCACCTATTATACTTCTTTTTCTGATAAAAGTTAGGGGAAATATTTTGGAAAATGAAAGGTTATCCCCTATCCTTTCTCGGTAACTTGTCCCATTGCTCGTTTCTGTTTTATTATTTGAGTTCCACTAAATACCTACCACTACACCATGAAACTGTTGCTTTCACCCTTTCTTCTGTCACAGTGAAGCATAGCTGTCATTCCCGCTCCTTGAGAGCAGCTTATAAGTATTTAAAACCACGCTCCAACTTAATCTGCCTTTGTCTACAATAAATATGTTTTATTGTCTTCAACCTCTCCGCATGTCTCGCATCCCACTGCTTTTTTCCTCTGAATTTATTTCAGTGTGTTAATATCCATTCACAACATGACTATCAAAGCTGGGTGCTTTCTCCCTCCTTTTGCGGGCACAAGTGCTGTAAAGCAGGCCTGCGCCTCCAGTACAGCATTGCTTCTGATGCATCTTCCAAACAGCGTTTGCCTTTCTGGGAGCAACATCGCCTGCCTGACTCATGTTCAGCTTATGACCTCCTATAGCCCCTAGATTCCCTGCCTGTCATCATAATTAATTGCGCAAAGACCTCTTTCACTGAGATAAAGTTAGATGAGCAAAATATCATTTCTGAGATGCAGCTGAACAGCCTGCAACGTTTGCCCAGGAATGGCGCACCGTGCAGCTGAGCATGGAAGAAATCCATGTCTCTTGCAATTATATCATCTCACAGCTATACATGGTGTTTTGTGTAAATTCAAACAAATTACTGGCACACACAGAGCATAATTGTCAACCTCCTTCAGTGCATGGACTTCTGTAGAAGGAGACCCTTGGATAAAGCGGTTAAAGTTTCACAGGGTGATAATGTGTGGGTTGTAAGGGACTTTGTGAAACCTCCTGGAATAGGGAGTGGAAGAATTTCATGACGCATTCTGGTACGTTTGTTCATTTAGTGGTTGGTAAATGCAGTTTGTTATAAATGAAACGAAAAGCCTAGGAAATAGGATGAAAAGGATGAACATATAAAGAGCAGGTGAATGCTACCTCAGAGGTTCTGTAATCATGAATTATGTTTTGGCCTGCGGTAGATGTTGAATAGCAAGGAGGTAGAGGACTCTTTAACACTTAACCGCTAGGGGTATTTATGAGGTTGCCCATGCAGGTCAACTCTGGGAGAGTGTCAGGGGCAGCTAGCCAGATCAGAAGGAGGATCAGTCTGAATGCCAGGCTCTCTCTGCTCTTTTTGGACTACTACTTTTCCCAAATGGAAAAATGTGAATTTAAGAGATGTTGATTTTGCTCCACTGATTTTTGGCATTAGGAGCAGGTATGAGCCACATAGTTTGTGCCTCTGCAAGCACGTTCAGAAATTTAAGATGGGTATCAGGCTCTCACTAGGTGGCCTCTGATGCTGGGTTATTCTTTTTATGGGAAGTTCCTACCCCTGCGCATAGACTGTGAGTCTGATGATCCTGAAAATTAAAATTCAGCTAAATGCTGCAGCAGATTAGTTGGCGAAGAAGCCCAAGGAAATGGGAATTGGGGCTTCCTGGGGTGGAGTAACCACACTTACAACTCTAGTCCCAGAGAAAACTGCTGCTTCTGCTCCTGCATATATCCAGCAGTGCATATTGCTTTCATCTTAAGTACCTTTGCATTAGCTACGCGCTCCACGTTCAAAAAATACTGCAAGGTGACATTTCCTACCTTGCAATAAATGTTGTTGTCATTGTGTTAGTCCAAAGGATGGGGGAGAAATTTGAGTCAGTTTGCATTTAAAGGAGAACTTACCTAATTCACACTTTTGTGAAATGGGCAGACTGAAACACAGCTATCCTTTGAAATCTGCCCATCTCTGAATTTTGCAGTTCAGTTCCCCAGCCGTGTAGCTTGTTCTATAATGTATATACTAGATGTGAATATAAATGCATATTTTAGTAAAAATAACACATTATATCAAGGAAAAATGCTTTGCAAAAAAAAATGTACACAAGGAAACATTGCATACCAAAAGTGTATATTGAGAGAAAGTTGCACTACAATTCTGATGAATATTCATGAAAACTTGTTTTTTAAAAAACATGCTGATGTGTAAATGTGGAGAATCGAATTTAAGATTGCAAAAATGACAAGATAGAAACCAAAATCAATACCTTTGCCAATCCCCTGCTAGCCCTTTTCTTTAAAAAGGTCGCAACCCAATGCAATACTCTTGGCAAGTCTACATTAACTTGGTGTGCCACTATGGCTGGGGCTGTTGCAGTCCAAAACATCTGGAGGTCACCAGGTTGGAGAAGGCTGCTGTGCTAAGGGCCTTAGGATTCTGATGAACTGGGCATTGACCATTAATCTCCCACTGGGGCAGCCTAAGGCTGTGGAGCAGGGTCCTCTTTCTGCTGCTCTCCCTCATTCCTGATGCACAGCCGATCTGCTATCTTAGGCAAAGCCCCCCCTCCACCTCAATGAATAGAACAAGTCTCCAGAGTGACTGTAGGCTCTGTAAGGTAGGGCCCATCACCTGCTATCAAGGACTGGCAGAATGCTGAAGAGTGTGCATCAGGGAAAGTGGGGCTAGAGTCTTGAAAGAGGGGATCAGCGATTTGTGGTGAACTGTTCTGGACAAGAGGCAAGAGCTGGAGAAAGGGGAAGCTTCAGAGCTGGAGCATAGGATGGGTCGGAAGAAGAGGAAAAGTCAGGTTAGGCAGGTGAAGGGCCAGCTGCTTCCCCACCTTCTCCTGCACCACTGTCTCCCAGAACCAGGAGGGGATTGAAAAGGGATGATCAGAGGAAGTTGCCACACAGACACAGCCTCTGGCTGCGTGTGTGCAGCTCGTCAGGGCAAGGTACATAAACTGGTGGAGGGGACTGGTTCCCTGCTGCTGCAACTGCTGCATAGAGGGTGGAGCTGGGAATAGCTGCCTAGACACTAGACTGGTGGGCATAGGTATCCAGAGCTGTAGAAGTGGCTATAAGGACTCAGCTATACAGCTGCAAATAAAACGTTTTAAGTGTGTTTTAAGTGCAATATACAATGTGACACTAGATGGCAATGGTGAGCCTTATGGAAAATTCAATGGTTTTTTTTTAATTAAAAAAAACCATTTTCAGAACGTTTTTTAATATGTGTGTAGATTCCACCTAAGTGTTACCGTTGACAACAAATACTTCACTCTCCTCCGTGTGCATTTATTTGGCTGGAAAGCAACCTTGACACCTTCTTAGCTTCAGCAAAGTATCTGTGTCATGTTCCACCCTCAAGTAGTGGAAGGTGACCCACTAAGCCAAATGAGGCACTGCCCCACCAAGCTCAGCCAGCCCTCACCTGCCTTGTCTTCTTACCTGTAACCAGTCCAAAAGGCAGCAGCAACTGCCAGCTTCCTCCTCCCTAGTTTCAGTGTTGCACCTGGTAGAACTCAGCAAGGAGGAAGATGGGGGCAAGAATTAGCCTGCACTGCCTGCCATTGGCTCTGGCGCCACCTACTGTTGGGCTCCCTGCATTCTGCCCCACCAGACCCAATGGGCACCAGCCACCATGGCCATCAGACCATTTCCTGGGTCATCTCTCCATTTTGAAGCAGCAGTTCCTGGTTCCTGCAGCTCAGGCCGCTCTTCCTGGGCCACCCCACTGCCATGCAGATTCCCAGTGGCAGCAGCACAAGCCAGGATCTTCCTGTTTCCAAATGGTGCCGTTCGCCATGAATCCTACGCCGGCGTTTCCCTGCAGCTAAATCTCTCGCTGGAGCCGGACAGCCATCAATAGCACTCGGTTAATTAATTTGATGGGAACAGCAGGGAGCGCCGTTTGCACTTAGTGAAGTTCCCAGAAACTTCCAAGCTCATCTCTGTAATTGGCCTCATAAATTTGAGGAAAGAGAGAGCTCAGCAAAGCACACGGGAAGGAGAAGGAGGGGAGCAGCATGCAGTGGCGGCCTTAGTTAATTTTATTGGAGAAATTCATCTTCCCTTCCCCTGCCGCTCGCTCTCCCTCCTGATTTGCCTAATCATGATAAACTCCCATTCATATGTGCACCTACTGCACAGCCATTCGCCGCCCTAAAATATTGACTCATGAATATTAAGCACCCTCATTAACATGCAAAACCAGCGGGTGCCATCTCTTCTGCCTATCCGAGCACTTGTAATTAAAAACTGAGCCACGATGTGTGGGACTCTGATATAGCCAACCCAGGACAGCTGGGAACCACAAGGCTGGGGCTGCAATGTCCTGCGAGGAACACACCCAGGAATGCTACACCCCACAGTCTTTGGGGACATTCTCAAGGGCTCAGCATCCAGTGAGTAAGGTCTAAGTCAGAGGTTTTCAACCTTTTTGAGTTCATGACTCCCTTAGCCAACTACATTCTTTCTGTGGCACCCTTGTGGGGCTCAGGAGCCCAGTTATGCAGAGCTGGCAGCCTCTCACCCTTTTTCGAACCCCCTTCCTTGTGGAGTGTTCCCTCAGCCTCCTCTCCTCTCCCCTCTTCTTGGGAGTCCTCTGGGCAGCCGCAGCTGCCACCCCTGGTTTCTGAGCTGCCTCCCCCATGCCCCAAAGAGAGGTGCCTCGTCACACTGCCCCACAGGGGCCTTGGAAGCACCCCATGGCCAGCCGCAGAGGCACCATTCACCTGGGGAGCTTGTAGCCAGGGCTGCTGCACAAACAGCTGTGCAAGCCTTTGGGAGGCAGAGATGCAAGAGGGCATCAGAGGAGGGAGGGAAGGAAAGAAGGGTAGAAGCCAGTGTTGCCTACGGCACCCCAGACCATCATTCAAGGCACCCCAGGGTGCCACGGCACACAGATTGATAACCACTGGTCTGCTCCTGAGACTGGGAAGTTAAGGGCTGCTTCACCAATGGAATTTAAGGTGCACCTATGTACACTTAGGACGTGGGTGGCGCTGTGGGTTAAACCACAGAGCCTAGGACTTGCGAATCAGAAGGTCGGCGGTTCGAATCCCCATGGCGGGGTGAGCTCCTGTTGCTCGGTCCCTGCTCCTGCCAACCTAGCAGTTTGAAAGCACGAAGTGCAAGTAGATAAATAGGTACTGCTCTGGCGGGAAGGTAAACGGCATTTCCATGGGCTGTTCTGGTTCGCCAGAAGCGGCTTAGTCATGCTGGCTACATGACCCGGAAGCTGTATGCCGGCTCCCTCAGCCAATAAAGCAAGATGAGCGCCGCAACCCCAGAGTCGTTCACGACTGGACCTAATGGTCAGGGGTCCCTTTACCTTTTATGTACACTTAATGTGCACACCTATGTGCACAAACACAACTTCAGAGCAGCAAGGGAGTTGCCTTCTACCAGGCCAGATTTTTTTGATGGGCAGCAGAGTAACCAAAGTCTCAAGCACAGACCCTTCATATAATTTATCTGCTATCATTTACTTTATTTGTTTAGCTGTGGCCCTTGTAGCTGGAAATGTCAGGGACTCAACCTGCCTGGGACCTTTTGCATGTAAACAGTGCACTCTGCTATTGAGCTATGGGGAGCATCCAAAGTAGTGCTATGTGAACATCTCATCAGTGCCAGGATTTCTGCTAGAGGAAGGAAACATACTCCATGTGTGCCCCCTAAATCTGTTCTAGGGGCTCCACTAACCCTCTGGAGCAGATTTAGGGAGGCTGTGAGGCACCTGTAGGGTGAGGAGATTGCAGAAGCAGAAATCTTGGTACTGATGGGAGACATGGCAGTTGAATACTGTACAAGCTCGCTAGCCACCTGCTGTTGCTAGTTATATGGCACTGGAGGGGGTTCCATTACTGCTTACTCCACATCCAATGCACTTGCATTGCTCATTTTTTAAGCTGCATTCACACAATCCATATTGATCCCGTAGTTTCTTGGCAAATAGTCCTGTGTGATGTGTTTTTCTTCTCAAACCACCTTCAATCCAATTAGAAAACAATGTGGAGTAAGTGGTAATTTGAACATACCCAGTAGCCATTGCACTGGCACAGGTGAGCATACACAGGTGACAGTTTAGTGAACAGGAGTGCCGGGGGGGCTACATGGGTGGGGATCCCAAAAAGGTCTGTGCATCTGGTGAAGACCTCCCTGCCCCCTTTTTCGTGTGCACAGTGCACAACTTTGTGCAAAAGTGGCTTGAAATGCAGTGGGGTAGGGGAATGACCTCACTGTGTTTCAAGCCATTAATGTGAACATACTCTTCATTCAGGTTGCCAGACATTTATTATTATTTGTTTACTGGATTTATTTGTTTCCTTTTTTGCCATGGCGACTCACAGCGACTTACAAAAGAACTTATGAAAAACGAAATAAGGCAGACAGACATTAAAACGAAATATTTAAAATAAAGGAAAGGGTGGACAAAAGATTAAAAAAAGAAAAACCTTTATCCAAGAGGTATAAACTCCTCCTTGATTGGAAAGTCAAGGAGGAGGTGGTAAAATCAGTTATGGGCCCAGAACTTAAGTTATAATATCCAAATGGATTCGTGGGAAAGACTCTGGAAGGTAGACATAAAATTCACCGCATGTTATAATCTGAAAGAAAATCTGATGAAAATGTTTTAGCGTTGGTACCTGACTCTAGCCAAATTAGCCAAAATGTATATTAAAAAAATTGAACGTTTGCTGGAGCTGTAAGAAGTCAGAAGGTACAATGATACATACATGGTGGAACTGTGTGAAAGTTAGAGAACTATGGGACATTATATATAATGAACTTTTTAAAAAATCTTTAAATGTTCATTCCAAAAAAACCCAGAAGCCTTCCTGTTGGGAATCATATATAATGAAATACCAAAAATTTTTAGAAGAACTTTCATGTCTGCAACAACGGCGGCTAGAATTTTGATAGCAAAAAGTTGGAAAGGAGAAGTGATACGCACCAAATTAGACTGGCAGGTGAAGATGATAGAATATATAGAAGTAGCCAAAATGACTGGAAGTTTAAGAGATGATTCAAAACAGAAAGAATATTATGAAAATGATATACAGGTGGTACATGACACCAGTCAAGCTTGCAAAAATCTATCATTTGCCCGATAATAAATGTTGGAAATGTAAAGAAAATGAAGGTACATTCTTTCAACTTTGGTGGACGTGCCCAAAGATTAAGGCTTTCTGGGAGATGATCTATAATGAAATGAAAAAGGTATTTAAATATACCTTTCTAAAGAAACCAGAGGCCTTCCTGCTGGGCATAGTTGGTCAATTGGTGCCAAAGAAGGATAGAACTTTCTTTATGTATGCCACAACAGCAGCAAGAATACTTATTGCAAAGTATTGGAAGACACAAGATCTACCCACCTTGGAAGAATGGCAGATGAAGGTGATGGACTATATGGAACTGGCAGAAATGACTGGCAGAATCCGAGACCAGGGAGAAGAGTCGGTGGAAGAAGACTGGAAAAAGTTTAAAGATTTACAGAAATATTGTAAAATTAATGAATGTTAGAATGATGTTGGATAGAAACTAAGTGGTTTTTAGCTGTAATGTTATAAGGGAATATGAAAAAATGGACTATTAATAGGTAAAAATATAATGTTACAATACTTTAAGATTGAAGACTAGGATAAACAAAGAGGGGAGGGATTTGCTGAACTAACAAACTGAATTGGAATACAGAAAAGGGAGGCGTGAGGAGGTCCGGGAAATAAGCAAATGAAAGATAAGTGATTGAAAGACTGAATTGTTTTTAACTATTTTTATTTTGTATTTTTCTTTTTTCTTTTTTTCTTTTGTAATATTTTGAAAATCTTAATAAATATCTTTAAAAAAAAAACAAATAAGAGAAGCTCTAACAGGAAGTAAAATAACTTGGTTTAACTGTATATACAACTGGTGCAACGGACAAAGCAGTGGTTAAGGGAAAACAAGAAATGCAAAGAATATACAATATATATATATTTTTTTATAAAAATGGGAGATAAAAAAGAAAATATAGTTATAAAAGGGGAAACTTATAAAGATTTATAAAGAGTTAAGATAATGAAACGAAGGGGCACAATCCAGGCACAGTAAAATACTAATGGCTGCCCTGCTAGGCCTACTTACTTGGATGTAAACCTCAATGAACACAGTGGGACTTACTTTTGTGTAAATGTGCATGGGATTTCTACCTAAATCAATGTTTAATACTGTAATTCTATGCGTAATTATTTGCGAATAAACCCCATTGAATAATTTGCTCCAGAATAAATGTGCATAGGATTGCACTGTAAACGGCTTTAAGGTGGCAACGTTATATCTACTTACCTGGGAGTAAGCCCCACTGAACCCATCTATAGATGTATAAGATTGCACAGACAAATGCTTGACTTTGGGTGGATTGTGTCCAGCACTGCTAAATAGTGAGTGGAGACTGGTCACTTATTGGGTGCACTGTCCCATCACATGGAGTTTAAAAGGGAAAGAAATTAATTTTTCCTCCAAACTAACACCCCCCCCAAAGCCCCCACACTATTTATTGCTCCCTACATTCTCCCAAGGCTCCAGTTTGAACTGCTGCAGCCATTTCTGTCAATCTCCTATTCTCTGGCCAATCAGCTCTTTCCACTGCTCAGCCAATCCCAAGCCAAAACTATTGCTATGGGCTGGCCATTGGCCATGCTAACCATTGGCCAATAGCATCCAGGAAGTATCAGGCTGTGGAAGGCTGCTGTAGGATATTCACTAGCTAGTTGTTTGTTTGTTTTTTAGCTGGTTCTTTAAAGCTAGCACTAGGATGTGCTAGCTTTAAAGCCAGCTAAGATGGCTTCAAAAAAGGATTGGATAAATTCATAAAAGGATGGGCCTAATAAGTGGCCATTAGCTACTACGAGAGCTGAATTAAAGCTTCATCTTCAGAGACAACAGAGCTTCTGATTTCCAGATGCTGAGCAATCAGAAAAAGGGCCATCAGCTTTTATGCTCTGCTTATGAGCTCCCTAGGACAGTCATTGCTGCAGACAGAATACTGGAATAGCTGGACTTAGATCTCCCAAAACAATTCTTACATTCTTAAAAAAGAAAGTGGCAAAGGGTAGGATTCTCACGTAACTGTGTTGGCCTAGGCAACTTTGTGTGCTATCCAGTGTGTAAAAACCTCATATGGGCATTTTGACATGTTCTCCAACAAGTCTCCTTCTCTTTGCCAGTGTCTGCCCAGGGGCCATGGAGCTGGAAAGGGATACTAAAAATAAAAGGTGAAGGTGTGCACAGTCTCGACTTGATGATGGTTTTAAACTCCTTGTTTCTCTTCCAATATTCACCAATACTAGCTCCCTATTCTGTGATGTTTGATAAGAACACCATCACTTTCTTGGTACTGGAAAACAACAACAGAAGGAAATCTCTGGTCCGAAACCCCCACTGCTTTGTGGCTATACTCATTCATGAGAAAGGCCTCAGGAATAAACCTGAGGAAAAATCTTGTGGGACATCTTCTGGATAATGAAAGCTAAGGAGTAAACCCTACAATCCAGAGTGGAATCCCTAAGACAGTTGGATGGTGTACGTCTCCTTCTGTCAACTCCTGCAGCCAAGCTGATGCCAAACATATTTCTCTGCTTTCCTTTGGACCACATCAGTGAGGCTGAGAGTGGGAGGCCTCGTCATCTGGGCAGCCCAGGACTCCGTACACACTGCCCAGGCTTGTGCCCCAGGAAGGTCACTTTGGCGTTGCTAACACAGCAAAAACAACACTGGAGGCAACATTGCGAGTTCATAGAATCATAGAGTTGGAAGAGACCACAAGGGCCATCGAGTCCAACCCCCTGCCAAGCAGGAAACACCATCAGAGCACTCCTGACATATGGTTGTCAAGCCTCTGCTTAAAGACCTCCAAAGAAGGAGACTCCACCACACTCCTTGGCAGCAAATTCCACTGTCGAACAGCTCTTACTGTCAGGAAGTTCTTCCTAATGTTTAGGTGGAATCTTCTTTCTTGTAGTTTGGATCCATTGCTCCGTGTCCGCTTCTCTGGAGCAGCAGAAACAACCTTTCTCCCTCCTCTATGTGACATCCTTTTATATATTTGAACATGGCTATCATATCACCCCTTAACCTCCTCTTCTCCAGGCTAAACATGCCCAGCTCCCTTAGCCGTTCCTCATAAGGCTTCGTTTCCAGGCCTTTGACCATTTTGGTTGCCCTCCTCTGGACACGTTCCAGTTTGTCAGTGTCCTTCTTGAACTGTGGTGCCCAGAACTGGACACAGTACTCCAGGTGAGGTCTGACCAGAGCAGAATACAGTGGCACTATTACTTCCCTTGATCTAGATGCTATACTCCTATTGATGCAGCCCAGAATTGCATTGGCTTTTTTAGCTGCCGCGTCACACTGTTGGCTCTGTGTGCACTTAGTTACCAGTCTCTGCAGCTACAACAGGTGCTGTGAATCGCCAGCAGTTTGCCTTCACACCCAGAGGCGCACTCCATTGTCTCTCGAGACAGACGGATGCCAGCAACAACAACATACAAAACCAGCCCACCAAATGTACTCCTTCCATGCAGCAATGGGAGTGCAACACCTCTTCTGCTCTTTAGAATGGACACCAACAATGAAACAGGTTCAACCAGGTGTGGCTAAAGCAGGAGAAACTGGTCAGCGGGCATTTCCTTTTGGTCTGGTGTTTTGTTATCCTCTCAGCCAAGAACAACAGACATAGCACATGCTGAGAAGTCCTGATAGCAGTTTATTTAATTGAAAATATTGTTCATCCTGCCTTTCTGTCCCTCAAGACCACCAAGGCACAATATCAAAGCACATCCTCAAACAATTTAACAAAATAAAAGCAAACACAAATATTAAAGGAACCACAAAACAAAAGAGACACATCACTTTGGCAGGAACACCATAACAAGTGCCAGGAAATAATCCAGATCTATTTTCAAGGCTATTTCAGAGATTGCTGATTTATCAAGCATTCACCCTGATTTGCTTGCATAGAGGCTAGATTATACTGAGCAACTGTTCTGCTTTATTTGCAGGGCAGTTATATAACAATGAGCATTTGTCCTGCACTCATCCTGATTTGTTTGTGGGGTGTCTACATGGCAACAGAGCCTTTTGATCCACTTTGACTGAGCAAACCAAAAATTCCGGTACATGTTTGAATCCATCCCACAAAACAGCGACTGTCTCTGGAGACACCCTCAGTTGTTATTTACCCTGAAGACATCCTAAAACAGCATTTTCACTAGCTGGGTAAAAAAGGAGGGAGTAGATGATGGGGCTAAGTGAGCTTCCCTTGGAAGGACATTCCAAAAGCTAAGTGCCACCAAGAAAAAGCCTCATGTGACCATCTACCAGATTTCTGATGGCAGAGGGATGCAGGTGGAGAGGGTGGGTGGAGCTCTTATGCAGAGCTGAGTGCCCCAGCTGCTTCAGATTATCTACCCTTATGCCTTGTTAGAATGCACTTTTTCATCCTCCTGGCATTTACTTTGGTCTTAGAGGCCTTTGCAATAGTTAAGGACCCCAACGCTTGCAAAGCAGCATTAATAAGTGGCCCACATGTATTGCTCTCCAGGTGACAACAGATACCTGGGAATAAGGTGAGAATGGGTATACTGGGTGTGGAGAGTGCTAATGATATAGTGGGGCTTGCAAAATGTTGCTATGGTAGGTGACATAAATGGGTGTGGGGTGATTTTACTGGGGCAATCTGGAAAGAATGTCGCGGCAATGAGACATAGATGGGAAGGCAGAAATAGGGTGGTAATGGTGGGTCAGAGAGATAATTTCTGCAGTAAAAATAGGGCAAAATGAGTGGTTTGATGGCTGTTCTCCCTGCAGGTGGAGAAATGGGAAAGCATTGCACTCCACCCCATTCTGAGCAAGGGCTTTTGGCTCTTCCTCCATCCCTACCTTGGACATTTTTCTATTGATTGTCACAATCAGGGCCCCTCCTGGAGTCTTTTTTTATTGCACATTTGTGATGATTTGTGCTTGTGATGCTATTGGGGCAGTCACATCTGATCCTGCTTTCAATGCTTTTGGTGCTGGCAAATGTTTTGGGGCTGGTCATGCTGCTTCATTTCCAATCAGTGCCTGTTTGGATGAAAGTGCTTTGTCACCAAAGAGCCAAAAAGAAAGAAAGAAATGGACTTTTGTGGTCGGGAAAGTGTCAGGGAGATTCACAGAAAAGTGGGGGATGCATAAACACTCCACAAGCAAATCAAAGGTGAATGTAAGACGGAACGCTTATTGTCCTATAACCTTATTGGACAGTTACAATCTAACCTCCATGTCAGCTTTCTGTGAGCAAATCAGGATGAATGCTCAATAAATAGCTCATCTGGAGAAGCCTTTAACACCTCAGCCCTGCAACCTGTTTGGCCACTTAGCCTCTCTCTCAAATCTGGCCAGCATCCAATAGCTTTGTTTGGTCTTTGTAGCCCTTTTGCTTTCTGCTCCTTGCTCTGACAGTGTACCTACCTAGTGATGATGAATGATTTTTCATTTTGCTGGGAAAGTGGCACAAACAAGAGAGTTTACAAACTCGTTGCCTTTCAAGCCAAGACAATAACTCAGCACTTTGTCATTGCCGGAAATGGGGCTATGATATGGGCACTGATGATGGTTGTAGCAATATTTCTTATGGTTCCCCTGTCTCATAGCAAATCTGTTACTGGGGTATAATTTACCTGTTTAGACCATGGCTCAATAATAACACTGAACAGCTTTATGCATCTGTTGAGTCTCTCGCTCTGTGTATACATCTGGAAGAACGCACAACTAGCAACACACTCAAAAAAAAAAAAAAAGAATGCCAAGGTTGTTGTTTTTTAAAAAACAGAGTCCTCTAACTCCATTGTTCCACCATATTTATGGCTGTCTGTAAAAATAACACCAAATCCATTTAGAAATGTTTGATCTGGAAAATGTTGGAATCATTGTGCCTTGTACATCAGGGGAAATTGTTTTGCAAAAATGTATCTAATTGGAGAAATTTGCAATAAAATGAAATTTCAAGCTGGCTTTAAAAAGGAAAATCTCAGACTAATATGGAAATATGAATAACTCGCTTTAGTACTGGAAAAATGAGGACCTGAAACTGACAGATTCACCCATCCCTAGGTGACAGCACCGAGAGACTGCAGTTGAACCCTACGCAGTGCCATAAGAATCTGTCTTGTCTCCCATGCTTTTTAATGTTATAGTGAAACTGCTGGCTGAGATCATTCAAAGGTCCAGGCTGAACCATCAAGCCCTCTGCAATAATAGTAAAGTTCAAACTGTGTTGATGATACAGGACTGTATGTACCAGCCCTGCCTGCTCTACTCCCAACCTGCTGCTTGCCGCAGTAGGCTCTGAAGGAAATGGGCTTGCTTAAACTTGTGTACAGGACTCCCTGTGATCAGGAACCCTGTGCAATCCATGTTCCTGATCACAGAGATGCTTGTAGATGCACCCAATTGTTGGCAGGCACACCATTTCTTTAGCAAAAACTTAGCGATGCTCTTCAATACCTATACTGAGAATGGAGCCCTTTTATATTGTCCTATCCCTGGCCAAAGAAGGTGGAAGCCTCAAGAGGGTGTGAGGTGTGGAATCTCAGAAGACCTGTTGTGCCCCCTCAATATTTTTAGATCCAACAGTTGTTGCGAAATAACCTGTCACATCTAACATAGGCCTAAATCACCTGTGACTTCCCCAGAATTTTCAGCCCACCAGCTATATCCTATGGCCTGCCAGGGGCTTGACTTTGCAGTCTCAGCCAGGCAACAAAAGCAGAAGGTCGCTGAGGCTCCAGGCGGGGGCTCTCATTCATATGGGGGGAGGCTTTCAAGTTCTGCAGGTCTAGAATCATAACATTTCCTCTCTTTCAGTTTGGTCATGGACCTGAACTAGCCACACTGCATGAATATAATCCTTTAGTGAATACCCCAGGAGATACCCCACCACTTAGAAGTTTTGCAACAACTGCTGTAATAATAATAATAATAATAATTTATTTATACCCTGCCATTCCCGGTTCAGGGCGGCTAACAACAAATTTAAAACACTTAATTGATGCAACAAAAAACAGCATAAAATACAGTATAAAACATGAATAACAATAAATTCAGAATTCAAAAATCAATTTGGGGGAAAATCCATCCAATAAACATTAGATGCTCACCAGGGCTAGCTGGCTAAATTATTCCTATTTGGGCCAGCGAGGAGACCAGGGGAGAATTAGCTGTGGGATCCCAGAGCGGGTAATATTCATAAAAAGGGGAAGAGGAGGGAAGGAAGGAAGGGCAATAAAAGATCAGGCTAAGTTCAAATTGAAAGCCAGGTGGAATAGCTCTGTCTTACAGGCCCTGTGGAAGGAAGTTAAATCCTGCAGGGCCCTGGTCTCATGGGACAGAGCAGTCCACCAGGTCGGAGCCTTCACTGAGAAGGCCCTGGCCCTGGTGGAGGATAATCTGACTTCCTTAGGGCCCGGGACCTCCAAACTATGATTATTCATGGACCTTAAGGTCCTCTGCGGGACATACCAGGAGAGGCGGTCCCGTAAATACGAGGGCCCTAAGCCACAAAGGGCAGGCAGGCAGGAAAGTAGATGCAGCATCCTATGGCACCAGGTTCATGGCATGGTCTCAGTGATTCCTGAAACTGCCCCATCACAAAAACACTTTGCATTTATACAGCGGCTTTAGAGTGCTCAAAGCACTTCACTTCCATAATCTCAGTAATCTTTATAACAATGGCCCTGTAAGATGGGTCGTTATGGTCGTTCCCATAAGGGGTGTTTGTGTGTGTTTTGGGGGGGGGCTCATGCCCGAGGCAAGATTTAAATATGAATTTTCAGATCCACCATCTTTTAGTGGCTCTGCTACAATATTCTGCACTAGCCTTTCCCATCCTGGTGAACCCCACATTTTGGACTACAAGTAGGGATGGATAGGCAAATGTGCCACTTTCAGATTCTCTCTTTTGCTCATGTCTCCATTCTCCATATTTCCACAACTGCTGGTTTTAAAGACCTCATGAAAATTCATCAGACCTTGGTACGAATTTCTCCGAACATCCACATTTTTGTATGTGGCTTTGCCTTACGCATTTTTACACTGCAGTTTTCCCTGGTATAAGGCATTTCTATGTTATTTTTTACTAACAAACTTTTAACCTTAGTAAATGTACTTTTGTACATGTTATTTGGCTGCATTGAAAAATTCAGAGAAGTGTGAATTGTGAAGTACGCATGAGTTCATGTTTCAGACAGCATGAATTAGGTAGGCTCACCTTTAAATGTGAGCTGAACCAAATTTCTCCTCCATCCACAACTACAACTCCCATTAGCTCCAGCCAGCTGATGCTACTGGTTGTGAGGAAAAGATCTACCCAAAGATGCTTGTATCCAGAATGAACTGACTGAGATTTTTGCCTCTCCTCTCGGAGCTGAATACTGAAATGCTTTTAAAAACCCCCAAACAATTCCTGACAGAGGACGAAAAACAGAAACAAACTCACTCTGAAGATGCAGCCAAGGAGAAATTGCTTGCAGCTTTAGTAGCCAGCAGAGGGAACTAGAGGACAAGGAAATAGTGAGCAATCAGCAAAGTCAGCAACTCGCCCTTGTCTTTGTGCCAGCAAATCCCAGTTATCACATCATATTCCTTATAATAGACCATCAATGGCCATCTTTTCGGTCACAGCCAGGTTACAATAACAGGAATAAACAGTCATATGTAGGTCTAGTTTAATTTATTGACCTCCCTGCCCTCTCTGCCACTGCACCTCAGAATTTGAAGGCAAGAAAGCATGACAAAGTAAGGGATTAGTTTAAGTCTTGTGCTAGCCCTTCTTGGCCATGATATCTTTGCTAGGTTCCAAGATCATTCCCGTACTAGGCTGCCCCAGCGTAGCTCTGAGGGTAGGGGAAGAAGACACCAAGGGTGCCTTTGACATTTTCTAACCTGCTATAAGGAGACCACAAGTACTTCCTCATCCTCCCCTCTCATCTTTTTGTGGTAATGGATGGTGCAAGAAGATTACACCTACAATGAAGCTCCCTCCATCTCTAGGCAATCCATGTTTTGCCTGCATCTTCTTGGGGCCTCTCTTTCCCCCTGCTTGTAGGTTACTGATTCATGGCAGGTACCAATCTGTCATGACCTTGCACTTGGGTTGATGGGTAATAATAAGGGACAGTCAGAAGAACAACTGTATTAGGGGTTAGAGAACTGGCAGGGTAGAAAAACAATCCACATGTGCACATGCCTGCAGGGAAGATGATTTTCTACCACCTCACTTTGCATTTGGAGAGTTATTCTCTGTCCTGAATCCCTGGCCTACCTGGCAGCGAGCCAGAATGTCAAGTCCGAATTTCAGGAAACGCAGTCCAGGGTCAGTCCAAGTAAGCCAAGTCTGAAATCCAGCAGTCAGGAAACAGTCCAGAATCAAAGCCAAAGTACAGTCCCCTAAAGATCCAGGAGCATCCAAGCCAAGGTCCATCAACATGGGCAGTTGAGCAGGCAAAGCCCCTCAGCTCTGCTTCCCTTTTGTACTTTGCATGCTGATTACAGCATCTGGGCTTGATAAGGCAGGTGACCCTCACCTGTTCCAAGCCTCCTCCAGCTGATGAGGCCCACCTGGCCAGTTAGTGAGCTGGCCTGTGGGCCCCTGCCTACCTCAGCCTCCTAGAGCACCCCTCCTGCTGCTCTCTGTGCCTCAGAGTACTTCCTCCCCCAACCCCTGCTTGTCCTGGTGTGTCCCAGTCCTGGCTGCACCCCTCTCCAGGATCCTGTTCCTCCTCCCCGTCATCCTGTCAGATCATGACACCCTCCAAATATTAGGTAATGCTATGCAATTTGGTTTCAATGGAGCAGTTTTATTTTGTGCACCGTCAAAAATTAATCTCTGACTTTCCTATTATAAAGAGTGCTATATTTCTCTTTACACCTGCTTTCTGCATAACCAGGAACTTGTGTACTTGGCCCTTATGTTTACAAAAATGGGGACACAGTCGTTGCCTCTTCCTCCCAGAATTTGAAGTATATTCAACAACCACCTAGCAGAGATGAATCCAGTCTGCAGTCTCCAACTTTAGACACAGTCTAAAATGCAGACCTCAGCACATCACAATCCAGTCTAATTTTGGGTAATTTTGTCTCTGCCCCTAACCCCTGCTTTGAATAACATCTAGCCTGATTAAACATTCTGCACCACTTGAAAGCTTGTACATTATTTTGCAACAATTTTGTTCGTACTAATACTGTAAAGGTATAGCCCATCTGTGGATTTTGGGTGCCACCCCCCCAAAAGGCACAACTCTTCTATTCTCCATTTTACATGCACAGGAAGAAACAATGCATTCAGAGCGCTGCCCAGTGCCTACATTGGGACGGATCATGCCTCCAGAGGTGAGTGTTTTCAAGTCCTGTTCTTTCAGGTAATAAGAGGTGGACTCTTTGGCAGAAAGACAGGATAAAAATGAAACAACACCATCTAAGCATAGCCCATATTCCATAGACTTCTAGGTAACAACAAACCACCTTCTTTCACAGCATAGCTTTTTAAAGGGAAATTCCCTTATTCCGAATAGGATTCCTCGCAAGAAAAGGGAAAAGTTGACATTTTAGTAAGACTTCTGTTGCAAATGCCACAGAGCTTCTTGGTAAATCTGCCTTAATTTGGCCATATCTTATTATCAAGGTAGATTAGGCACAACTGTGGTTACTAATTAGAAGTCTCCCCAATACCTACCTCAGTCTTTAGTGTCATTCCTCATGATACTCACTCAGAGTTACTGCTAAGACAAGATTATGTTGGGGGACTCAGCAGCTATTTGCCTTTGCGGCTAGCTTCATACTGCCCTGCGAAGCACCAAACGAAAATCCTGCCTACGCCTTCGTTTATAGGCATTCGCCTTGGGCGGGAGACCACTGCATAACATTTCTTCTACATCCTTCTACGTTTCCCCCCAGGTAGTTTTCCCTCTTTCTAACTCTTGTTCTTGGGCAACCTTTCAGCAGAAACTTCTTGCTGTGTCTGGGCTAGAAGCAGCAGAAAAAAGCACCACATTTTGTAGTGGCAATTTCAAAAGTAGGCTATAAAGTGCAAAGGCCAAAGGCTGGTTAAATCTGTGAAGCCAAATGGGAACTCAATAGGATTGACGTGAGTAGGGGATTGAGGCTTTGGTGCATAGCTCAGTACACTTTCTCTGTGACTAGCAGAAGCTGATGCGAAAAATGAGCAAACATATGCACATTATATCCATTGCATTCATCCAAATGAAAAAACTAGGAAACAATTTGGTTCACTTTCATACATTGGCTAGAAGTACAGGATTTAAAAGCATCCATGGTCCTAATTGAACAGCAAATAGGAGGCATAAGATTTCTCTGTTCTGTTTGGGCAAATTTTATTTATTTCAACACAATTTGGATACCATAAATAAAACCTACTTTGTACTGCATTGCAAAATCTGGAGAAATACAAATTTTAAAGGAGGTGTGTTTGGGTTTGTAGAGTGCAAATTACTAAACTGGTTTGCCTTTAAATATTAATTGAATCAAGTTTATCTCCCATCCCTAATTCTGATTATGACTTACACCCCTGGTGTCTTTTTCCATACTTTGAAGTCCAAATAGAGTATTGTTTACATGTGGCACTGAACTGATGTAAATTTATATTCTAAAATGTTTAAATGGTCTATGGATTGATAATCAAGAAAGTGAGAAGTAAATACTAACATGAGCGCTTTAACCCCATGAAGTCAACAAATTCAAAATATTTCTGATCAATCCAAAAAGGCTCCATAGTCAAGGTGTACTTCTTACTTAACCCAAGAAAGTGATGCAATAAACTGGTGGTGCTAACTGCCTACAAGCCCTGCTTGCTGCTCCCAATCCAGAGAAAGTGACTTGTGCTTAACTCCCATTGGCCTTTTTCTGAATTGCGGCCACTGAGGTCACAATGTGGGATTTTGCAGAAGGAGCATTATCACAATAGGATGAATTTTTATGGCAAATATGAAACCTATCAGGTATTAAGGTTTACCACCAGAGACCACTGTTCTTGAGTTCTTTAGAGAGAACCTGAATGCAAGACATAGAATCATAGAATTGTAGAGTTGGAAGAGACCATGAGGGCTGTCTAGTCCAACCCCTGCCATACAGGAATCTTTTTGCCCAACGTGGGGCTCAGATCCACAACCCTGAACTGAAGTGTCTCATACTCTACCAAATGCCTTTCAATACATTTTCCTGTGGTGTCAAATACTTCCTAATGTTCGATGTAGGCTTCAAATATATCAGGTGAATTAAGGTCACCATTTGGATGTAATGTCAGGATATGCAAAAGGGGGGAGGGTATTCAATAATACATTATTCCATATGACATCATGCAAAAGGGAGAAGAATGGATCTGGAAAACTCTTAAGGCGTTGCAGTTTGTATGGAATAGGTTTCATCTGAATGTTCACTTGTAAAATATGTAGCATGGCAAGATGAAAGCATGTAAATGATGCTGGATACCAAATGGAAAGTATATTTTGCATGTTTATTAGAGGCATAGCTTAATAAATATCTGCAGAGGCTCATTATCAATAGTCAGCCAATTAACAGCACTTAAAGATGACTGACATAAATTGAAATGGATGCAAATGGACAAGATAAGAATTCTGATATGTTAAAACTCTGGCTGTGCATAAAATGAGTGGTTTCCAAGCCAGCTGCTGAATATTAACAGCTTCATCTGCAAATTGATGCCAAAAGCATGACAGCAAACTGGTGACGACTCTGTTTGGGTTCACCAGACCATATGGCAACCCCCATCCCCAGGATCGGCAATTTGTAGCAGAGAAGCCTCCTTTGCCATTGCCACAGGGTAGTGCTGTAAAACCACTGCCTCTCTAATCACCCATGCTCTTGCTGCAGCAGAGCTCCTCTAAGGCAGTACTACTATTATTATTATTACAGTAGTACCTCGGGTTACATACGCTTCAGGTTACATACGCTTCAGGTTACAGACTCCGCTAACCCAGAAATAGTACCTTGGGTTAAGAACTTTGCTTCAGGATGAGAACAGAAATCGTGCTCCAGCGGCCTGGCAGCAGGCCCTATTAGCTAAAGTGGTGCTTCAGGTTAAGAACAGTTTCAGGTTAAGAACGGACCTCCAGAACGAATAAACCCAAGGTACCACTGTATTATTATTATTATTATTATTATTATTATTATTATTATATTTCATTTATTGATAGCTTTCTATGAAGCATCTTGAAGCGATTTCACAATACAGTAAAAACATATATGAAACAATTGCATATAAAAACAGTTAATATATATAAATCTTGGCTGTGAGTCCTGGAAGACCTGTTCCCTGCCTTGTTGGTCTTTTCCCACCTGGCCTGGGAGGGCGGGGCCTGGACTGACTCCAGCTACAAAATCTGAGGCTGCTGATCAAGCTATTGGGCTGGGGTGTTGTTTGGGGATTTTTTGTTGCTGTTGTTTTTAAAAAAAATTGCATTATTATTTTTCGGTCTTATGATTTATGTGGAAACTGTTCAATTTGGTTGTGTGCTTCTTGGTGTTTTTTATTTATTGTTTATGACTACTTTTGTAATTATGTAAATATTTTCATGTTGTAAAACCCTGAGCATGGGTTTAAGGGCGGCATACAAATAAAATGATGCTAATGATGATGCTGATGATAAGCGATTTCCAAAAAAGGCAAGAAGGCCTGCACAGGTACTCAAGAGAAGGGCAAGTTCAACCTGCAAGTTCAACCTGCTATTGCCTAGCTCTGCCAAACCAGAAAGAGACTAGCCAGTGCGTTCTGGAATCCAAGCAGCAGACTTTGGACTGAGGACCATTCTAAGTGGTTCTCTACTCAGCAGGAATATAGGTGGGTGACAGATCTGTGCCCTAGTGGCAGTGCTACAGGAGGCAGTTTGAGATGAGTGGGAAGTCATGGGACAAGTCAGTAGCCTGGATGGCAGAAGTGGTTGGGATCAAAGGGCACATGGCCAGGCAGGGCTGAGGAGCAACCAGAAGTCAGAGTGAGCAGCAAGTTTTTATAAGGAGGCAGGGGCAAAAGGCAGGCCAGAGGTCAGGATTAACAAAAGGTCAAGGACAGCTGGCAAATGAAGCCCTTTATTCTCTTTCCTGTCCTGAAGGACCTTGGTGGGCAAAGTCAGTCTAGCGCAAAAGAAGTTGCCATATGCTGTCCAGTGGCTCACCACATGGGACATATATGCATGGATCCAGCAGCCCCTGGCAGTAACTCCAACAATAGTGCCATTGTGATATTTTCCAGTATTCAGAGCAACTGTTCTGAGGCCCATACCTCAAGCCTACCGAGAAAGTTGAGGTAATTTTATTCTTTTAACTTCTGTATGTTTTAAAGTATGGTCATAAAACTTTTGTGATGTTATTGTTTTACCTTTTGTAAACCACTTTGAGCGTTGTTGTTTTTTTTACAACCAAGTGGTGTATAAATTGTGGCCTACCGTTTTCATGGAGGGCAAGAATCCAGGCCTGCCCTGAGGAAAACTGTAGACATGTATGTCAAGATCCCAAAGAACAAATAATCTGACACCACCACTTAGGCTACCTTAAGGATATCTCTTAAGCATAGGGTTGTACCCTTTGAAAATGGCATGTGGTGGACAACAGTCCTTACATCACCAGTGCTGAATGAAGAGAACATCCAAGAGCTTATTGCACCACAGTGGTTCAGTCACAGTCGCATCATTTTAATTATTAAATGTAAAGCTGGAAATCAGTTTGCTAATACAGATATATCTTGACAGAGGACGTATCGATCCAGTCAATCAGAAGTGACAAATGTATCACCTGTGATTTAGCATTTTGTGCGAAATTTACCTTTCTATGTTGGAATTTTGTTTATATGAGAAATAACTCACAAGAATACAGTGGTACCTCGGGTTAAGAACTTAATATGTTCTGGAGGTCCGTTCTTAACCTGAAACTGTTCTTAACCTGAGGTACCACTTTAGCTAATGGGGCCTCCCGCTGCCGCCATGCCATCACAGTGCTATTTCTGTTCTCATCCTGAAGCAAAGTTCTTAACCTGAGGTAATATTTCTGGGTTAGCGGAGTCTGTAAGCTGAAGTGTCTGTAACCTGAGGCACCACTGTACTTCTTTATCTCCCTCCTTCAAATGCCTTCTCAAAACCAACCTTATCTAGCAAATAAGCCTGCAGCGTAACCCCCTTAGGCCCAAGCTATTTGTGATGGTGACAGGCCTGTGGCTGCCCCATCCTCATATAAAACTGTGGTGTAGGGGTTAGCTTGTCGGACTAGGAACTGAAAGACCAGGGTTTGAATCCCTGCTCAGCCATGAAGCTCACTGGGTGTGTGACCTTGGGCCAGTTACTGTCTGTCAACGTAATCTACCTCTCAGGGATATTATGGGGATTTAAATGAGACGGGGAAGCACGTATGCCACCTTGAGCTCCTTGGAGAAAAAAGTGGGATATAAATGCAATAGCTAAACTAACGGAAATGTGTGTGTGTGTGTGTGTGTGTAGGTGCAATTTAAAAGGAAAAATGAGTATGACAGCGATTTGTGTTGAACTCAGGGACAGCCTTGCGATGCAGTGAGATGAAGCAGAGTGATGAGGCGATAGTTAACGGAAGGAATGGATGCCAGAATGATGCAGCAAGTGTTGGGCCTAGCCAGACAAGGCAGCATTTGGGCTTTGCTTCAGACACCCAAAATGTCTTAGGCTGGAACTGTGAATTCTCTCACTTGTAACTCCCCTTTCCTTATCACAAGTTTCCCCTTCCCCCCACACCCGCCATCTTATTTCTCCCTTCCAGGTTCACATGGGAGGAGGAGGGGCACATTTGCAGAAAGGAGGGGCTTAACCTCCTGGTGCTGCTTTGGCTCTCAAACTGTACATTCCTAAGGCTGTTGAGGGGAGACTCCAAAGTGGTTTAACCAACCACCCAAAGCCCTTTCAGGGGCTTGCAAGTAGGGTGGAAGTGAGGGCGGAGGGGTGTTCGTGTGGTCCTCCACCTTTTGAACTTATTAAATAGTGGGTGGACACAGCAGGCAACACAGAGCTTTCTCCAAGTAGTTCTTTATAAGTAAGCTGGAACTGAACTGAACAGCCAACAGCTCAGCCGGCCTGCTTTTATAGGCAGCCAGCTGTCAACATTGTAACAACAACCCAGGGTTTCCCGCCTAAATTAACTGACTTAGACCTGAGTGAAAACTATATACATGATACCCCTGGTGGCCAGGGTGATAACTTCAATGCATAACAGAACTTCTGTTTTGTTCAACTGTTACCCTCTTGACATTGATGGGAAAGATTCCAGCCCCTGAGCTGGTCTAAATTGCTCCTCAGTTTTTGGGGCATGTCAGTAAACTGGGATGGCTTTGGAACCTCTGGCTCATCCTAGCTACTTCCACTTCTACCCTGGCTTGCTCCTGAACTGCTCCCAGACTGGGCATGCCCCCCCCCTTTGGTCCTCAATTGGGCCAGAGCATTGGAAGTTTCTAGGGGAGTGGGAGTCCAGAATCACATCTCTGTCTCTGAGGCTGGAGCTTTGACTGGCTTTGAAAGTGAATGTGTCAGGTTTGCATCTTAAGAAGCCCTGCATTTTGTTTGGTCTTCAGACCTCATCCTCAGCTGAAATGAAGCCTGAGTAACATATTTATTCACATCCATTCCTGGATTGTTGTCGTAGCTGCTGCTATTGCTGATTAGGGGTGGAGGGATCTGTCAGTTTCAGTTCTCTTCTGTTGTTGTTTTATCTTAAATTTGATTGTCAACGTTTCTGCAGCAATCTGTGTTATTAAAAATTATTAAGCACAGACCTGCTTCAGACATGCGTCTCTCCCTAACCCTGCAACTGTGTAAACACTATGCATTCCCATTCATCTGCTGAAGCTCACTGGCTGCCTCTGAAACTGGAGGTTCAACTTAGCAATCAATGTCATCTTTTACCTGCTCCTCTCATGTGGTCATGTGCATTAGTTTATCATATTAAATATTAGTTCTTTTGGTGTCATAATAAAATAGAATAGAGTAGAATAGTGAATTTATTATTTTTATTAATCGTTTGTTATGCCTGTAATGTGGACATTGTTCAGTTTGGTTCTGCATTTTTAAATGTTTTATTTATTGTTTATGACTACTTTTGTTATGTTGTAGTTATGTATTTTTTCATGTTGTGAGCCGCCTTGAGCATGGTTTGAACTATAGAAAGGGAGCATACAAACTAAAATTATGTATGTATGTATATATAAAACCCATTTTAAACACATGACTTCATAGAATCACAGAGCTGTGGAGTTGGAAGGGACCCCGAGGGTCATCTAGCCCAGCCCCCTGCAATTCAGGAAAATCAACTAGATACAGAACAGGGGGAAATGCAGTATTCACTATAGCACACAATTAAAAACTGCATTCAAAACAACAACAACATGGAAAAGTCATTGCTTGGTTTGATTCCTTGTTTATTTGCAGGTGTGGGGTGTGTTACTTCACGACTTCCCCTTGCTCTGCGACAAGCTCCCTATATGGGGGAATTTTATCCACCCAGCCAACCATTGTTCTGCAATTCCATTCCACCACCCCCTGAAACAATTAACAACAACAACAACAACAACAACAACACACACACACACACACACACACACACACACACACTTCAAAGACAGGCAAGGTGATTAATTTTTGCTGAGCCAACTCTCCTTTGTATTTAGGCTATCCAAAATTTCTCATCAATTAGTGCTTTCTTCCATCAGGTAAAACAACAAAATAGCTAGTGCTCAACTATGAGTTGTATCCAACCAAGGCTGTGTACACAGTATATGCTTAGAGCACAGTTGAAGCACATTCTTTCCTCTCAAAGAATTTTGGGCAATGTGGTTTCTAAAGGGGCCCTGGGAATTGTAACTCTCTGAGAGGTGAACAGCAGTGCCCAGGATTCTTTGAGGGAAAGAATGTGCTTTGGTTGTGCTTTAAAGGTTTAGCGTATACACAGCCTGAGTCATACTCAGAGCAGCAGACCCATTCAAACCAATAGGCTAGGCTACCTTGATTCCAATGGGACTACTTTATGACTTAATTGAAGATAACCCTCTATGTAGAATGGATTCTTTCTATTTCCAGTGTAGTTAATGGCAGTGCAACAACAGCGGCAGTAATAATAATGAACTGAAATGAAAAGTGGCCAGATTGCTTGTTATCATCGCCCCAGACATGTTCTTACATGCATCTGAATGCTAATAATGTTTTGTCCATTTAGGGGATCGAAAGCCTTAACCTATAGCACTAAATAAAGTTTTTCTTCTTCTTTTTTTCTTTAATAATTTAAACATACAGTTAGGATCTTGCAAGAATGCAAGCAAGGGTTAGGGTGTGTAGAAACAGGATCAGTCCATTTCCGAGGGGGCAGGCATACATTCTCCTCCTCACCAACTAGGCCTGGTTGGTCACTGCCCGCCCCCATGTTGAACTATTTCTCCATACACATCCCAGCAATGTAAGATCTGTCCCCTCTTTGCCCGCAGACTAGCGAGGCACCTCCTGGAGGTGACACTTGTCTGAGAGAAGCCTCTGTCATCCTTCCCTTCCACCGCCACCCCCTTCCCATCTCATTGCTATGGATGGTGGAGGCGATGATTTGATTAAGCTCTTCACCTGATGGAGGCAGAGCAAGCCAGATGCAGTGGGAGCTGCCAGAACTGGGCCACGGCAGGGGGATAGTATACAAACACATTTCCCAGGCCCATCTGTGCCATCCTTCTGTCCATTTTGCTTCCCATTATACCCTACAGTTCAGAACCCCACTTGGAACTGGGAATCTCTCCAGCCTCTCTCTCTCTCTCTCTGTGTATATATATATATATATATATATCTCTGCTCCTTCTCCTTCAAGGTGATCTGACTCGATTAGTGCAATGTTGGCAGGGAAGGCCGGGCGTGTGTGCGAGCTTTCTGGGCCTCCTCTTCGCTCTCTCTTTTCTGCCTTAATTGGAACCCTCTGAGACCAGGCGAAATCGCATTAGCACCAGGCCCCGGCGTGCAAAGCCATCCATCTTTTTTTATTACAGCGTAATGGGGCTGCTCGCGAGGCGGCGTTCGATTTGTCACAGGCCTCGTTCGCTGATAACGGGCATTTGTCATCACTTTCTGCCTGTGTTAATGTCATCATCGGCGAGCTGACAGCCAGGCCCGTCGAGGGAGCACCGGCGACACAGCACATCCGTCAAGCTAATATTTCCATGGCTGTGGGGACCGGGCGGGCTACGGACACACATTAAAGCGCTGAGGAGAGGACGGGAGAGAAAAGCGCCATTGTCATTAATTAAAATGTTAGGGTGGATATGAAGACGTGTGCACGTGCCGCCTGCCCGAGTGTGCCACGCAGCGAGCGTGACGTGGCCCGTGAGTGGGCCGGCCGGCCTACAGTCGCACGTCCCCTATTAACAAGCACAAGCTTGGATCATGAAGTGCATTTAAAAGCTATTTGGGGCTGGGGAATCCAGAGCATGGTGAATAGGAAGGTCATTGTTAATAAGCGAGGGAGGGGTGTGCTCTTGTGTAACCAGCAAGCCACAGTGTGTGTATCTTATCCACTCCTCCCCCCAGAGTCTGTTTGTTCCTCTGGCATGTTGTGGTTGGTCATTCGCAGACATCCTAGTGTCAGGTGCTTGGCAGCCATAGTGCCAATGGGAAGATGCCAATATAGGCAACAACCATTTTAGGCACGTTCAGTAGGTGTACAGCTGTGTGCTCACGCATCACCGCGAACCCGGGAGTGATTAGAAAAAGGGCAAAAACAGTCCTAAAAGAGCGCCAAAAGGGCAAAAATGCCACAAAAACAGCACCTTGCAACCCCACAGGCCTTTACAAGTGCAATCCCAGGAGCCTTCGCACCAACCTTTGAGGTCTGTGGAGACTTGGAGTTTGAGGAAGGAGTTTTGGAGGGAGAAATTGCCACCATTCATGCCAGTCTGGGGAGTGCTGCTGGTTTTTTAAAGGGTTTTTCTAGGGTTTTCAGAAGTTTAGAGGATGTTTGCAGGCTTTTTCAATGGGCATTCCCAATATACACTATTTCACTTAAACGTGTGGTGTCTTGGAACATAACCCACATGTAAAATGGCCGTTGCCTGTACAGATCAAAAGGCTGTCAGCCCCAAGGCCATAAAATGCCATGATGATCTGTTACTGCTGTTTATGTCCTGCTTCTGGGCTTCCCTAGGTATCTGGTCGGCCACTGCAAGGACCAGGATGCTGTCCCTCTATAGGCCTTTGGTCTGTTCAAGCAGGCTCTTCCTTCTCTCTTAATTTCACCACAGTGGTTGCAGACAAGACAATGGGATTGGGGGCAGTATTAGGGATGCAGGTCAGGCTGAATGGCTCTTGTGGCAGAGCTGCTCAACAGTAACTGCAGCCAGCACTGTATACATGCTGGTTGAAATCTCAGCTCTGCCATTAAATGCACTAGGTGGCCTAAAACAAGCCGCTTACTCAGCTTCAGCAAACACTGTGATATGGGAATAATTATACTTTCTAACCTACAGGGTGTTGCTGGGACTCATTGGGGACAACTAGGGCCGGGAATTCAGGCAGGAGCTGGAACCAATGATATCCAGAACAAGCTAATTCTAGCATTGTTACCATCCTCTTCTTTGCTACAAGGGCAGCATAGAGACTTTGAAGAGGGGAGCTGGTAAGGAGTCCAGAATCAGAGGCAGGAGCGGGGGCAGGAGAAAGAAATGAGGCAGGCTGCTGAAGAATCCAGAAAGTCTTCTCCTCTTGCTGCAGCCAGCTTCCTTCCCTCCTGGTCTCCCAGAACACATAAAGTATGGTTGACATATTCCAAAAAAACCTGAACACGTTCGGAGCAACCCCCCACCCCCCCCCCTCTCTGTCACTTGTCTCTTCCCTGCCACTCACCCCTTCCTCATCTGCCTATTTGCTCCCTCCTTCCCTCCCCTCTCTTCCCTTTGCTGTCTTCGGCCTCCTGCTCTTGAATGATGTGAGGCCCCAGGAGGGCCACGCCAGGCCTGGTGGCTGCCGGAAATAGCATAAATCCTAGTGCGACTTGGGGACGAGCCAAGAAGAAGCAGGTCCAGCGTCTTGCCAGAGGTGGAGCCGCTGCTGCCGAGGGCCACCTGGTGAGCCTGCTGTTATAGAGTGTTATAGTAGACTGCTCTGACTGTAACCAGGGTATGGGTAACTGAAGCCAGTCAGCTTTCTTTTAATAGGGTCTCAGCTAACCTGCCTAAGCTGCTAAAAGGTGCTCATGGCTGCCAAAACAACTTGTGTCTCCATAGACTGCACAACCTGAACCCCCAGACTCCATACTTGACATATTAGTTACAGTGCAACTCCATTCAAAATTGGTGGCAAACTATCAGTAGATCAGGTCCTCCCGGTCAATAGCACCTCTTTATATCTAGATTCAGATTCAGCTTCTATGCTTTCATCCATTGCAGAACAACCTCCCAACATCTCTTTAGGATTTCCACTTCCTCCTTTGGGAATCAGAAGTAGAGCAGTGTGTCATCAGCCCAAACTTCTGGGTGGCTTCTCCCAGCAATGTCATGCAGACATGGGAATTAGATGGTCAATAGGCTCCTGGCTGCCACACTGAATTGATACAAGGAGATGGCCAAGTTGCCTAATACTTTCCCCCCTTTTTTGAGCTGCATCCAGAGGTCCTGTCAGGCATCAGGTAGCTCCTGTTGATTGCTCCTTCTAAGAGTGTAAAGAGTGGGTCTCAAATTCTGCCTATATATATATATATATTCCTACTGCCTCCCCAAGTGAACCCTTTTGAGAATTTTCAATGTGTTAATGAACGCTTGGTTGTGAACAGATGGTTCTGCCACGAAGGATTCTGAAGCATGCGATAGTGTGCTGCACAAGACATCCCTTATGCATGGCATGAAAGTGCTGCAGCCAGGGAAAAGAGCAGCTGTTTAATCTGGTATCACAAATAGATAGGGAAATACTGTACAAAGTCAATTCTCTGTGAAAGGCGAACTAGATATGGTATTAAATGTGTGTTTGTCTCACTATCAGCCCTATATCTGCAGGGGCACGTTCAGTCTGTATTGACAGTCCCAGTTGTAGGTTCACTATCACAAACCCTAACCCTACTAAAATAAACAGGTCAGTTTATGAGAGGATACCGCTAGAAATACAGTAAGACTCAGATGAGTATTAAGGTCATTCAGTATCAGGATGATATTGGCCATCTTTGCTAGCCCCAAGCAGGTACTACATCCTCCCCATCTGAACTTGGGCCTGAAAGACTAAGGGAACTGTAACTGTTATGCCACATGTTCCAGTGCATTTACCCCTAACTTTCATTACTGCAAGAAGTAGTATATTTTGGGGGAAGCAGGGTTTTGTTGCACAAGACTTCCCAGTCAACCAGAATTGTGCAACCTGGATTTACTGGTATATGATTGAACCCTACCCCCAAACAGCAGGTCTGGAAGTGTCCAAAGTCAGCAGGTGGCATTTGGCATCTCTTTCATTATGTAAACATCTTCTGATTTTCTGTCCCACAAAATATGGTTTTATTAAGGCTACGCAATTCCTTGCATGGGCGTGTTTCACTTGTGGGATGAGGATTGTGGCACGAGAGGAGCAAAATATTGTAGGCAAAATAATGGTGGATTTGGAAATGGCTGCCAGCTTTTCGGGAATGGGATTTGGAAAAAAATGACACCACAACATTAATCCCAGTAAGTGATTTGCCGTCACAAATATGGCTTATTATTCACAGATGTATCTATAACATCAGAGGTGTAATGCCCATCACCACATCATTTGCATGTGCATCATGCCTGCAAACTTATACTTGAAGATGCACATTTTACGTATTCAATTACTAACCAGTTTCTTGCCTTGATATATCTTGACAGGACTTCCCTATGTGTTTTTTTCTATATGTTTGAAGTGGTCCTCAAGGCTAGAGGGATGCAGGTGGCGCTGTGGTTTAAACCACAGAGCCTAGGACTTGCCGATCAGAAGGTTGGTGGTTCGAATCCCCGCGACGGGGTGAGCTCCCGTTGCTCAGTCCCTGCTCCTGCCAACCCAACAGTTCAAAAACACGTCAAAGTGCAAGTAGATAAATAGGTGCCGCTCTGGCGGGAAGGTAAATGGCGTTTCTGTGTGGTGCTCTGGTTCGCCAGAAGCGGCTTAGTCATGCTGGCCACATGACCCGGAAGCTGTACGCCGGCTCCCTCGGCCAATAAAACGAGATGAGCGCCGCAACCCCAGAGTCTGTCACCACTGGACCTAATGGTCAGGGGCCCCTTTACCTTTACCTAACCTGTTTCTTGCCTTGATATATCTTGACAGGACTTCGCTATGTGTTTTTTTCTATATGTTTGAAGTGGTCCTCAAGGCTAGTTATAAATACTTTAGTAACTATAAATGAGTAGTGTTTGAAACAGTTTTCAAATATTAGTCTCAACTGTGTTAAAAACCTCCAAACCAGCATCCAACAAGCCTGTTGACCGCTGGTACCGGGATGGAAATCATTTACACCTGGAGGCCCAACCAGCTAGAAAACAGCCTCCAAACCACATAGTCAGTGGGTGGAGTACAACCACTGTGAGTAATTTTGGTTGGCCTACCTGCTGGTGCTGTAATGTGACCTTGGGTGGTAGAGATGACAAATACTTAGGGTGGGATTCACCTAATGAACCCTGATGGGGGACTTCTGCTTGCGCAAAGGGGTTTTCCTTTCTCTCCTTCTCTCATGCCTCCCATATTCATGGTGTGTGTGTCAGGAGAACTTCCAAAACAATGTGCCCGGGGTGGGGGGTGGGAGCACCATTCCTTCTAGCAAGCTGAAATGCTAGTGCAGATGAAATGTTTGTAATAGCACAGCATTTAATTCCACCCTCATTTTGCCTATTGATGGACAGAAGCAAGATATCATGGTGCCTTTCCTCATTTATGATAGCTATGGCACAGCCCGCCCAAACTTTTCTGTTTGGCAGAGTCTCTGCTTAAAACATCATCTGAGCCATTCGGTGTACCCCACACACCCAAAGTGATAAGCTGTTTTGACCACAGAGCATCACCTAACTCGCTTTCCCCAGGACAA